TAGCTATTTATTACTTTCCCTTTTGACTAATTGGAAATGAAAATTTGAATCTCAAAGGATTTATAAGATAGTCTACTAAATGAAGCTTCAAGATTTGCATCCGCATTAATTCCACCGGGGAAATTTCTCTTTTCACTTGCATTTAGGATGTCGGTTAATTTGCGAAACATGGGTTACATAGCCTTTTGTTGATGCATGTACATGTGCAAAAATAGAAAAAGAGAGGTTATAGAACCTCTAATCGATGCGGATGCTCTTCTAATAAGTAATAATTAATAAACTTATAGAAATTGTTTCTATTAATTTGAGTGAATCAATGTTTTTACAGGTTCTGGTGTCGTTATAGATGCATGGATCTGTCTTGATGCACAATTTATGCTTCTTTCTTTGTTGCCATTTATCGTCATCTTGATACCCATGGCAGTTGGTGTTTCAAGTGCTTCTGAACGGTTTGTCCTTTCTCTCTCTCTTTTGGTGGCGGTTCTATGCTTATTCACTTACTTTTTCAGCCAGGTATGTGTATATACCGACTGAAGATCGAGTTGCATTATATGAAGATAATGGAGCCAAGTATTCACCTTAATTTAGTCCTCTTTTGGGGATCATTTTCGCAACGAGAATTATAGATCATTGGAGTACACAGATATCGAACGAAAGATGGAAATGCATGTACCTTTTTATGAAGTTCAAGAGCTTATGCGGCACAGAAGTAAACATCTCATGAGTATGGGAATGGAAATGGAAGAGAAGATTATGGGAAGAGATGTTACCTTTGATTTTAAAGAATGGTTTTATCAAAAAATACACTCGATGGACGACCCATATTTTTCATACAAGTCCAATCAGGTCATGATCATCATACACGTACTGATATAACTTGAAGTACTAATTGACCTCTTTTTCTTTGTATTTAACTGATCTCTTTTTAGTTTCAGGTTGCTCGACTGTTGCTTGAAGAGAAACATAGTTTAATGGGTCTATTAGTAGATAGGAAGGTGTCACATGATGTTCATACAGACACAGAAAAAGCCATAGATAGGTGAGTTAGCTAGGTTAGACATATATATAGATCGATCTATGATAAATTGTTAGTAGTTCCTAGTTTCAGTGATCATGATGCTAACTGTGTTAAATTTTCAGCCTCTTTGAGAACATTGTTACAGATGGAATTGAGCAATCTGAATTGAAACAGTATTTGGAATCCCAATATAAGCCAGATAAACCAGAACTGTATAAAGAAGTAGTGAGAATGATCAGGACTTATTTAGACGCTACTGAAGAAGATGGAAACGTTGATCCAAAAGAATTCAAGTGCGAAATGAAAGCACGGCTTTGGGAGATCGAACATTACAAGTCACCAAATCATGTAAGACATTGTTTGGCAAACATAAGTTAGCTTTATTTGTTGAGTAATCATTTGATAAACTACGTTCTTTGATATATATACGGTGTTCTTTGATATATATACGGTAAAATAGAACAAATAAACAAATAAACTCACACACTCTCATCACCAAAGGTGATGTTTGAACCTTTGACCTGCTAGGAGGCCAAAGACTTACATATCACTAGACTAAAGGCCCTTTGGTTTGATAAACTACTTGGAGTAAGCTTATGACGAGTTTTTTTTTATACTTTTTCTAAGGTGGTTGTTTTTTTGATATTTTTTAAAGGTAATTTTACATGTTTATAAGCTAGCTTATCAATCATCAACTTAGGTTATTATTTATTCACCAAACATAGACTAAGAAACCTTATTATGATGCAGGAAGCAATTATTATAGACAAAAAGGCAATACTATTTGTGGGAATTGGGATATGGATGTTGACATTTTTTGCTGAGCCTTTGACACACAGTGTTCAAATCTTTTCAGAATCTGTCAACATTCCGCCATTTTACATTTCCTTCGTATTTCTTCCATTGGCTACACGTTATAGAACAGCACTTGCAGCCATTGGAGCTGCAAAAAAGAAGAGAAGTCGTACAACATCTTCAACTTTCTCGGAGGTTTGTCCTTACGAATTTCCTTCATAATGCATGCATGCAAATCTTTTATGCTATAAACAACTACATGCAGCTACCATTTATTAATTCTTGATTGAAAATGGAAATTAAATGGTATGCAGATTTACCGCCAAGTGTTGATGAACAACCTGATCGGGTTCGCTTTGCTTCTTCGTGTGATGACTTATCGTGGGTTGACATGGCATTTCTCAGCTGAGGTTCTTACATTGGTGATTGTTTGTGGCATAATGGGGATCTTTGCAAGTTCCAGTTCCAAGTTTCCCAACTGGACATTGATCATTGCACTCCCTCTCTATCCATTATCTTTCATCTTCTTAATCCTTGTCAACGCTCATTTCCGATGAATTTAATTAGTTAATGTTGATCGATCAACCTAAACGATGCATAGCCACTCGAAGCAAGTAGTACGTAGTCGTCAGAACTATGTATGCGTGTAAATTGGTGTTTCAAGTTCAGAGACCATATATATTTTCATCAACTATAAGTTTGTTTAATTATCCTTCATCATATATAATATTTGTGGCATTTATGTTTAAGAGATATGTTTCCTATAAACATGACTCCTGCTTTTTGGTGTGAAATTTTTGGAAGGGTGTCCCGGACAACGCCGGACAAATCCCAAGAAACTACGACCATGAGGTACCAGCCCTTATAAATTAAGTGGCCACAATTGTTGTAGCCCCTGAACTACTACGTCACAACCCTTATGACCACAAGATATCAACTCATATGAATGTCTACATAAATGTCTCCATTGTTCCCCCATCTCCAACATTTTCGTTCATGTGATCTGTTAATAATTTCGATTTTCATTCCTATATATGATTAAAACCAATAATAAATGTCTCTATATAATGAAATGCTAACTTGATGGGATTTGATAGTAGCATTGAAGATGTTAGCTACATGGCTTATATAGACATCCGTGACTACGAACATGAAAACCCTTTTGGTGCATATATATTAAAAGATTACGAGTAAATTATGTTTTTTGTTCCTGTGGTTTGTTAAAACTTGCGATTTTTGTCTATATAATTTGTAATTTATTGTTATTTTCGTTCTTTTAAACTACAGTTTGTTGTTGTTTCAGCCCCTATGGTTTGCAATTGTTTACTATTTTGGTCCCTTGTACTTAAATGTAAAAATTAGTTCAAGGACAAAAATAACAATACATTACAAAATATAAGGATGAGAATCACATCTTCTAGATCATAGGGACGAAAATCAAAATTATTAAAAAAATCACCCAGACGAAAATCGTAATTAATGTAGAAAATTTTGTAGAAAATTTTATATCATACATGATGATAGGTGGATAACTTTAGTATCGTAGTTGATGTATGAATTCAGTTTTAAAAAAATTTATGCACCTATTATTTTTTGCAGTGTAGTATTCTATAATGTCTCTTTCGAAATTTAATCTAAAGTGATTCCACATATTTTATCAATTGTTTTGTACTGATCAAATTAGTTAGCGACTTTTGTGCCGACAACAGTTTGAAAAAAATAGTCAAAACTAATTTTTAATAGTAACTTTTTCGTACAAGGAAAAGATTATCAGGTTTTTTATTGTTCTGTTATATTTTTAATTAATTAACAGTTAAATTAACTCTATCACAGTATCTCGTCGTTGTTTCAAGTCTAAAGAGTGCTAGGTTTGAAGAACACTTGTATTTTATTTTGATTACGTGCAAAAGTTTGAAATGGGAACGATTTGCAACCTGTAGTATTTATTTGGATTGTAGGATTTGGAATGTAATTAAATTACTAAAATAAATTATAAAAATAATTAAATTAGAGATTTCTTTTAAACCAAACATAAATCCTACCAATCAAAACGTGCTCCAACTATTCATGCAACACAACTTTGATTGCTTAATAAATATTCATTTAATAACATGCTAGTTGTATCATGTTTCTTGTTGGAAGCGAAAATTAATTAAAATAGGCTTGTTTGGTTCGGATAAAAGAATGAAAATGACAGAGAATGAAAATGGGAATGAATTTCAATTTCCTCAATTTAATCTGAAATGAAAATTTGGATTTTTTGGGGGAATGAGTTCATTATGTTAATCTACTCAAAGACTATTAATAGGTTTTTTTTAAAGAGAACCCCTTTCTGTTGTTTACACAATTCCTTTATTTAACAACAAAACTCCTTTAATTTTCATGTATCTCTGAATTTCTACGAAAACGGTAACCAAATAAGAAAAATTAGAAAACAATCGAAATCACATGCGATTATTGTACTACTCTCAGTGTTATGTTTACTATAATATTGATTAGTAAAAGGAACTACATGATTGTGCAACCTCTCTGCGTATGGCTTGTTGATACGACTTCCATGTTTAAAATCCGAATCCTATCTTTATGACATAACGAGTTATTTAGAATCATGTTTCATTTCATTTCCGTTTTTATATTCTGTAAAACTTGAGATGATGTTAACCACAAGGGCGGTACCTGATTGGTTTGAACTTGGTTCCAAAGGTCAAAAGTACCTAGAGGTTTCAGGTTCAAATCCAATGAGAAATAAAAATCTCTTTGTGGCCACGGAGGTTCAAATGCGGTGATCTGGGCTATCTGCAAATCAGGTAGTCGTCCTAGGATTAGTCGGCTTGTATAGCGGGTTGAATATCTAGGTTAATAAAAAAAAACACTTGAGACGATGAAAACCATTGACTTTGATCTTCATAATTAATTAGTTTTGATATCTTGAGTAATTATTATGGTTGATTTGTAGAAGACTTCCCTGCATAGTCTTCCTTAATTTATTCAACTACCTTGTTTTATAATAATTTGTGAAGACCAAAAGGACCTATGAAGAAACGTTGACTTTGTCTCCTACCTTTGTTAGAAAGAACCCCCATGGATGATGGATCTATATATATATATATATATATATATATATATATATATATATATATATACATGCTATCTGATCCAAATTTCACAATTACACATGCATTTTGAAATGGGGAAATTAGTTGCTTCAAGATCAACTGCTGCATCTTGTTTTGTTCTTCTTCTTTTGGTGTTGTCTGAAAAGGTTGCAGGTCGTCTGCATTATGATAACAATGATGATCAGTTGCTGCTCTCAGATGGTAGTGTTAGTGATCATAAAGATGATTCCTTTCTGCATGATATCAAAGGAATGGGAATGGAATCGAATTCTTCTGAAGGGAATTCATGCCATCAAATGTATGGGTTTTTGCCATGTTCAACAAATCTCGCAGGTCATATATTTCTTATAGTGATATATGACCACTTGTTGCATTGGGGAGAATCCTATGTTAGTGATGATGCAAGGGATCTGTTCTTTGGCAGTGGCTATTGGGGTGCAGTTTTCTTCCAGCTTCTTGATTCTCTACCAGAACCTCTCGTACTTGCTGGTATATATACATACATACATCTATATCTATATATATATATATATATATATATATATAATTAGTGTGAGTTGGAATGGTTTTTGCAGCAAGTGTAGGTTTGAGCGAGAATGAAGCTGCTGAAGAACATCTTGTAATAGCAGTTGGGTTATTAGTTGGATCACCGATATTACTTCTCACACTTGTATGGGGATGCTGCATATTTGTTGGCAACCGGAAGTTCGAATTCGATGAAATAAGCACAACCAATATTCATTGGTTACGACAACTATTGACTCCAGGTTCTCAATTCATATATATATATATATATTAGGTTGTTTTCCGACATGTGAGATCACTTTTTTATACTTGAAACTTCACAGTAAAACACGTCGAATGTAACCTTTTAAAGTGTTTTTGCTGTGAAAGTTTGATTTTTTCCACCTTTACAATGTTTTACTGTAAAGTTTCAAGTGTAAAAATGTGATCTCGTGAAAAACAAACCGGTCTCATGTGTGTATGTGTGTGTGTGTATATATATATAGATAGATATAAAGATGTGAATTAATAAATAGTTATATTTGTCTCATTTTTAGTTTTTTGTAGTTTTTTATACATATTTCTTAAATTTGTTTAATAAGTGATTACGACTGATCTACGGTAATATTTAATAAGATGCATGTATATGTTTGTGTATTTGTAGAGAAAGGTTCATTAATTTTAGAAGTAAAGAAATGATCTTAACCGTTAATCTGGTCAACATTTGTGGCTGTGTGAGTATGCAAAAGATAGAGGGTAGTTTCGTAACTTTTACAAATAAACAGCAATGGGTTCATATGTGAACCCATGTGATCCACATATGAACTACATGTTTATATCCATTATTTATTTCATATGTGCATTACTTAACTGATCCACATATGAACACAAAAAGGTTCATATGCGAATCAGTTAATTAGTTCATATGTACATCTCAAGTGTTCATATGTAAATCAATTAATTAGTTCATATGTAAATCACACAGGTTCATATATGAATCAGTTAAAATTGTTAATATATGAATGACAGGAGTTCACATATGAACATATAGTTCATATGTGAATCACGTATGATCATATAAAAATTTGTTTGCTGCCTATTTGTAAAAGTTACGAACTACTCTATCTATTTTTCGCATGGCCATATTTTTTTATGTAATTTTTGACTAGTAAAATCCGATCTTGACTGTATGAAGGGTTATGATCACTTTGTTACTTTTCAAATATTTACCACTGCTCAAAATAATCTTTGGCTAACGTATAATCTTTTTGAATTTTTAATAGAAATAAACAAAAGTGAAATTGACTAATTTCCCCCCGAGTTGTGGATTGGATTTAACGATGCTAATGTCAGGGACCCAACTCGTGACGAAATGCAAAACCATAAGGATATTGAGTGTACTTATTTTGTAAAAGGAACCGTATCCAGATTTTGAACAAAAGACAGGGACCCATGATGTATTTACTCGTGAAATATAGATCTAGTCCTTCTGGTTTGCCGAAACTTATGACTAACGTCCCTATTGTCGATTAATGATGGATTTGGTAGTTCCCTTAATTTACTAACAATTTTAAAAAAATCCGTTAACCTAGTTCGTTTCACCATTTTCTTTTATCTTTTCCTTGTTTAGAAAAAATGATATACTATATTTATATATACACACACACACACACACATCTGGGATCACTTGAGACCAGCCTGTTTCCATGACACCCGTGAGCAGGGCCGGCCCTGGCCATGTGCAGCCCGTGTGGCCGCACAGGGCATCAAAGCCTAAAGGGGCCTCAAGTTGTCATTTATTACTAGTTTTGAGTTTAATAATTTGGGAATTGGACAACTGAACTTTAATTAACAGACCCAAGGCCTAGTAATGATAAATATTGAATGCACATCGTAAGAAAAAGTTGGAAAGTTGGAAAAGTTTTTGTTTGAGAGAGTTTTTTCGCAGATGTAAGAAGCTTTTTTTTAGTTGGAAGGGACATGTTTGGGAAAAAAAAACTTGGCTTTCTATATAAAGCTCCCCCTAAAAGCTTACTAGATAAGTCACCTTCAATATTATTAAGCCACTACGAAACAGTCATGCATAGTTGAGCGAATAAGTTGTTAGTTCCATTAAACTTATTAAGTTGCTAACAGATAATCCCTTAGCCTTTAGTCGTTAGACCTGTAACTTTTGAGTTTTACTTTTTGCTTACTATGACAGTAATTTAGATGTGATTTACTATTTTAGTTAAAAACTAACTATAGTTTTCCTTGTCTTTTAAGTCTCATATATTGAAATAAAGTTTCTATTTTGCTAATTTTAATTTAGAAAAGGGAAAATTGGAAAAGAATGAAGCATGATCTTACTCTAGAATTTATCCTTTATATTTTGTATTTAGGGTTTTGGTTTTTGTGTCACCCCATTGTATTTTTTTATAATTAATAAAATCAACATGAAGATGAGATACTTAGCTTGAATAGGTTCTAAACTTTTTAAAAAATTGCATGTTTCGTTGACTTAAAAAAAATAGACTTAGGGCATTTTTTATTATTTTCGCACAGGGTATCAAAAATCTTAGGATCGGCCCTGCCCGTGAGACCACTTTTTTATACTTAAAACTTTACAGTAAAACATTGTGAAGGTAATCTTCACATTTTGTTGTGAAGGTTTGGGTTTTTTTTTTACTTTCACAGTGTTTTGCTGTGAAGTTTTAAATGTTAAAAGACGGTCTCACCGGTCTCACAAAAACAGTCTGAACTTACATGAATCCAACACCCTCCCCTCCGTCGTGTCACATATAAGATAGAGGTAGATTGTAGATTGTGCCTTATCACAATTTTTCCAACTCCCAACCCCCTCCCCTCGGCCCCTTTTCTCCGTAACCTTACCTTCTTGCTCTCCGCCCCTCTTCTCTATAACCTTACTTTCCTGCCTTCCGCCCTCTTTAATGAAGATTAACCCTACTTCCCTCCCCTTTGGCTTCTTTGACATTGTCATTTTCAGTTATTAATGATATCCTTCGAAAGGAAGGCACCATATTAATTCTTAAATCAACGTTTCAATGAAACCACCGGCGGCTATTTTGAAGAAATCAACAGTGATAGAGGAAACACGAGGTGATAAGATCGTTGGTGGAGAGAAAAATATCATAAAGTTATCATAAAATGGCTAATTAAGTCTTCCTAGATCCAATGACCCCCTCACCTAGATAGATGGTTGAGGTAAAAGGGTTGAGGTTGTGGCAGTGATTGCCGGTAAAAGAGGGGAGGGGAGGCTTGGTCGCCGGTGAGTGAGCTCATGTGGAGGAAGGGCCGATGCCCTTCTGAATTTACTATATATATATATAGTAAATTCATAAGGGCATCATATATATATATATATATATATATATATATTAAATAAATGTAATATTATAGTACAAAAACATAAAAAATGACAAATACAAGGACAAAGTCCATAATTAATCGAGTACATAGCTACTGGAGATATTCTTACATAGCTCTAATGATGTCTTATTTTGTTGATGTACAAGGGTCGTTGTCGTGACAATTGGTATGGATGCTCCGCTAATAAGTAATAAGAGCATCTCTGCTGCAAAAGGTTCTTATAAGAAAAAATGTAGCTTCTTACAATAACCAATGTTGTAGAGGGTTCTTATATATAAGATTCTCCTCTCTTGTGAGTTCTTATACAAGAACCTTAGTTCTTACCTTGAAATTGATATACAGTGACAATTTGTTGTTTTATATATTCATTTATAAATATATGATAATAATAGAATTTCTATTAATTAATTTGATTGAATGTTTTTACAGGTTCTGGTGTTGTTACAGATTCAGGGACCAGTCTTGATGCAAAATTCATGCTTCTCTCTTTGTTGCCATTTACAGTCATCTTGATATCCATGGCAGTTGGTGTTTCAAGTGCTTATGAAAGCTTTGTGCTTTTTCTAGCTCTTTTAGTAGCTGTTATGTGCTTATTCACTTACTTTTATTGTCAGGTATATATATATATATATATGATTCAGTACTTTTACTTACTGAAGAGTTACATTATATATATATATATATATATATATATATATATATATATATATATGCAGATATTGAAGCTATATATTCATGACTTTGTTCTTAATTCATCATTCCCCTTTTGGGCATCATTTTTGCAGCATGTAGATGACAGCATACTTGAAAGAACAATGGAGCAAGCAGAAATCGATAGAAAGATGGAAATGCGTGTACCTTTTTATGAAGTTCAAATGCTTATGCGGCACCGGAATAAACATCTCATGAGTATGGGAATAGAAATGGAGACGAGTATGAGAAACAATAACCGCAATATGACTGGAAGGGATGGAGTCCCTGTTACCTTTAAACAATGGTTTTTTCAAAAAATGCACTTGATGGAGGATCCAAATTCATATAAAAAGTTCAATCAGGTCGATCTCGACATGATGGATGGATCAATCGATCATCATACATTGATATAATTTCAAGTACTTATTAATTAACTTCTTTTTCTTCAATTTACAGGTTGCTCAACTGTTGTTTGAAGAGAAAATTAGTTTAATGGAGGTATTATTAGTAAATGGCATGATGCCACATGATTTTCTAAATGACAACGACGAAACACAGAGAAAACTTGCCATAGATAGGTAAGGTCATGTCTACTTAAAAAATCGACATAGTCAGTAGTTCCAAGTTTCATGTAATCGATCGATCATGCTGCATTCATAATTATAGTTGGTTAATTTCTGTCGAATTTTCAGACTCTTCAAAAAGATGGATATAGATGAAAGTTCATCTATTTCACCGTATGAGTTGAAACGCTTCTTGGAGTCCAGACGAGAGGATAAAAAAGTAGATGAAGAAGTGTTTGAAATCATCATGATGCATTTAGACGTTGATGGAGATGGAAACATTGATCGAGAAGAATTCAAGATTGGAATGACAGCTTGGTTTTGGGAGATCGAACAACATTACAAGTCACGAAATCATGTAAGAAAGCCTAACTATTTTTCCGTTGTGAATCAGGACCAAGGAGACCGTGAGACATGTCTGTGGTCGTTCACATTCATCATGAATTATGAATGTGGATACATTTTCATGATGAATCTTTACATTTTTCATGATGAATGATACACTATTTGGCTCTGATTCACAAAGGAGCTTAGGTTTTTAATTGAATCAGACCTTATATATATTGTAAATTATGCAGGAAACAGATCAGGAGTACCGAAGGGTTAATGAGGCAAAGGGTACAAGAGACAAAAATTCAATGGCAATAGTATTTCTGGGAATTGGGATATCGATGTTGACACTTTTTGCTGAGCCTTTGACACACAATGTTCAAATCTTTTCAGAATCTGTCAACCTTCCACCATTATACATTTCCTTGGTTCTTCTTCCATGGGCTGCACATTATAGAACAGCAATTGCAGCCATTCAAGCTGCAAGAAAGAAGAGACATCATATGACATCTTCAACTTTTTCCGAGGTTAATTCTTTCATCATGCATTCTTTTATATCCTAAATCTTAAACCCTAAACTGGATTAATTTATCGACTGAAATGGAAAATGGTTGCAGATATACCACAAAGTGATGATGAACAACCTGATGGGGTTTGCTTTGCTTCTTTGTGTGATGATTTATCGTGGGTTGACATGGCATTTCTCAGCTGAGGTTCTTACATTGGTGATTGTTTGTGGCATTGTGGGGATCCTTACGGGTTTCAATTCCAAGTTTCCAAACTGGACATTGCTCATTGCATTCCCTCTCTATCCATTATCTTTGATCTTTTTTATCCTCGTCAACATTTATTTCCGATGATTTTATTTAATGTTGATCGACTAAAAGACGCACAGCCACTCAGAGCAAGTAGCTGGTAGTAGGAATCGGAACTATATATTTGTGTTAATTGTTATTTCAAGTTTATATATACTCTCAGATATTATATGGCATCAACTATAAGTTTGTTTACATACATATCTATATGTGTGTGTGTGTGAAGCATGTATGATTTTGTATATTAACGACTTTTTTCTTATTTTTTTAAATAGTTAATGTTCTCGTTTGAATACATATACACATACATATAGGGTCATATTCACGGAAAACAACAAAAAATGAAAAACTGAGAGACACCATGGTAACTGTTCATTTGGATGATATGTATATGTGTATATTGTCAATTTTAAGCAATTTGTTTGGTATGCACATGTACATAAACCAATAAACAACTTCAATTATCAGTATGCACGTGCATACTAGTTTTTCATTTTTTTTGAGGTTTTCTCTAGAACATCCCCCTCTCATGCTCGCTCTCTCTCTCTCTCTCTCTCTCTATTCATGTTTAAAAGAATTTTCCCGATAAAAATGACTTCTTTTTGGTATGAAGTTATTGGTCGATGTTTTCCATATACAAAAAAACCAATGGAATCTACCAAAATTCGGAGTATACCTTGCGAAACATGTTGCGTATGGAACTCAAACTTGAATAACTTATGAAACGTGTTGCAAAGATATATCGAAGATTTAATCCGAGTGCTTTTAATTTGTTTCGTCAAAGGAACATTAATTAAATCGCATACATTCTCTGTAATTCTTGGGATTAACATCGTTTAAAAAAAATTGATTTTAAAATCTAAATATAAATATATTAAAAAAATAAGTTAGCTTATGTTTGACAAACAATGCCTTAATATTCTACTACAAAAACACCTTAGAGTAGATCGACTTCTTGAAAAGTGTCTTGGTGAAAGTAGTGTAACAAAACTGATAAACCACGACTCTAGACAAGCGCTTAAGAAATTATAGGATGAAAGATGTATTTTTCTATTTAATTGGTTTTGAATCGAGGGTGTGTTTTTGAATTTTAATCATAATTGTATAAAACAAACGATGACGGTGAAGAGGGAGATGTTGAAAATGAATATAAATAGAGGTTAACGAGAAAGTAAAAAGACAAAAATATCCTTAACTAACCCATATCCATATGTTTTCTACATCGATTGATTTCATAAAGTTGTTCCGTTAAGAATGTACTTCAAATATTTTGAACAAACTTGCACTAGTGGTGTCCGATAGTTTCGATGATGGTGAAGTTGATGCTAAATGCTAATGCACGCGTGATCACGAATCCTCCCTACACATCAAAGGAATGGATTCTTCTAAAGAGCATTGTCACGTTCAATCAACCAATTTCTCGTGTCATATACGTTTGTGACGAATAATATTCATTTTATTACCGATCTGTAGTGATTTATTAATTACCTTTTACCATCAATTTGTAAATTTTACCACACTTGAGATGAAGAAAACCATTGACGTTGATCTTGTTCACTAATTATTATTTGTTGAGTAACAAATACGTAACGATGAACGACTTTAGTACGATGTTAGGATTAATTAAAGAAAGACTAGTTTCCCAGTAGTCTATCTTCTAGATATATATATATATATATATATATATATATAATCTATTTAATTAGCTTGTTAATTTATAATAATCTGTGAAGACCAAAAGACTTGATCTCCTCCCTCTTTTGGAAAGAACTCCCATGGATGATGGACCTTTATATTGCATACACACACACACACACATATATATATATATATACACACTAATATGCTTTTTGGTGTTTGGTCCCTTGTGTAAAAGATTAGCCTTATGGTCGCTTGTGTAAAAAAAATTGGTCTATTTTCTGTGCAATCTTGAAGATTTGAGACACACCTTTAGACAAAAGGAGAGAGCCATAGCATTAGCAATAAAGCAAAGAAAGAAAAACCTTCTTTTTAACATCCAAATACTACTTTCCAACAACCCAAAAACACTACCATTTTCAATGCTATGATGCACAAATTCAAGAATATTATCTAAATCACAATATCAACCATGAAATACAATCAAGGTTTAACAAAATTCAGATAAAAAATTGCATGCAGTTTACATAATTAGGCTATAGTCTACATGGATCCTTATTCCCATCTGCTTCTTCTTCTTCTCCAAAGACAAAGGGATAGCATGCAGAATGCAGCAACGGTCAGCTCTAAGGACCGGAACGGAGGTCCTCTCCCCGACAGCATGCAGCAACGATCAACTACGGTGACCGGAGGTCATCTTTATTAGACGTTGGGCAAGTCTCAAACCCGGTAAGTCTTATGGTCCCTTGTGTAAAAGATTTGGAGAAAAAGGTGATAACTTGCAAAAGGTGACCTTTGAAAATAATGGGGGTCTTGGGGTTGGTAATCCGTACGTGGAAACAGATAAAAATTAGCAACATCTTTTGAAAATGAGAAGGTGCAACTATGGTGTTTTGGCTACTTTTTTTGGTTAATAGGATTTGTTGTTTTAGACCTTCCTTCATCGGCATCAATGCTTCTGTGCTTTACTTCCATCTCTTCTGGTTTTCTGCAAACTGAGGTTGGGGTTAGACCAAGAACACGATGGTCATACAGATGGAGAAACGGTCACCGAGTTTACCATACATATCGTGAAAGCGGCGGGATGATGGGCAATTCGCGTTGAACGACAAGCTCGTAATTATTTCTCGTTTCCATCTCGAGGGATGGAAATAGAGGGGTGGTGGGTGGTGTCTTCAACCTTTGGTAAAAGCACAAGGATCAGTCGCTCTGTTTTTAAAGAATAAGAAATCGATGTAAATTATATGATGTGTGACGGGTGTCAAGTCCGGCAAATGATATAATTTTATAAAATAAGCCTATTATCTCTAAAACACACTTGTAATAGCGATAAGTAGGGTCGTCTCCTCAGGGACTCGGTGTTAACCGTAAGTCCAAGACGTAAACGCATGCAAATTCATTAATAAAACACTATATATAAAGGGGGGGGGGTTTGGAAGATTTATACATAGCCTAAAAATGCAAAATAAATTGAGAACTTAAACAATAACGAATAAATTCTAGTGATGAGTATAACTAGTTCTTTATCAAATYATGTATCATTGACTTGTATAAAAACATTTTCTTAATAGATTTTAGACCGGTCGTGAGTGTCGACACGCGCCAAACACTCCGCTTGTCTTTATAATTAAACTAACACGAGAAGCTCGATAGATTAGTTCCTAATTGATTAAGTTGAKTCYAGTCACGGAYGTAAAATTCAACCTACYAATCGCCTTACGCAATAAACAAGCACCAATCCTAACTAATGAACRGACGCCCGAACATTTAAGCTAGATTACACAGTCCTATAATGCAACCCAATGAACTTGATTGTCTATTGATGCACTATTTGCTACCAAGTGGAAATTAAGAACAATTACGGATTCCTAATCACAACTAGCAATTMAAATTTAGGCTAAAGGATTCAAGGGATCCTTCTCAAAACCAAAATCCCAAAAATGAAAGAACGGTTCTGAACAAGAATTGTGCAAATAAAATTCAATTAAGTTTCAATGTTTAACAAGTCTCAACATAATTCAATTCAAATTAGCTATAATCCCATCACTAGAAACAGAAAATCAGCAACTCATAACTCTATTTTGAAACAGAAATCGAACTTACAAACGGTAGAAAACAGTAGACTAGGAAGAACCTCAATTTGAGAAATCCAAGATTGACTCTAAAATCTGGAAGTCGATTTCAGATTCTTCAAGTTAGGTCCTTTCTTGGCTTCCCGTTTCTGTTACTGTTGCTCGAATTCTCCCTCTCCTTCTCGATTTCTGCTGCTGTCCTTTCCCTCAATCGACAGCCTTCCCTGCTGTCTCTTTTCTGTTTTCCTCTAAATCGACAGCCTCTCTGCTGTCCACCTCGACCGACTGCTTGCTGCTACCTTCTTCTCTCGATGTTCCCTCTCTCTCGACCGCTCTCGGCCCCAATCGAACAGCCCCTTCTTAACCGACTGCCTCCTCAATCGCACCTCCATCTCTTGCCCACGATCTCCCGCTCTTGCTGCCGCACGACCTCTCTCGCTTTCTGATTTGGGCTGGGCAGCAGCTTGGGCTGCTGTTTTGTTTTTATTTTTATTTTTTTCTGCTGCTGCCTCCTCACGAAACTAGTTGCTGCTTCTCTTTCTTTTTATTTTTTTCTTCTTTGCAGCTGTTGGGCCTGCTTCTCCTTTCTAAACAGCTRTTGGGCTGCTTGTTTTTGGGCCTGATTTTGGGCTGTTTGGAGACAGCTTCTAACCTGTTTGGACCCAAAAAGAACAAAATACATAATCAACACATTTTTCTCATCTTTAATAGCCTCATGTAGTTAGATTAATCTTAAATTAAATTGGCTCTTTTTAAGCATATATTTATCATTAATTATAAGGTACTTTGACATAAAAATGTATAAAATTTGCACTTATCAATGTGATATTGTATCTATAATCACTAAGGCTGGATGAAATTGAGTGTGTGTGGGGTATGATGTGATATTGTATGTTTAATTACAAAGGCTGGAAAGGAAATGCTGGAAAAGGAAATGCTGGAAAAAGAAGAGAAAGAAAGCACGGTTTGATCATTGTACTTTTAGTCAATGCATAAAAACTTGTACCACATGCTTGATGAGTTGTAATTAAGAGTTTTTTGAAAATCTTGCATAAAATAGTTGTAACTTGTGCTTACATACTTGTACTTAAGACTTTGTGTAGTATAAATACATACATATATAGGGAGTCAACCTACAATCAGCCATTTTGAAATGGGAAAATTAGGTGTTTCAAGAAGTGGTGCATCTTGTTTTGTTTTTCTTCTTTTGGTGTTATCTCGGAAGGTTGCAGGTCGTGTGCATTATGATGCTGCTGCTGCTCATCAGTTGCTGCTCTCAGATGGTACTAGTGTTATTAGTGATCATGAAGAAGACTCCTTTCTGCATGATCATCTCAAAGGAATGGGAATGGGAATGGATTCTTCTGAAGGGAATTCATGCCATCAAATGTATGGATTTTTGCCATGTTCAACAAATCTCCCAGGTCATATCTTTCTTATCGTGATATATGAATTCTTGCTGTATTGTGGAGAATCCTATGTTAGTCGTGATGCACGTGATCTTCTCTTTGGCAAAGGCTATTGGGGTGCGGTTCTCTTTCAGCTTCTCGATTCCTTACCAGAACCTCTTGTACTTGCTGGTATATACATATCTATGTTCTCCATCTCAACGATATATGTATATATTTGTGTGTGTATACATATATATATATATATATATATATGTACAAGTATATGTACATGTATGTATATATATATATATATATGTGTATGTGTGTGTGTGTCTAATTAGTGTCATATAGTGAGTTGGAAGCATTTTCTGATGATTGCAGCAAGTGTGGCTTTGAGTAACAATGAAGCTGCTGACGAGCATCTTGCAATGGCAGTTGGGTTGCTAGTTGGATCATCGATATTACTTCTCACAGTTGTATGGGGGTTCTGCACGATCTTTGGCCGACGGAAGTTTGATTATGAAAGAAGCAAAAACGATCATTGGTTACGACGACTATTGACTGGTTCTCTTTCTTCGTCTCTCCTAATTAATTCACGTCATCTTTATTACTTATCCTTTTCGATTGGAAATGAAACCCCAAGAAAGGTTGACATTGGCCTGTTACTTACTCTTATGGAACTCCCGTTAGATTACTTTTTTAAAAAGTCATTAAGGAGATTGAAGAGAAATGGTCCAAATCTAGCCTATGTGAGACTTTACCACCCCCTTCCAACACATGAGACTAGATGGATATAGATTGTCCTAGAGTGTTGAGAGGGGCTACACAGATACAAATTGCCCAAGAGTGTCCAATCCTTCGAGTGGTAGACTTACCCCATTAAGTTATATGCTTTACAAAAAATCCATCGAGTAGAGAAGGATAGTTGCAATGTATACTGAAAAGAAATGCAAGTCGTTCTTTAGCATGTTCAATGTGTTATTTTGAACAGGCTGAACGTTTTGCGGCCCTATTTATATTGTTTAGGGCCTTCCATTAATGAATGTAAAACTATAGCTCATCTCAATGCTTCTCTAATTTTTATCAGAAGACAAAATGAATTTGCCTCATCATCGCCTCTCTAATTTTCTTATATGTATCATTGTTATCATATTTGCAGTGTAATCAAACAAGACCTCCAAAAAGATTAGAACGTCTCTGATTAGAAATGGTCTAAGTCTAGCTAAAGTGGGAGTCAAAGCACTCCATTTCTTGGAATAAAATTGGAACCTGAATGAATTTGTGAACGACTTCAAGATTAATAACCTCGAAGAATTTCCCATTAACTAGAACGAGTGCTTTTACAGGTTCTGGTGTTGTTACAGATTCAGAAACCAGTCTCCGTGCAAGATTCATGCTTGTTTCTCTGATGCCATTTATAGTCCTCTTGATTCCGATGGCATACGGTGTTTCATTTGACGATCAAAAATCTGTCCTTGCAAGCTCTCTTTTAGTAGCACTTCTATGTTTAGTCTATTACTTTTTCGCTCAGGTATGCATCCATAGGTTTTACTTACAGAAAACTTGCAAAAAGGACTTCATATAAATTGAAAAATTAGTTTACCTTTTTTCTTGATCCATTCCCCTTTTCGGGCATCGATTATTTTTGCAGCATGCAGATGATAGCATACAGAAAAGAACACTGGAGTATGCAGAAATTGAAAGAAAGATCGAAATGCGGGTACCTTTTTATGAAGTTCAAGTGCTTATGCTGAACAGGAATAAACATCTCATGCGTATGGGAATAGAGATGGAGAAGAGGCTAGGAATAGAAGTGGAGAAGATGGAAATAGAAATGAAGAAGATGGTGGGAATGGGAATGGGAATGGAAATGGAGAAGATGGTGGGAATGGGAATGGAAATGGAGAAGAAGATGGGAATGGAAATGGAGAAGAAGATGGGAACCAAGGAGCACAAAATGATTGGAAAGGATGGAGTTCTTGTAAGGTTTAAAGAATGGTTTTTTCAGAAAATACAGTTGATGGAGGATCCAAATTCACATACAAAATTCAATCAGGTCTCATCGATCATGATCGTATATACATTGATCATTTCGGTATGGCAATTATCTCTAATATGTAACAAATACTAACTAATCAACTGTTTTTGGTTGTCTCTAATCTCTTTTCCAGGTTGCTCAACTTTTGCTTGAAGAGAAAATCAGTTTAATAAAGCTAATATCTGGTATGGTGAGACATGATCTTCTAAACAACCTCGATGAAGCACAAAGAAAACTTGCCATAAACAGGTGAGATCGTGTCTACTTACAAGATCGATGATAACTGTTAGTTGTTCCAAGTTTCGGTGATAGATCATGCTGCTAATTAAGTTGTGTAAGAAATTTCCAGAATCTTTGAAGAGATGGATAGAGATGGAAGTTCGTCTATCGACCCATCTGAATTGAAACACTTTCTGGAAACGGAACAAAAGGATAAACCAGTGAATGAAGAAGTAGTGGAAATGATCATGGCACATTTAGACGTTGATGGAAATGGAAACATTGATAGAAAAGAATTCGACAACGGGTTGGCAGAATGGGCTTGGGAGATCGAACAGCATAACTCACGGAATCATGTAAGAAACCTCATCATCTACAGGAAAGTATACATCTTGTGAATTTGAAAAAATCTTGCAAGAAATTAAACCTCATTAAGATCATTATATATGCAGGATGCAGATAAGAACAGAAGGGATGAGGAGGCAAAGGGCAGAAGAGATGGAAAATCCAAGGCAATTGGATTTGTAGGAATTGGGATGTTGATGTTGGGATTTTTCGCTGAGCCGTTAACACATAGCGTTCAAATCTTTTCGGAATCCATCAGCATTCTGCCATTCTACATTTCCTTCGTTTTTCTTCCGGTCGCTACACAAGCTAGAACAGCATTTGCAGCCTTTGGAGCTGCAAAACAGAAGAGACATCATACAACGTCTTCAACTTTTTCGGAGGTTAGTTTGTCCTTTTGATTCCTACATTACGCATCCAAACCCTAAAACCTAAACTGTATTAATTTTTTATTGAAATGGAAAATGGTTGCAGATGTACCACAAAGTGACGATGAACAACCTGATGGGGTTTGCTTTGCTTCTCTGTGTGATGATTTATCGTGAGTTGACATGGCATTTCTCAGCTGAGGTTCTAACGTTGGTGATTGTTTGTGGCATTGTTGGGATCCTTACAGGTTTCAATTCCAAGTTTCCCAACTGGACATTGATCATTGCATTCCCGCTCTATCCATTATCTTTGATCTTTTTTAGCCACATCAACTTCTATTTTCAATGATTTTCATTAATCTAGAACTGCAAAATTGCATATCGTGTTGTTGTTTCAAGTTTATATTTTGAGCCAAATACGGTTTACCATGTATAAGCTAGCTTGTGTACGGCATTCATGTTTACCTAAGATAACTTTTTCCTATAAACATGACTACTTTCGGTGTGAAATGAATATATATGAGTGTCGCTAAACAAACCCCATGCGGATCCGATCAATAACTTAAAATTAGTGTGGTTTTGGTGATGGTCCACAGGGTAGATTTTGACACATTGGCATCATCTGTCGTTTTGTTGCATATCTACATGATCATCAAGATCCTGAGGGCTCGATAAGATTTGATGGCCAAGGGATTGAACATTCATGAATCTAGATTTGGACCATGTGGTGTTACACGACCATGGCTTCATCTTGTGAAGGGCCAAAAGGGTATTTATGAAGGGTCGGATGTGATGACAAAGAGCCTTCGACGGTTTGGATTAACTTCCGGTCCAAAATCATTCATCTAGATCCCCAAAATCGACCTCGAAGGGTTTTTTTTGGTGATGTTTGGTTGTAAGGTCGTTATTTGTGTAATTGCTTCGGTTCAACGTCAATAATGTCTGATATTTTGAAGTTTTCTCTAGAAAATGTCCCGATCTATGACTTGCTAGTCTATGGTTGTCATGGTCCGAAAAACTTTGGGGGAGAGATTGTAAAGAAGGGATAAAATCCTCATGTCTCACATTTCGATGTTTCTGTTCTTATCCATAAATCACATGAATATTTATCATCAGAGAAAGAATGTTTACTTGAATAATTAAATCTAAAATATATAAAACTGATGTGTCTTAATTTTATTGGTTGAACAAGAATGAGACAGTGTGATTCTGGTACAGACTTTTATCCGTTAAGAAGTATGATTTTAACGTAGGGAAATATACACTATTAAAATCGGGTTTACAAAACACTCATTATAATTAGACTGTTTTATATGACGATTTTGAAGTTTTATCAATTTTTTTATATTACATTTTTTGGAAAACGTCTTATATACACAAATGTATAATGTAAAATAACTAATACGTCACTTTGTTTTAAAAATATCTTAAAAACTTGTTAAAAACATCTAAAAACATTCTATAAACTTATTGTAACGTTTTTATGTAGGACAAACAATTGTTTGATCTTATAAATCTAAGTCCTATAAAATAATCTATTAGAACAAATAAATATTTTTAACGTGTTGTAAATCCAATTTTATTATACTGATTGTCAAACATATAAACTCTAAGAAACCATTTACCAAACACTTACCTTGATAAACGCTTACGAGTAAAAAACACTATCACTTACCAAATACGATTTTAGTTCACCAAAACAATATCATATGCAACAATTTATCCGATAAGCGTTAACTGTGGCAAGAGTCGTCGCTCTCACTTACTGGATTAGACCATCTTCGCTCTTACCGGTAAGATTTTTTGGTCATTGTCATATTCCTCCAGTAAAGTAATGTGACTTGATAAGCACTTAACCGGATAAGTGTTTGATAAACGACACCTCAGTTGTAACTATAAAGTGAGATCTCAACTTTATTTTGATTTAAGATGGATTGAATGGACTTAAAGAAACTATGAATGTGCCAACTAATGGATATGTAGGTCCTTAACTGTGAACCACCAGCCACTCACATGAATTTGACATTGACATTTTGATATGTACCAACCATGTCCTATTTTCAGAATTCTTAAATACCAAATTAAGGGGCATTTTATCAAACGCTTATTTGGGTAAGTGTTTATCAAGTCATGTTACCTCATCGGATGAATATGGTAAGGACCAAGAATCATATCTGGTAAGATTGAGACAAAGACCAAGTCTTACCCGGTAAGTGAGGGCGACGACTCTTACCATGGTAAGCGCTTACCGGGTAAATTGTTGCATACGATATCGTTTTGGTGGACCAAAATCTTACCCGGTAAGTAAATAATAGAGTTAAATTTTACAAGTAAACACTTATTGGGTAGGTGTTTGATAAACGGCCCTACATCCCACATGCTTCTTCAAATGGCTAACAAATGCTTCCAACCACAGTTCAAGGCCAAAAGGTAATTGGGCAAGCCCAAAATGAAGAGTGTCTCAGACCATGTTAAAACAATGCTTTTTGTGCTCGAAAACCCCGTTTTTGACCTACCCAAGCGTACTCCTCGTTCTTAGCTTCGATTTTGCATACCGGGGGTTTTAAAAAGAAAACCCATAGCAAAAGTCATATGCGTTTTAAGCGCGACCAACCCTACAGGCTAATCATCTTGATCATCGGCTTCCCAAAACATCACGGACCATCTACTTAAGGCCCGCATCACTTGTATAAATAAAGAGTAGGTCCCAGACACCCGTGCGACATAGATGAATCGAACACAAGAGTACAAGAAGATGTCTTTATTGCAGTTGCTGTAGCATTTAAGATAACCAGAAACGAAAGCGAAAACTAAAACGGTGTTTTTCCCTAAAAATGTCTGATTTACAACAGCCAGGAATTTAATTCCGAAAACCATATATATACATACATATATAGGGTATATTTCAAATGCAACCATGTCCATTTGTACAACCAATACAACCCAATTAATTGAGATATTTATAGAAATGATGAGAGTTTATTAGTTATGATTTGAATATTTATTGAAGATGAATAGGGTTCATTAATTATGATCGATACTTTATATCAGGAAACAATCAAAACTTCTACGAAATCACATATTCATCAAATTAAATGGACGGTTGAGATTGAGTTGTATTGGTTGTACAAATGTAAAGGGTTGTATAATAACCAACCTCTACATATATATACACATATATATATATATATATATATATGTATAGGGTTGGGTTCACGTGAGACCAGCATGTTTTCGTGAGACCCGTGAGACCAGCATTTTACACTTGAAACTTCACAGCAAAAACCCTGTGAAGGTTTAAAAAAGTCAAACCTTCACAGCAAAAACACTGTGAAGGTTTTAAAAAGTCACCTTCACAGCACAGCATTTTTGCTGTGAAGTTTCAAGTGTAAAATGCTGGTCTCACGGGTCTCACGAAAACAGGTTGGTCTCACATGATCCCATATATATATATATATATATATATATATATAAACAAGTGGCAAAGAAGCACCTGCTTATCCTCCCCTACATTCACAAATACACTTGATAAAATTATTCATTCACAATTTCAAATCCACCATTTTCCAAAATCATGGGAAAACTGGTTGCAAGAACTGCATTTTATTCTTCTTTTTTCCTTTTCCTGTTAAATACTGTAGCAGGTGGTCGTTCTTTGCAGCATGAACAGCAGGTTTCAGACGGTAGACATGATCATGAAGCTGTATCAACCTTTCTTCTGAATATAAAAGAAACAAGTGATGATTCAGAAGAGAATTGCGAGCAGATGTATGGATTTCTGCCATGTTCAAGAAATCTTCCAGGTCATCTGTTTCTGATTGTGGTATACGAGTATCTGTTATATCATGGCGAATCATATGCCGGTGGTGATGGCCGGATTTTCGGTGTTCTCGGCAATAATTTCTTCGGTGCAAGTGTTTTCCAGCTTCTTGATTCGCTACCGGATTCTCTAATCCTTCTTGGTATATACATATTTCCCATTACGTTTTTCTTCCGTCTTAGAGTCCAACGTCACCTAGACTCGGACTATTTCTTCTTAATATATATGTTATGTTCGAACCTACTTAAGAATGCCTTTGGAGAGTAATATGTTGAGATTTCAGATATTTTTATATGGTATGTGAGTCAAGGTCTACTACTCTAGTCTCTAGGGAGTTCAACACTCTCGTGTAATCTCCACTACAACAAAATTGGGTTTATAGGACACTTCCAATCTGTAAGCGTCCCAATAGACCGCTTTATATGACCAAAATATAAAGCGTTGTATCTAAAGGCGTTGTAATAAGTTTATATGAGGCTTTTGGGCGTCTTAACAAGTTTTTTAAGACATTTTTGATACAATGCGTCGCATTAACAACTTTATATGACACTTTTGAAAAAGTGTCCTATAAACCCAAATTTTTATAGGACGCTTGTTTTTTATAGGACAGTTTTTCAAATAGTGTCTTATAAAGTTACTTATGGGACCCTTTATATTAAATGTGTCCTAGAAAACTTATTACGACATCAAAAACGTCATATAAATTTATTACAACGTCTTTAGATATGACACTTTATTTTTTGGTCCTATAAACTAGGTCGTATAAACTAAGTTCTATAAAAGCGTCCTATAAACCCGATTTTGTTGTAGTGCTCGTACTCATCTAGCTCGCTCTCGAGACTGTTGAACAGTTTGTGTCCGTCTAGCTGATCGGCTGGAGATGGCGTGTTAGAGTCTCACATCGGCTAGACTTTGACTATATATTGCTCTCTGATATATGTTGGAACATCTTTTCTCTTTCCAATTGTTCTTTTGAAGAGTAATCTAATATGGTTCTACATATTCTCACTGTCTTCATAAAAACAGTCTCTCGAACAGATTATCCAAAATTTCTCTAAAATTGTGATCAAAATTCAAAACCTCCAAAAGGAATTATGTTTTACTCCAGAAGTTTTTTTATTTTAGAGATTACTACATTAACTATATCATACAGATATTTCATACACCTAATGAAATATTATTTCTCACTATGAACATTTAATTCCAAAGTTTTTTTTATTGGTGGTAATATAATATATATTTTTCTCGCTCGATATAATTATTTTTTGGAATTTTTCAAATTTCAAGAATTTCACATTATCTCTTCTACTTTCTCTATTTTAAAGAATTCATTCCAGCTACATTTGATTATATTTCAGAATGTCTGCTTCAATTTTCTTGTGTTTTTGTTCATATCTTAAATCGTGAGTTTCCGAGCGAGCTTACGCATACCGATAAATCACCTAGATGACCACAAATGGTCTGGAGTCATCGCACGTGAACTTCCATAGCCACAACGGCTTTGGCAGCGCTTAAATTCGAACCACAGGAAAATGAGATTTCCACTACATCCTCTAAGCCTTACCAGTACCCCAAGTGGTTACTTGTTCATATTTATGTGTCATTTTGAAGGGTTCTTGTATAGCCTATGGTTCAATTATCTGCAAAAAGAATTGTGGGTAATTCACATTATATGCTTGATCCGTTGGTCGCAGCATCCGGGCTAACGACTAGTACAGAAAAAGCTCAAGATTATGTTGTAACGGGTGCTGGGTTGCTAGCTGGATCGTCAATACTACTTCTCACCGTTCTATGGGGCATATGCTTCATCTGTGGCAGAACAAAATTCTACGTAAAACCTGGTTCTAAACCCCGAAATCAAGCATTTCAACTATTAACCGGTTTGCATTCTTCATATCTATAAACACTTATGATCGTTATTATTTGGTATATTTGCTTAAACAGCTATGCATGATACTTCTGTTCGAGTCCTCTTGGAGTCCTACATAGACTAGACTTGGACTTTGCTACTTTCGTGTATGTTGGAATCTCATGTATGCCCTCTTAAGGCTCTTTTGAAAAGTAATATGATGAGGTTTCACATATTCTAACATGGTATTAAAGCAAGTCTACCATTTGGGACATATGGGCCCGTCTAACATTGTCTCTCTCTCTAGATATAAACATATATATATATAGAGAGAGAGAGAGAGGAGCGGTCCCTTGGGCTCTGTTATCGAGAATTTAAAGGGGTTTTACATATCTAACAACTTCAGTTAACATGAACTTAATATTCATTTGTTTTTTTACAGGTTCTGGTGTTGTTACAGATGCAGAAACAAGTTATCATGCCAAAGTTATGTTCTTTTCGCTCATACCGTTTCTAGTCATCCTACTACCGAGTGTATTCGGTTTATCGTATTCTAGTCAAGAATACAAAACCGTCATTCTTGTGTCACTTTCTGCTGCGGTTATTTGTTTATTCGCGTACTTCTACTATCAGGTATATATATATATATATACATCGGGTTTTCTTTCCAGAAAAGTTGCAAGAAGCGTTACGAATGACGATCTCGGAGTATTTCTTACTTAATTCTTGGTTTTTCCCTTTCCGGGCATCATTTTTTCGCAGATATTTGATGACCGGATTCAGAATAGAAGACTTGAGTATGCAGAAGTCGAACGAAAAATTGAATTGCACGTACCGTTTTATGAAGTACAAGCACTTATGCTGGATAGGGAAAAACATCTGCTGATTAGGCAAAAAGATATGGAGAAAACATTGAAATATCCCGAGAATAACGATGATAGAACAATGACAAGGGGAGAATTCTACGACACGTTCGAAGAATGGCTTGATGTCACAAGAATATTGATCGATGATCCGTATTCATTGGATAAATCAGGGACGGAATACAATCAGGTCGGTATCGATCAACAATAAACTAGTATCAATTTGGTTGACGTAATTTAACGAAAAGTGGTTTATGCTCTACAACAAAATTGGATTTATAGGATCAAAATAATTCTAAAAATGTCTTAATAGACTTCTTTATAGGGATTAAACTGTAAGATCAAATAATTGCATGTGTTCTATGTAAAAGTGTTACAATAAGTCGATAAGACGTTTTTGGAAGTCCTAACAAGTTTTTTTGACACTTTTGAGAACAAGTGTCATATTGGCTTTTTTGTATGACGCATTTGAGAAATGTCTTATAAACACACACTTGGTTTTATAAGATATTTCAGATAATGTCATAAAAATACTGATAGAACGTCTATTTCAAAAGTATCCTAAAAACTTGTTCATTCGTCTAAAAACGTGTTACGTACTTACTGTATGTAACACTTTATTTGTTGGTCCTATAAACTTAAGTCCTATAAATCAGTCTATTAAGACATTTAGACATATTTGACCTCCTATAAAGCCAAATTTTAGTAGTGGTGCTACTGAGCGATCCATGAGTGACAGTTTTCGATCGTTTGTAATTTCAGGTTGCAAAGTCGTTGCTCGAAGATAAGAACAAGTTGATCGAGCATATTTCTCTTATGATGGAACGTGCTTCGGGTCAAAAATTGCTTAAAGAAAATGGAGCACGAGATGAATCCGCCATCGATAGGTTCTTCGAACGCATTGATTCCAACCACGATGGATTTATCACGCAATCCGAATTGAAAAACTTCATCATGGAAGTCAACTACGAGGAGATAGTACTAATGGAAGACGAGATAGCAGATATCATAATTCGACATTTAGATATCGATGGAAATGGAGACATCGATAAACATGAATTCAAATCCGGGGTTATGAGATGGCTCAAGGAGATCGATCATCTAGCTTCACGAAAACATAAGCTTCAACGCAACCAAGTAAGAAATTAAAGTCGTAATCAAGATTCTTGGTTCGTTTTTTCTTTCATCATTGCAATAAAATCAACAGCTCTATAAGACGCCAAAGATATCTAAGGGCTAATAAGCTTATAAAGTTGATCAATAAACATAAATTGGTCTTATGGGTCTCACAAAAAACCTTGGTCTCACGTGAACCCAACCCTATATGTATGTGTGTGTATATATATAGAGAAAGAGAAAGAGAGAGACATATTTGTCGTCCTATAAAGCCGATTTTGTTGTATTGTGTATTAAAAGGTTGATAAATTTTTTATTTTGTGCAGGAAACCGACAAGTACCAACGAGCGGAAGCAAAGGCAAAGGCAGCGGAAAAGCTAACGGCAATAACACTATTGATAGTCGGGATCTTTATGCTAACGGTCTTGGCTGAGCCGCTGGTAGAAAGTGTTCGAAAATTTTCAGAATCCGTAAGGATAAAGACTTTTTACGTGTCGTTCATCTTAGTCCCCTTGGCTACAAATGCTAGAACAGCCATCGCAGCCATTCGAGCAGCGAGTCAAAAGAGACATCAAACGACATCTTTAACTTTTTCCGAGGTTTGTCTCTCCCTCTACTATGCATTCATTTATGAATAAAAGAATAAAAATACGTTGTCTACAAATTCCCTTTTCTTTCCTAATCACATGAAGTCCTAGAACCGAACAGTAAATGGCCATATTTAAATGTGTTGTAATAAGTTTACATGACGTTTTTTGGCGTCTTAACAAGTTTTTAGGACACTTTTAACACAAAGTGTTGTATTAGCTATTTTATAGAACACTTTTGAAAAACGTCCTATATAAACACATCTTTTTATAAGACTCTTTTCAAATAATGTTCTAAAAAATTAGCTAATAAGACATTCTTTTTATAAAAATGTCTTAAAAACCTTTTTACGACGTCCAAAAATGTTCTATAGATTTATTACAACACCTTTAGATCATACATTTTATTGTTCGGTCCTATAAATTTAGTTCTTATAAAGCAGCCTATTAGTACGTCTGGACATTTATTGCATACTATAAACTCAATTTTGTTGCAGTGACAAGAGGCCTGGTACAACATATTTTTATTCTTCATTTGTAGCGTCGTCGTATTGACGAGTTAAATTCGCTTAAAATGCAGATATACCACAAGGTGTTCATGAACAACATCTTGGGTTTTTCTGTTCTTGTCTCGGTCATATACTTTCGCGGCTTGACATGGCATTTCTCGGCCGAGATTCTAGTTGTGATCATCGTTTGCGTCGTAATGGGGATTCTCGCAAGTTCTAGATCCAAGTTTCCAAATTGGACACTGTTCGTCGCATTCCCTCTCTATCCGCTATCTTTGGTTGTGGTTTACTTTGTTGACGATACTTTTCGGATTACTTGAAGCTTGCACCACGATTGGCGTAAAGCATCAGTGTGCCATTTGATCGACTTAGAGATTGGTTACACTAGCATGGAGACAGTTCCAAACTTAGAGATTGGTCCATGAATAACGCGTCCGTTAACTCTTGCATCTGCTTCACGTCACATTATTCTGGACGACTCGGATTTATGTAATAATTCACCATGTACACCAAGTGAATTAACATGTTATCGTTAATTCATCGCATAGCGCATGAATGTAACATTTAAATTTAAGACGTGTTACAAGCGTAACAAAATGATCATGTCGAAAATATCTAATTTCAAACGATGTACATTAAAATTGAAAAGAAGAAATAAAACGAAAAACTCATCAAAATTGAAAATAAATACAAAATCGAGACTCGAGAATCAAGATGATAGAATTTGGGCCCAATGGGTTGGGCCAAACCGTTTTCATTCATCCAATTCCAGCCCATGAAGACTTTTATCCAGGTTGTTTGTAGGTCTATATAACCCCAATCAGATCAAAAGTTATCGTCATTTAAAGTTCATGCATTTTCCGTATTCCCGATTTTCTATATATGAAACGGTCATTGAGTTATTTGTTCCTTATCGTAATCAACCAAAATTCATAATCATCTCGTTCAGCATTCTTCGAGATCAACAAATATTTGAAGAAAATTGCCTTCCTGGTGGCCCTAGCACGTTATTTGGGTAATTGTCATACGTTGAATAAGTTCACGCAAAACAGGTACAAACGACGTTGCACCAACTGGAAAATAAACCTAATTGGTTATTTCCTAAACAGAGGCACGAAAATCAGAAAATGTTGATTTCATGCGATCTGGTTATTAAAACTAAATAAATACCTCACGTTTCATCCACACTAATCTCATTGTAAGTTGCGATTGTATGCTTCGGCCACAGTCCTGCGATAAATCTCTCAATAGCCACAAGCACATGTACAATGACAGGATTCGAACTTGAGTAGATATTAATTTGAATAAGCTTCTTCAAGAAATGGGTAAACTGTTTTTTTTTGTACTTTTATCTGGTAAACCATATTTACAGATGAAAATTTTACTGTTCTTACTTCATATAGAAAAACTATGATTTGAACTTCAGATCTCTTGTTTTTCTTGTAGAAAATTTTATATCATACATGATGGTTGGTGGATAACTTTAGTACCGTAGTTAATGTATGAATTCATTTTTAAAAAAAATTATGCACCTAATATTTTTTGCAGTGTAGTATTCTATAATGTCTCTTTCGAAAATTAATCTAATATGATTCCACATATTTTATCAGTTGTTTTGTACTGACAAAAATTGATCAAATTAGTTAGCGACTTTTGTGCCGACAACAGTTTGAAAAAAATAGTCAAAATTAATTTTTAGTAGTAATTTTTTTGTACCAGAAACAGATTTTCAGGTTTTTTATTGTTCTGTTATGTTTTTAATTAATTAACAGTTAAATTAACTCTATCACAGTATCTCGTCGTTGTTTTAAGTCTAAGGAGTGCTAGGTTTGAAGAATGCTTAGTTTATTTTGATTTCGTGCAAAAGTTTGAAATTGGAACGATTTGGAATCTGTAGTATTTGTTTGGTTTGTAGGATTTGGAATGTAATTAAATTATTAAATTATTAAAATAAATTATAAAAATAATTAAATTACAGATTTATTTAAACCAAACATAAATCCTACCAATCAAAACGTGCTCTAACTATTCATGCAACACAAAAATTAATTAAAAGCCAGTTGTATCATGTTTCTTGTTGGAAGCAAAAATTAATTAAAATAAGGGTGTTTGGTTCAAATAAAAGAATGAAAATGACAGAAAATGAAAATGGGAATGAATTTTTATTCCCCTAGTTTAATCTGGAATGAAAATTTGGGCTTTTTGGGGGAATGAGTTCATTATGTTATATAAAATCAAACAGTTTTTTTGATTTTCATTCTTATTGATTACTGTTTAATACATCTAACCAAACACTCCATATATCTATATTTATATATAAAGTATGAGTGAAGTTCATGGAAAAACCTTTAAAAAGATAAAAACTAAGAAACAGACGAACGATTATTCATCTGTAAGATATTGTACATATGCATACAAGTAATTGAAGATGTTTTCTGGTTTCTATATATGTGTACATGTTATGCACATGTGCATATCGAACAAATTATTTGTATATACATATACATACCGTACAAGTGAATGATTGTCAGTATTCCTTAATTTTACTTTTTGCATTTTTCTCTGATCCTAAACCCCTCTAGAGTAGTCTTCTTTTATTTAGGGGCTGTTTGTTTTTAATAAAAAAGCTCTTAATGTCCTCTTAAGTCTGAATCGGTCAGACATAAGAGGATTCAGTGTGTTTGTTTTTTTTTTCAATTAAGAGCTTAAAAGCTCTTATTAGGTCTGAAAATTTAAGTGGTTGTGAAACCTCTTATTACCTCTTATTTCAAATTGTCGCCTACCTACTCTGATCTCTTTGCGCTCGATTTCTCTAGATCAACTCTTATGTCTTGATCTCTCATCTCTCAACTTTGTCAACTGTCGATCCATATCAACTCTCGATCTCTCATCTTCAAACTTCAGATTTCAGAAGCAAAAAACAAACAGTCTGACTGATTCAGATTTCAGACTTCAGCACAATCTCTTAAAAATCAGAAATGAATTCAGACTTCAGACTTCAGACTTCAGCACCTCTTAAAAAACAAACGTCACCTTAGTTTGTTTGTTTAGTTAAAAATATGGTCCTTGTGGTATGTTAAAAACAACAAAAAGGATCCCTCAAACGCAAAAAAGTACATGTGATAAAATGGTTTATAGCATTAACTCTATTAAAATGTCTGTTAAATGGGGCATTTTGGTCTTCTTAATAATTTGTCTGATTTTCCCTTTGACGACCTATACCGACATTTGTGGTGACCCTTGTTCATCGTCCTCCGTCACTCGCCCTCATCTCCTTCGTTCTTCCCTCAACGAGCACATGCCACAATCCTTTCACGCAACCCCATTGCATCCCCTTCATCGTTGATGGAAACTCACTACTGTCGCAACTTGGGAAAACCTACAACAGGGACGAAAAATGGACGAAATATATATCGGCTCTCTTCGTGTTCCTACACTTGATTCTACCACAGACTTACAACAAGGACGAAAGATAGAACATGAATGGTGGAACGAGAGATTTGTAGAGAGGGAAGACGGAAGTTGGAATGGTGGTGGTAGGTTGCAATGCTTTGGGAATTCGGGGAGCCATGATCAAACCTCTAAGTCAGCACCTGCACCACATGGTGGCGTCAGTGTTCATTAGTAAAAAGACGAAACTGTTCTTCACTTAACGGCCAATATTTCAACGGATTTAGTGGTATGGACTATCTTGAAAGAAAAATGCATACCACATATACTATTCTTGTACTTTTTTGTGTTTAAGGGACCACTTTCATAGTTTTAAAATACACAGGGACCAAAATTGTAAGTTTACACTTTCCATGAAGACCAAAAGGAGCATTAAAGAGCTTGACTTTGTACATCCTTTCTGTTACCATGAGTTTCCTTGCTCTATATATTGAAGACTATCCATAAACCAAATCACCAATTTCAAGATGGGAAAAGTAGTTACAATAATTGCATCTTATTCTACTTTTTTTCTGTTACTGTTAGCTGAAAAGGCAGTTGTCGGTCGTCATCTGCAGTATGATGTTGCTGCTGAGTTGCAGGTATCAGATGGTGTCAACGATTTTGTCGTTCGGGAGGAGGAACCATTGCTACATTTCAAAGGAATGGATTCTTCTGAAGCGCATTGCCAGCAAATGTATGGCTTCTTGCCCTGTTCAAGTAATGTCCCGAGTCATATCTTCCTCATCGTGATATACGAGTATCTGTTACATCATGGAGAATCGTATGCCGGTGGCGATGGACGGATTTCTCGTGTTTTTGGCGACAACTATTTTGCTGCAATCTTCTCTCAACTTCTTGATTCCCTTCCAGAATCTTTGATACTTCTTGGTATCTTCTCTCTTTATGTTTTTAAGCATATAGCTTATTTATATAAGTCAAATAGTCATCACTTTGGATGAGACTGAACCCTTGACTTCCTTGGAAGCCAGATAAAAATCTCTTATTTAAAATTAGTGCGTCCTACCAACCACATGAATATATAAATAATTAGAGAGAGAACGTGAAATGAATTAAATAATTTTAAAATAAAAAAATTGATTGTCTTAATTTCATTGGTGGACATGAGATTATGGGGCATGTGATCTTTATCTGCGTTATAGGATTTAAGTTTATAGGACCAAATAATTATACATTTTATGTAAAAAATGTTATAATATGTTGATACGACATATTTGGGCGTCATAACAAGTTTTTAAGATACTTTTGAATGATTATGATCACTTCTTTACTTCTCAAATACTTACCACTTCTCAAATGAACCTTCCCCTATAACACTTTATTACAAAAGTATCCTAACAACATACGACATTTTTACGTATGATGCATAGTTGTCTTGTCCTATGAACGTAAGTCTTATAAAGTTGTCTACTTGGACTTGTAGACATACTTGACCTCTTGTAGCCAACTTTGTTTACATTTTTATTTTGATTGAATGATTGCAGCATCTGGACTAACATGTAGTAAAGAAAAAGCTCAAGACTATATTGTAACCGGTGCCGGGTTGCTAGCTGGATCGTCAGTATTCCATATCACCTTTTTGTGGGGAGTATGTTTCATCTGCGGCCGAACACAATTTTATATAAAACCCGGCTCTAAAGTTCCAAATCGAGTTGTGCAACTATTAATTGGTTTGCATTCCTCATTATTCTTGACAATTATGATCATTATCGTTTGTTTGTTGCTTTAATATGTCTAAATGTTTTATAGGACTTAAGTTTATACAACCAAATAATCGTGCATACAAGTACAGTATGACCCATTTGGTGTTCTAAAGAAGTTTTTTAGAACAGTTTTGACATAGTGGGGCATATTAGTCTTTTTATGATATTATTTGAAAAAAAATCTTATAAAAAGATGTGTTATTTGAAACACTTCTCAGTATTGTCATGAAATAACTGATTGGACACTTTTTTTCAAAAAAATTATAAGAAACTCGTTATGATACCCAAACATGTCTTGACATTCGATGGCAACACTTACATATGACACACAATTGTTTGGTCTTGTAGACTCAAAATACATAAAGTAATCTATTAGGACATTTAGACATATTTGACATTGTAATGACTTGCTTTCTTTATGTATGCCATTGAACTTAATATTTGTATGGTTTTTCAGGTTCTGGTGTGGTTACGGATGCAGAAACGAGTTATCATGCCAAAGTTATGTTCTTTTCGCTCATACCGTTTCTAGTCATCCTACTACCGAGCGTGTTTGGTTTATCGTATTCTAGTCAGGGATACAAGATCACGATTCTTGTGTCACTTTATGTTTCTGTTATTTGCTTATTTGCATACTTCATCTATCAGGTATACATTCATCTCACTTAGTTTGCAAAATTATTGTAATCTAATGCTCGAGAATAATTATATATAGTTATTAATTGAATGGGTAATTGGATAATAACTGGATGGTCAATTGGATTTGATCGGTTCGGTTTTATTGGCATCTGGACTGCCATCCCAAAACCGACTGATCTAATTTGGATATTGAAATTTTGTTACCGTTCAAATTCAATTACAATTGAATATCTGATTATGCCCAGTTGTTTCTAATTGAATCATTTGGTTTGAATTGGATCAGATGACTTTCTACACACTACAAGATTTCATTCTTAGGCTTTTTGGGAAACATCTGTTTTGCAGTATTCTGATTCTGATAAAAGAATTAAGAAAAGAAGAATGGGTTATGCAAAAGTTGAAGAAAAAGTAGAAATGCATGTACCCTTTTATGAAGTACAATCACTTATGCTAGATAGGGAGAAACATCTTCATATCAGACAAAAAGAAATGGAGAAAATGCTAAACGATCCCGAGACTAACAACGAAACGATGACGAAGAAAGAATTCTACGGTACGTTCAAGGAATGGCTTGATGTCACGAGACAGTTAATGGACGATCCATATTCGTTGGACAGATCAGGGACGAAATACAATAAGGTAATACTCCGTTGTTGATTGGTATCAGTTTTCTTTACTACAACAAAATTAGAAATTGTAATAAGTTGATGGGACGTTTTTCAACTTCTTAACAAGTTTTTTAAGACATTTTTAATACAAAGCGTCTCATTGGAAATTTTATAGGACATTTTTTAGAATGTGTCCTATAAACTCGTCATTTTATAGGACATTTGTTTTTATAGGACACTTGTGCTTCAATTGGACATACTATAACAAAATCGGCTTTATATGACATCAAATACGTCTAAATATTCTAATAGCCAGACTCGTTTATAACACCAAACAGTTGTATGTCTTATACAAGTGTGTTACAATTAATTGATAGAATATTTTCCAACATCTTAACAAGTTTTTCAGACATTTTTGAAATTAAGCTTCGTCATTGGTATTTTTATACGAGATTATTATAAAATATGTCTTGTAAAAACAAATGTCCTATAAAAATGTGTTAACGGAATAGTACTTTAGTTCAAAAGTGTCCTAAAAACTTGTTAAGATATGTACATATAAATTTAAGTTTTATAAAGCACTCTATTAAGACATTTCGATATATTTGACGTCTTATAAAGCTGATTTTATTGAAACAAAATAAACCTGTATTATTTTTATCTGTATATAATTTCAGGTTGCAATACCATTGCTTGAAGATAAGAGGGAATTGATGAAACAAATAAACCATATGATGGAGAGTGCTTCAGGAGAGAACTTGCTTAAAGGAGGAGCACTAGATAAATCCATAGATAGGTAAGGATGTCAAATATGTTTAAATGTCTTAATAGATTAAGAGGGAAGGGTTTAAACGAGAACAACCCTGTTTACAGAAATGCGAGAACGTTTCTAGGCCTCCAATTTTATTTAACATCATTATCACATCAAAATCGCTTCATAAGAAGCCTTCGATTCACCACAACAAAATTGGTGTTATAAGACGCTTAGATTGTCTAAGCTTCTTAATGAAATATAGTATAGAACTTAGGTTTATAGGACCAAACTATAAAGCGTTCTATGTAAAAGCGTTACAATAGGTTTATATGATAGTTTTCCAGACGTTTAGTGTCCTATTAACCCATATTTTATACGACATATGTGCTTAATGGACACTTCTTCAAACAATGTCGTATACAATAGTTAATACGATACCTTATTTTATACTCGTCTTAAAAAACTTGTTAAAACGCGTAGAAGCATCCTATTGTATAATACTTTCAGATAGAACATTTAGACATATTTTATAGGACTAAATGCATAAAATAACAACCTACTTTTATAAAATAAAAAATATCATAATATTGTGCTTTCATTTCTTTATTACACCAACGTACTTTCAAATTATTTTTATTAGAGCATTGTATTTTGAAAATTTTACTCATCATAGCAATGGGTAACTTCTTACCTTTTAAACCGTTTAACCACATTTTTCTTTGTTTACTTGGCTTCAATGAGGTGACGTAGATGACATATATGGCATAGAAACCGGCAACCTATGTCATGTCATCTTATTTCAAATCAAAATGTTACTCATTGATATAATGGGTATATTTTCTAAAGTGCAATGTCTTAATAAAAAATAATTTGAAAGTATATTTTTGTAATAACAGAAAAAACGAAATTAGAATATTATATTAATAAAAATTATAAAACTAAGTTGTTATTTCGTGTATTTAGCCTTTTTATATGACATTTACAAGAGTAGTCCTCCAAATACCTTATTTGTTTTTATACGACATTTTTCAAATAATTTATAAAAAAACTAATAAAATGTTTTATTTAACCTAAAAAGTGTTACTGTTTCATCAACTCATTAATTGTATGTTCTATAAAACAGTTTATTACGCAATTTAAACATGTTTGGTGTCCGTTATCGTGTTATGCGTAGGTTCTAACTTCGTGTTAAATGCTTTCAGGTTTTTCGAAAAGGTTGATACCGACAAAAGTGGATCTATTACGGAAATTGAACTGAAAAACTTCATTATGGAAGTCAACTACAAGGAGGTAGTGATGGAAGACGACATAGCAGAGATAATGATGCGACATTTAGACATCGATGGGAATAAAGACATCGATAAAGAAGAATTCAAATTGGGGATTGCGAAATGGGTCAAGGAGATCAATCATGTAAACCGACAAAAGGAGATCAATCATGTAGACCAACAAAAGAAGTCACAGGACGACAATCAAGTAAGAAACTTGACGATCAAAAACAAATTAGGGGTTGTTTGTTTACCTCTTAATAGTTTCATTAAAAGACAGACTCTAAATCATTAAGAGGTGAATCTTGTTTGGCAAAAAAAAAGTATGCCTCTTAATGGTTCTAAAATCCTCTGAATGGTTTTGTATCATGAGTCTCCCTTAACCATTAATCGCCTTAATTTCATTATAAACAATTACCAAACAATTATATTTCATTTTTCACTATATCATGAGAGCCTCTTAATCATTCACCAAATCATTCAGCAACTGTCAAACAGCCCCTTATTTAGGAAAATAACCTTCTGACATATTCTATTTCAAGAACTTTTGATAAATTTTCATTTGAAAAAACTTTCTGAATTTTTTTTTTAAAAGAATGACATTGTGATGCAAGAACGTCTTTGCCTTACAGAATACTTCCTTTTGCTGACACAAGAATGTCTCAAAATCTATCAGAAGATTGTTCTTGTAGATAATCTGATCTAGAACGTTGGTGCTTTCAACCGTATTGAAGGGATTTTGTAGGGTCCATAAATTGTTTATTTTGTGTAGGGAGCCGATGGGTACCAAATCGCAGAGGCAAAGGCGAAATTTGATGAAAAGTTTAAGGCAATTATACTATTGGTAGTCGGAATCTTTATGTTAACGGTCTTGGCGGAGCCTCTTGTAGAAAGTGTTCGAGAATTTTCAGAATCTGTAAAGATAGAGCCTTTTTTCGTTTCGTTCATCTTAGTCCCCTTGGCTACAAATGCTAGATCGGCTATGGCAGCCATTAAAGCTGCAAAGCAGAAAAGACATTCAACGACATCTTTAACTTTATCCGAGGTTTGTATCATTTTTTGCTCAATATATGTTGAAACTGCATTCTTTCCACAGTGACTCTTTTGGAAAGTAATCTAATGGGTTCTACATATTCTGACCTGGTCAATTTCTTCTTAAAATACAGATATACCATAAAGTGTTCATGAACAACGTCCTCGGCTTTTTTGTTCTTGTATCCGTCATATACTTTCGTGACTTGACATGGCATTTCTCGGCAGAGATTCTAGTTGTGGTCATCGTTTGCATCATAATGGGGATTCTCACGAGTTTTAGATCCAAGTTTCCGAATTGGACATTGCTCATCGCCTTCCCTCTCTATCTGCTATCTTTGGTCGTGATTTACTTTGTCGATGATACTTTTCAGTTTACCTGAAACTTGAACTATAACCGGTATTAAACATCGTTGTCCCATTTGATCAAATTAGAGATGTGCTTTATTTTTTTAATTTGCCTTGTACGATCAAAGGAGCTGGTTTATGTTATACTCTTGTGAGTTCTTAAAATGCTTAATATCAATTAAGATAAATATAACATCAAATAACTATCAAAACTACAAGGGTGGTGCCTGATTGGTATGAGCTTGGCTCTAATGGTCAAAAATATCAGGAGGTCTCAGCTTCAAATCCAAGGAGGAATAAAAAACACCTGCTTCGGGCTATCTGCAAAGCATGTGGTTGCCCTGGGATTAGTCGGCTCGCATAGCGGAGATATCCAGGTTAATCAAGAAAAAAGAACCATAATTGGCCATGGCCCAATGTCGGACTAAAAACGAACGTCTAGCAAGTCAAGGCCCAGGCCCATCAAGCCCATTTCAGGTCTTAAAGCTTGATGTGTAAGGATTAAAAAAACTAAAAGACATTTTGAACAATTGATGTGTAAGGATTAAAAAACCAAGACAAATATATAGTAAACGATTGACTTTGTTTCTTCTATATGTTGTTCTAGATGTATAAGGGTTGGGTTGGTCAAGTTGAAGGTATTTGAAGTTTTGAACAACTCAGACTAATATTTACAGTTTAAAAAATCTCAACTCAGATCCGTAAACATGTGAAAATAGAAAAAAAAAAAACTTTTCACTCAAATCCGCAAGTGGGTGGAAAGTGAATGTTTTTTGTTTAGCTCATATGTGAGTCACGGATGTGTCACTTGCGGAGGTAATGATATTTTTTAAAATTCCGGAGAAAAATGGCTAAAAGATGAATTTGATCCCTGAAAATCGCTATTTCTATTATTGATCCCTGAAAATGAAGCTTTCGTTAAGTATTGTTTACTTCTTATTTTCGCTTTTTAAAGAACGTAAACATAAAAACAGAAAACAACAACGTTGTCAAACAAGTTTTGAATGACTAAACCATCTGGACTATGATGTTTCTTGGATTCGAATCTAAGCCTGTCAAAGCTCTTGTGGAGCGTGGCCATGAAGATTCACTCACGATGACGTTAGATCATTTGTGATCATTTGAGGGATTAGTCAGTTGTGTGTAAGCTGACCCCGAATGTCTATGGTTACCAACGTCTTGAATGGCAATTTCTTAAAGTAAATCTCTTATACCTTTTAATTATATCGTTACAAAATTGAATAATTTTAATAAAAAATTTAATGACGACTAGTCATATACATCTTCTTTAATTTGTAACAACCATATTATAATTAGTCATTCGGTATTAAATATATGAGGGAACGACTCTGATAACCATTCATCTACACGATATACCCATATGCATACGAGCAATTTGTAAGTAATGTGTTCGATATGTACATAACATGTATATATGCATAAAAACAAAAAAACAGATTTAGTTACTTATATGCATGTGTATATACCGTCCACATGAATGATTACTCGGTGTTGTTCGGTTTTTAAAATAAAAATTATTAAGAAATCACATGAACTAAAATCGTAATTTAGTCCGGAATTATTTGACAAAATTGGTTTGGGTTTCGGTGTTCAAATCATTCGACATCGTCGGAGAAAGGGAAACAATCATTTTCCACGGTTGGGGGTTTAAGGTTCTGGAGATCTCACCAACAAATCTAGTCCGTCTGTCAATCTCTGAGAATTCCTTCACACCTTAAAACCCTAATTTCAATTTCTCAATTTTTTCCGAAAATAGCCATGGATCACGACATCTCTCCCTCTTCCAGCTCTTTTAATCGTTTTACAATTCTTTATTGCAAATGTCTGCATACCCTTTTCAGTTGCTTCTTCACTGTATCAGCAGCTCTGCAATTTAGGTACATCTGTTCTTGCTTCTTTTGATTTCCTTTTCTCGTAATTGGCTGTTTATTGGGATTTTTCTTTGTTAATTGCTTAATTTTATATAACTTGATGAATTTTGCTGTTAATTAGTTTATGGGTGTGTCAGATTCTTCATGAAATGTTGGTTTTCTTCATCATTTTTGGTGTTTATTGGATTGCATTTGTTAATTGCTTCATAGGGTGTGTCAAATCTTTCATGAAATGCTGGTTTTCTTGATCATTTTTGGTGTTTATTGGATTGCATTTGTTAATTGCTTCATAGGTTGTGTCAAATCTTTCATGAAATGCTGGTTTTCTTGATCATTTTTGGTGTTTATTGGATTGCATTTGTTAATTGCTTCATAGGSTGTGTYAAATCTTTCATGAAATGCTGGTTTTCTTSATCATTTTTGGTGTTTATTGGATTGCATTTGTTAATTGCTTCATAGGGTGTGTAAAATCTTTCATGAAATGCTGGTTTTCTGATCATTTTTGGTGTTTATTGGATTGCTTTTGTTAATTACTTCATGGGTTGTGTCAAATCTGTTAGAATTATCTGTCAATTGAATCGAATTTGGATAGCGTAAAATCACTTTCCTTTAGTAATAATTTGACCCTATGAAAAGCTTTGTGTTACATGAAGTTTACTTTACTTTGGATGATCCAAAAATGTGGGTTGTTTTCAGGCCAAAAGCAAGAGCGAAAAACACAAAGATCTTGTGTTATATGTAGGTGGTTACTCGTCAATACTAGCAGTTATCGAGTGGTTCTGAGAGGTTACAAAGCGGTTAGGAGCATCATCATTGGTGAGCGTGCTCACCTATCAATGTCTCACCTATCAGTGGCACTGTAGTGAGACACTGAACATAGACACTGAAGTTGTACGCTACAACTTTAGTGCCTGGTTCTCATGCATACAGTTTAGGGGAGAATCCCCATGACCCCTGTCATATGGCTACTCTAGGTTCAAGTTAGCTTATACAAGTGTGCACACTCCACAAGGACGGACCCACCTTGGTGCCACCATATTATTCCTCTGTCGAAGGGTAAAAAGAATTAGGTTCATGAAATAGTGCAACCCCTATCAATTTGTTCTGTGCCACGGTATATATTTTGTAACTACAATAAGGACACAAGTTTTCCTTGGTAGAATTGGTTTGCTAGGCTTTTCTTCCACCCCAGTTCGAATCCAATTAGTGTCATTTTCTTAGGCTTTAGCTTTTAATTTCAGATTTATTATGTTTTTGAAAAAAAAATTGCAATAAAAGACTTGAACACAAGACCTCATATATGAAACATAATGAACCAACCAATAGACTAATTATGATATGAAAAATATCGCGATATTTGTTTCTTATAGACAAACGGTGCCACAATTTGAAAAAAAAATTGGTCCGTCGTTGACAAGCACCTCGTAACCTGAATTATATCTTAACCAAAACCCCTGCATTCTCTTGTAAATCTCAGCTATAACAAAATGGCTTGATGGCACTAAAATCACCAACAAAAGCATTTGAATTTGTGTCGTTACAGACCTTATCAAAAATAAGATCATTAGATTTCTTGAAGTTAATCTTGAATCGCAATTTCATGATGCTTTTGTGGTAGGTTTTTGCAGTTTCATAGGTACAAATGGGTGTTTGTAATTGGTTTAAGAAGATAAGCGGAAATAAGAGAAAGAAGGAAATCTCGCCCGTAAAGTTGGAGGTAACGACTTACTAATCTACGTTTGAGTTGAAGTTTATGCGACAAAATTGAATGCAATTTATGCCATATTTATCTTACCCCGAAGTCGTTTTAGGCTTGCATTTGTCAATATCATTGACTCTCCTCCGTGGTTTTCACGAAAACAATTGCTCTACTTTTTGGGGTAAATGACACGTTTGTGTACATTTCACCTTGGACCCCACCTCCAGATGGGGTTTGTGTCAAAGCATAACTCTTTTTTCAGGAAGTCTCAACTCTCAAGGAGTCAATTTTGCTCGACTTTTTGCTTCATATAGCAGATTCAACCGGATTCCATCGATTCAAAAGACGCAAAGGATACATATTCTACGGGGAACAAATCGGGGTTTCTTGCCTCTGGTAGGGAAGTTATTGGCCGTAAAATTGGAACCAAGGAAATTGCGGCTACTCGAATCCAAAGTGCATTTCGAGCATATAAGGTATGTGTTTTTTTAAGTTTTACATTTTCGTTTTGTGGTTCCCGCTTAGTGACAATGGGACCAATAAAATGGAAAACTGCGGACACATGACATCTAGTTTGTGCTCTAATGTGTCTCGTAGACGGGGTATGACAAAACAAAAACCCTAAACTTGTTGTCTCATGTTTGGTTTAACATTTAGGGCCTGTTTGTTAGAAGCTTAATGAGCGTAATGGGACTCGGCTTATTCGGCTTGCTATATATGTTTGTTTGGTAGTGGCTTAATGATATAGAAAGTGGCTTATTCAGTAAGCTTCTACGGGGAGCTTTATGCAGAAAGCTAAGTTTTTTCCAACATGCTCTTCCCAATTAAAAAGCATGCTCCTTCCATCCATGCAAAAACTCTCCCAAACAAAAATCTTCCTAATTGATACAAATAGATTAATCCATACAAGACCTAATGGAAAACCGACCAAACAACCCCTTAGAGAGGATTAGGACATGATTGTACCAAAATAGGTGGGGAGAAAATCAAGGAGATAGGACAAAATTGGTAAATTACTAAACTGCCCTTGTCTAATTAAAACATTAAAACCTTGCATAATTCTTTCACCCGCGTGTCCAGTCCGGTCTGCGTACCGAAATCACCAAAATAACGATTCTTGATGATATTCTCGTTTTGTGTATGACCATATAACAGGCAAGAAAAGCGCTACGTTATCTCAACGGGATCTCAAGATTTCAGGCACTGGTCGACATGGATGCTCTTACAAAGCAAGCTTCAAATGCTCTTGAAATATTACATTTTTGGAGCAAAATCCAGGCGGAAATCAGTGCTCGCCGCCTTTCGGCCACTGAAGGCCAGATTAAGCAAATGAAGCTTGGAGATCAGTTGAAAGTCGAATCCAAGCTTCATGAACTTGAGGTACTACTTATATCCCATCATTGTTATGAAAAAAACCAAAAAAACAGTTGTAACTTTTGCAAGAATAAATGGTTTTGTATAAGATATAAAACTTGTAAAAAAATAGTAGTGAAATATGACTGTGGGTCCATAAGAGATACACAAGGGCCGTTTTTTTTGGGGCCTAAGGCCCGTTTTAAGTGTGCACAAAAAGGCCTGAGTTTTTTTATATTTTGGGATCGAAAAGAAAACCCAATCGAGCTTTTCCAAGTTTTTTCAAGCCGGAAGTAGGTTCAGACCTGCCTCTACGTTTCAGCTTGATCGGGCTTTAAGCCCTGGTCAGGACCAGGCGTCGGGCTCACTGGACCTGGGCCGGGTTCGGGGTTGGGGTTTTTGGTGCTTCTCCTCCGCTTGCTGAATGTAGGACCCACAATATAACTATGAAGCAATGCAGAGGACAATAACGTCATTCTGTGACACGGTGCAGCTGCAACTGTTTTTGTTAGCACATGAATTCATGAGCATTCATTTCTAAATATTGCTGCAAAATTACTTTACCACCCTTGCTTCAAAAATTGTGTCTTTTTTCGACATTAAATTGTCATGGAGTTTTTTAAAAGGGTAATAATGACATTTTTAAATTATTTCTTTTTTTCATTATAGATGTTTTAGTAAATTACATTTTTGTCCTTATGGTTTGCCAAAAATTGTGATTTCGGTCCAGTGGTTCAGAAATTGTGGTTTCTATCCCTATGGTTCGGAATTCATTGCTCTTATGATTCTAAATGTATTGTTGTTTCGGTTTTTATGGATTACGATTCTTTACTGTTTTGGTCCCTTGTACTTGAGAATACGAATTAGTCCAAGGACGAAAATAGCAATAAATTACAATCATAGGGACCAAAATCGCAATTTCCAAACCACAAGGATGGAAATCAAAATTGTTAACAAACAACAGGCACGAAAATCATAATTTACTCTAGATATTTATTTTAGGACGGATTTTTTTGGAATATTCCTTAATGACGGTTGTGTGTCAGATGAAATGGTGTGTTGAACCCGAGATGGAGGAAACCGTATCGAAGATACAACAAAGAGCGGAAGCGGCCAACAAACGTGAAAGAGCGTTGGCATACGCGTTTTCTCATCAAGTAACGTTCCCGGAAACAAATTTCCGTAATTTTTGAAACTTTTTAGTTTTGGAATTGACGAAACTGAATTTGTGATTGTGATGATCTTGTGAAGTGGAGGGCCAATTCGAACCGATATTTTGGTCAAGCTTACTATGATTTAAGCAAAGAAAGCTGGGGTTGGAAATGGATCGAGCGATGGATTGCCGTATGCCGGTGTGAGGCTCACGTTGTAGTTCGGCCCGTCGTTTCTCCACGGGCTGGGCCAAAACCGAAACCCAAAAAGGTGTTGGTTGCGATGGGAATGGAGAAGGTACAACAAAAGCAAGCAATTGTCCTTCCGGAAGAACGATGTTGATTTCCGCACTTTCGTGATTCAGCGTCAAACCGTTTCTTGTTACGTACAAATTATCGTTCTCGAAAATACTGAATTTTTAAAAACTATTTAATTTGGTAATTTTTTTGAAAACCATCTGATTTTTCCAATTATAATTTATTTTTTTAGTATTTTCTTACGAGAACGATATTTTTATAATTATTTTGTGTATTAAAAAAAGTACACATGTTGGGTGTTTATGTGATACGTCACTTTCGATTTGTACATATTTAATTATGTTTTTATTTAATTAAATATGATGGTCTTTGGAATTTAATTTCTGACATTTAAATAATATTTTAAATCTTTTAATTTTTTAAATTAATTAGAAATTAATTATATATTTTGTTGAATATATTTGTTTACTAAAAAGAAAATGGTTTTTGGTTGGTGGAGATATTTGCATCCCCTTTATAAATAATATTTTAAATCTTTTAATTCTTAATTAATAAATATTTAAAGTTATAAAGATAAAATAATTTAATATAAAAGTTCATCAAAATTAGTTAATTGATAAATCAATAAATGAATTATAAAAAAGTCTAAATATATTATAACTCAATCAAGTAAAATAAATCCGTAGTACGATTACTAGATAATGATTGCTCGTACTTATTTATTTGAGTCATATACGGAGTAGCTCATGTGAGTGTGAAATCATATTTGAAAATGAAAACAATTTGGCACGATAAATTATAATTATAATTGTAAAATCAACATGTTCTGCCAAAGATTGAAGTGGGAAGAATGTCATAATACCTACAGTTGTTAAATAATGTAGTATCACATTGTATCTTGAAACAATCAGCAAGTCTGTAAAGAGAGAATGTTGAAGTTGTTAAATAATGTAGTATCACATTATTTTTTGATATTTTACTTACTTGTTTATTTATATAAGTTAAGTTTATAAATATAATGAAAATAATATAATAAATAAGAAAAAAGAATGAAATGCTATTAATTCAAAAATTATAGTGATTATTATTATTATTTTCATTATTTTATATAATAAATACGTCTTTAACTATGTTTTTATTATTAATTTTTTTATTGATTATTATTATTTATAAAAATTAAATTTATTATTTAACTAATATTAATTTCAGGCTCTTATGTCTGATTTGTTAAGAGACAAGATCATTCAGACTGTTTGTTTTTTCCAGTTTTTCATAGGCATTTATGTCTTATTTTTCTCTTATCTGATAAGAGGTAAATCAACCTCTTATTTGCATCTTATTATTATTTAAATCCTCAACAACGACGTTTTTCTCAATCGATCCTTACTAAGTGGCCGTTTACCGAACACTTACCCGGTAAACGTTTATCGGTAAAATTCAACACTATCAGTTACTTATCGGACAAGATTTTAGTCCATCAAAAAGTAATCGTATACAACAATTTACCCTGTAAACGCTTACCGTGGTAAGAGTCGTTACTCTCACTTACCAAGTAAGACTTTTGGTCCTTATCTCGCTCTTAATGGGTAAGATTCTTGGTCATTACCATATTCATCTAGTAAGCTAATGTGATTTGGTAAGTATTTACTCGGGTAAGCGTTTGGTAAACAACCCCTAAATCAATCCTCACCTCTTTCAATCAATGTATTTTAATATGATGTAAATGTGTTAAACACCGATAATGACATATTTTTGTTTAAATGAATGTTAATTATATAATTTAAATGTAAATTTCATAATGACAATAAATAAATATGTGAACTTATATAAATTTATCTATAAATTCAACACTATAATTTTTAATGGGTAAAATAGACAATTTAAACAAATCAGATGTTTATCAGTTTACAAAAACAAACAATGTTATTAATTCAGATTTCAGACTTTAGCACCGCCTCTTATAAATCAGAAGTGAAATAAGATTTCAGACTTCATCACCTCTTAAAAAACAAACGTCACCTAAGTAATGAGTAAGAACATCTCCAATAGCTATGGTAAATGGAGAGAATATAGATATTAGCAATTTTGTTGCTCTAAATGTCATGTTATCTCGTATGCTAAAATAGAGAAAGACACTGCAAAAATCTCTAAATTTAAAGGAATCCCTAAATAAAAAGAAATTATTATTTTAATACTTCTTACTAATAAAGAGGCATTGAAAATAAATACTTACGAAAGATAAATAATATTCTATTAAATATTTTAATAATATAGTTAGTATTAAAATTACTAAAATAAAGTATTTATTAGAGTTTAATTAAATTTTTTAGAAAATTTTGACTTTTATTACTTTATTTTAGAGAAAATAGAACGTAGTTTTTAGAGATGTTACAAGACATTTGTATAAATTCTAATTAAAATAAAAATTTAATGTAAAAAATGATTAAAAAATGAATTTGATAAAAAAGATCCACTATTTTAATCAATTTCCCATTAAATGATCATTAAAGCCCATTATAAAGTAATGAGTAAATTACATTTTTGGTCCCTATAGTTTGTGATTTGTTTGACTAAGGTCTTTAAAACGCGTTTATTACACTCTCAAATACCTATGATATGCAAAAACGCACACTCTAAGTCCCTCACTCTAACAGAATAAAAAGGATTTTGTTACCCCTGTTAAGTCAGGGGTATTTTCGTCCTTTTAAACCTTTTTTTGTCTTTTACATATTGGAAAATTAAAAAAATATTACATACAATAATATATATATATATATATGGTTGGATTCACGTGAGACCTACGGTTTTTCATGAGACTCGTAAGACCAATTTATGTTCATTGATCAACTTTATAAGCTAATGATCTAATGGTCTAAAGTTGTACAGTGGCAGTTTTGTGATTATTGAGAAGTCTTGTGACAATTTTATGATTATAAATGTTCAGATTGTAGATCTAATACAAGAGTTGAGAATTGGTTTTACGGGTCTCACGAAAACCTTTGGTCTCACATGATCCCAAGTATATATATATATATATATATGTATGTATGTATGTATGTATATATATTTGGGATCATGTGAGACCAGCCTGTTATCTTGAGACCCGTGAGACCACCTTTTTACACTTGAAACTTCACAGCAAAATGTTGTGAATGTGACTTTTTTTAACCTTTACAGTGTTTTTGCTGTGAAGTTTCAAGTATAAAAATGTGGTCTCACGAAAACAGGCTGGTCTCACGTGAACCGAACCCTATATATATATAGGGTTCGGTTCACATGAGACCAGGGGTTTTTTGTGAGACCCGTAAGATCAATTTATGTTCATTGATCAACTTTATAAGTTAATAATCTAATGGTCTAAATTGCACAGTGGTAATTTTGTAATTATTGAGAAGTCTCGTGGCGTTTATGAATGTTTACATTTTTAGATTGTAGATCTAATCTAAGGGTTGAGAATTGGTCTTACATGTCTCACGAAAAACCATTGGTCTCACATGATCCCAAAGATGTGATCCCAAGTTTATATATATATATATATATATATATATATATATATATATATATATATACACACACATATACAAATATACACCTACACTTCACGAGTTCATGTTTGCACCGTCTTAATTATTCACCTTGTCGGAACCCTCATCTCTGACGAGTGTTTCTGTTGACCCCCATCTCCAAGCTCCCCCCACTTCCACTACTTGTCATCCCAACCAAATATGCACTTGAGCAACAATTGTAAATGGATATGAAGACATAGGGGTGTGGGTATATATATGTATGTTGGGTTTGCATGAATCTGTGTGTGTTAGACAGGTTGATAGAAGATATGGATTTCACATTCATGATATCGGAAAAAAATGGTGGAACCGATATTTGCATACACTTGTTGGGTTACTACCCTCCAGCCCCATCTCACTGTAAACCTGCAACTTCTCTCTCCCCCCCTCTCTGCGCCTCTCTCTCTCTCTCTCTCACATACACACACACCACATATACATAATACATACACTTCTCAACGAATACATATATACTTTTCTCTCCCTTTCTTTAACACATGCAACTTCTCACACCCTCTCTCTAGCTGCAATGATTTGTGCAAATCCAATGAGATAGGTTTGTATGTGTTTGTTGTCGGTGGGTGTGCATGTATGGTGGAGGAGATAGGTTTTTATGTGTGTACAAAAGGTGATCGGAGGTGGAGGTGGAGGTGGAGGTGGAGATGGACTTGAAGGATGTGGCAGGTTGAGGGTGGTGTTAATGGAGACGATGGTGGGTTAGGTGGAGGGTTGAGGAGGCAGGGTGGTTCCATGGAGACAGGGTCGTCCATTGACATGTTAAATGTGAGATTTTGAACAGGTCGCCCGAAATTTGGGGCCCAATTTAGGGTGTAAACTATAACCGAAATTGTTTAGGTTCAAATTATTAATTGTTTGGTTTTAGGTTCAAATTATCAATCGTGTAGATTCAGTTTAAAATTGTTAATCGTTTAGGTTTGGCCTGTAACATCTAATGACAACCGTACCAAATATTGTCCATTTTGTTCACACACCTAGACTCATGGTTTTAAATGCGTCTGATAGAGGAGATATCAAGTCCCTTATAAGGCAATTTTTTTATCCTCCGCAACCAATGTGGGATCTTATAATCCACCCCCGTTGGGAGCCTAGCGTCCTCGCTAGCACACTAGTTTGGCTCTGATACCATATGTATCATCTCACGTCAAACATACCCTATGTTTTCCGCTTTGTCCCACACCTAAACTTACAGTTTCAAAACGTGTCTGATAGAGGAGGTATCAAGTCTTTTATAAATCAACATTTGTTCCCTCCCCAATCAATGTGGGATCTTACATAGCCCATTTTTGTTTTTAACATATATTCTCTGTTATCTCAACGATGCAATTTAATCAAAAAATTTTGAATGTAGCAGGACCTACAAAAAGATTGGAACGTCTCTGTATGGAGAAGAAAGGTGGGGGGAAAAGGCAAGGCCGACGGTGGAAGTGGGATCCGTCATTTTAGGTACCTTATCCACAGGTGGTTGCCCGGAGAAGGAAACTATCATCGGAGAGGCAGAGAGAGGTGGTCGAAGGTGGTGTTAACAGAGTGGGAAGACATATTAATAAAAACAAAACGGAAAAAAGATAAAAATGTCCCTTGAGTTAACTAGGCTAACATATTTCGTTAGAGAGAGGGACTTAAAGTATACACTTTTGCATACCACAGGGACTAATAATATGATAAATAAGTTTGAGGGATCATAGTAGGAAAAATCAACAAACAACAAGGACCAAGAATGTAATTTACTGTGAAGTAATTTATTAATTTCTAAAAAAAAAAAAAAAGGCGGCAATTAACCGCCATGGTGAAACATGTAAGAGAAGCGCGTGTGATATAAAAAAGGGCAGGCAGCCACTACTCGCGCTTCATCAGTAAGAAGAGAGACGAGTTCGGATCCACCACCCTTCTGAATCGCCCCCAATTTTCAAACCCTAATTTTAATCCCCAAATTTTTAATTTATCTTTTTCTTTTCTTCTTTTTCTTTTTTCTTTTTTAATTTTTATTTTTTTTCCCTCTTTCGTTACGGATTTGGATCGTCCTCTCACTCGAAAAACCCTAGTTCCCTGCGAATTTTGACCTCTGTTTTCATCCAATTCCAACCATTTTCGCATTAGATCTGGTTCTAGGTTTTGATTTCTGGAATTTTACGGTTTTGTTTTGTCTCCAGGGTTCGATTTCTTTCCATTCTAGGGTTTGGTTTATTGAAAAACTTTGTGGTCGTTCCAAACCCTAGCTTCATCGAACCAATTCGATTTCTTCGTTTCTTTCGAGGGAATCGGAGATCTTTTGGTGGTTCTGATAAAGTCGGGTTTTTTTTTTTTTTCTTTTTGAAACAAAAAGTTAGGGTTTCTAATTTTTCGATTTTGTTAATAGTTTTCTCAGAGGGTGAGTGTTCGTACATGAATGGCTTCAGGAACATTAGATGCGGATAAGATAAGCAAAGAGAAGAGTAAGTGGGGAGGAGGCAATAAAGTCTATACCAGAAGACCTAAAAAGGGAATAAAGAACGCCGCCGCCACCGCTACCGTCTCCGTCACTGCTGTTTCCTCGGCCACCACCATCCCCTCTTCTCCGGTTACGACTGCGACCGCCGTATCTCCAATCACCACCGCAAATAACGAGCAAACCCTAACACCTGACGACGCAAATTTACGAAGGCAGCAAACTTTAAGACGGGTAGCGGAGGCGTCAGATGATTCCTCCGGCCAAGATCTCCGGCAAGTGGTTGCTGAGGAAGCCATTGTTCCTACTGGAAATGGGGTTGTAAGACCTGTTGTTACTTTCGTTGATGATCGGGTGAAGATTCATTTGGAAGCTTCTACGTCCAAGAATGATATTAAGGAGCTTAGGGAGAAGTTAACAGCTGAGCTGGATCAAGTTAGAAGTTTAGTTCAAAGGCTTGAAGACAAAGAAGCCGAGCTTACGAACAATTCGACTCTTCTTGGTGCTGCCGGCATTGATGAGGCTTATAGTCATTCACAGTATCCAGGTAATGTTATGATAGACAGGAGAGCTTTGCTTAGAGTTAATTCAGAAATGGGTGCAGATTATATGGATAGGAGAGCTTTGGCAAGAGTTCATTCTGAAATGCGTTCAGATACGATAGATAGGAGGGCCTTGATGAGAGTCAATTCTGAAGTGGGTTCATTGGCAAATCAAGATACGAGGTTTAGACAGCTAAATGTATCGGTTGTTGATAATAACAGTCTTGGGGCTGGTGAATTCGTTGAGAAAGAGAAAAGGACGCCAAAGGCTAATCAGTACTACCGGAATTCAGATTTTCTTCTTGGAAAGGATAGATTACCTCCTGAGAGTAATAAGAGGCTGAAATCCAATGGAGGGAGAAAATATAGCAGGGAATCGGATTATATGATTGGTCTTGAAAGGCAAAAGAATCAGGTGTTTAGGAGTTGTAGCAATTTGCTCCAGAGGTTGATGAAGCACAAGCATGGTTGGGTGTTCAATGAACCTGTTAATGCGAAGCAGCTTGGGCTTCATGATTACCATGACATCATCAAACATCCTATGGATTTGGGCACGATTAAGAGTCGACTGGCCCAGAACTTCTACAAGAACCCTAGCGAATTTGCGGAGGATGTCAGACTCACCTTTCATAATGCCATGACTTATAATCCAAAAGGGCAAGATGTCCATGTTATGGCTGAACAACTATCAAATATATTTGAAGAAAGATGGACGGTGATTGAGTCTGAGTATAATAGAGACTGGAGGTACGGAACAATTCATGGTGCGGGCACACCCACTCCAACTTCAAGAAAGGTTCATCATTTTGCGCATGCCCCTATAAGAACTCTGGATAGGTCAGAGCCCATGACTTTGCCTTACGTGTCTAGGCCAAAACCGTCAAACTTTGCCCCATCAAGTAGGACACCTGTGCAAACGAAACCTAAAGCCAAGGATCCCAATAAGAGGAACATGACTTATGAAGAGAAGCAAAAGCTCAGCGCAAACCTTCAGAGCTTACCTTCGGAAAAGCTTGACAACATCGTGCAGATCATCAAGAAGAGTAATACTTCTCTTTCTCAACATGACGATGAGATTGAAGTTGATATCGACAGTGTTGATGTCGAAACTCTATGGGAACTTGATCGGTTTGTCACCAATTACAAGAAGAGTTTAAGCAAGCACAGAAGGAAAGCTGAGCTTGCTCAGCAGGCAAGAGCTCTAGCTGGAAATGCAAATCGGACCATGCTAGAAGTATGAACTATATAGAAAATTTCTTCTTGTAGTACAAAATTTTCATTCAGACACATGATTTTAATTATCTGACATTTTTGCAGAATCCAGCAACATCCATCCCAGAGGCACCAACGGAAAAGAGAGCAGGTAACTTTTTCTGAGTTCATATTGCTTGTTTGTTTGGAGGAATTTGATCTCCATGTGCTAATAGATTGCAAATGTGTAAGCAGCTGAGAAGAGTCTTGCTGCTATTCCTGCAAACCAAGGAGATATCAGAGGGGATAATGTCAGTAGGTCTAGTAGTTCAAGCAGTTCGAGCAGCGATTCTGGATCCTCTTCAAGTGGTAATTGATTATATTGTATTTTCTTCTGTTAAGATGTTGCTTCTTTCTGTCATGTTGGTTTTTTCATTGATGTCGATGTTAATTCTGCTGACTTGAAACGTTTTCACTGTTGTTTTGGTGATCTTGCAGATTCAGATAGTGACAGTTCCTCCGCAGATGGATCAGATGCAGGGCATTCACCTAGGTGTTGAACGGAGCAGAGCAAGGTAGCTTACCCCTAATAAAATTCTGCGCATTTATGTTTCTCGCATGCAACATGCTGATTTTTCTTGCCATACTTTGTTATAAGATGATGTGCGTTTTTTTATTGAGTGCTCGTTTATAGGTTGTTTATTTGTTTATATTTTGGTACTTTGCGTTCATTCTTATATCGACTGTTTATAGAGTTCTGTACAGCTTATTGAGTGGTAATATAGCTTCTCGATGTTTGAGGGGATTGTCGAGGCTCTCCATTGTATTTGGAGCTTGATCGATAGGCCCTTCTTTGTCATGGGTCTTTCTGCATACTTTTTGTGAAGGTGGTGAAAATTTGAGGCTCGAGTCATTCGGTATATGTGAAAGTCATGTATGTTGAAGAGAATTAGTCTGTGCTTATTATGAAATAGAACTAAAATAGTGATTGCCATTTTCATTCGTAGTAGCACCCATCAAAGGCTCCGTCAATCTTTCTTTATTGGGTAAGAAAGTCATTCACCTTGTTTGCCCTGTTTTTTCACCATCACCAACTTCAAGAGTACTGTTCTTTTGGAAGGTTAGAACCAGTAAAAACCTATTTCCATGTGAAAAGTATATAACTTGACTTGGCTTGTTTGAATGTTCAAGAGAGGTAGAATAGACTGAGGCAGTGTTTGTTTTGATTGTTAAATCCTTTTGAGGCCTTACTGATAACCTCTGGGGTACGTACCGGACAGGACTGCTGTTCAGCATTTGGTGAGACATGATTGGACATGTAAAAATGGCTAATTTACCCTTAATGAGTTGTTTATATTTTGATTAATTTATTTAATTATTAAATTATAGCAAAATATATCATTGGAAAGTTTCATCAAGACAATTAAAATGACACCGAAATATGAAGTTCATTGACTTCCAATTGCTGCCAACTTCGTGATAGAACGACCATGCGAAGGGATACAGATAGGCTGTCCTCCCACACTTAGGGCATTGTGTTACACCTTACATGTATGTATTTAGCGCTATTGTCAAGTATCTCATTCACTACTAAAAGAAAGGTATGGATATTCTGCTCAGAAGCTTGACGAAGAAGCGTAAGCAAAAAGCATATTTTAGGAAAGAGGTCCCAGTAGCTCAGCTGGTTACAGCTAATGAGTTTTTACTTTATACCCTTTCTATATTATCTTTTTATTATTAAAATTTAATAATTTACATAAATTAACCAAAATATAGGAAAGGTATTAAAATAATATTTTGAGGACAGTAAAGTAAAAGTTTAAGAAGACTAAATACGACAAATAAAATTTGAAGAACGGAAAAATGTAAAGAGGGAGACATATTAGATGTTTTAGAAGAGAATTAAGCTTTATTTTAAGGGTATGTCGGCAAAATATAGGCTTGTTACATCTTGTTCCATGGGGTTGAGGTGGAACACGCCCGTTCCACTTTGCTCCACTTAGAAGTCATGCCAAACATGGAACAGTGATCTCTCTTCTGTTTTGTGTACCAAATGCACCTTTATAGTACATTGCCTGCTATATGGTAAATTGTCTTGAAATAGTATGTATGCATTTTTTCTCTCTCACACTGAACTTCAATTACACCTGTATGCTTTGATTGGTTTCGGAAGTAGATTGTGAAAATAGTGATCTGAAAATAACTAAGATTGTTGCTCGTTATCTCTATTACTACAACGGGTTAACAGTTCAAGTTTTTGGAGATATATTTGGCATTTCGGTAAATTTATGATGGAGAATGTTGCATTTCAGAAATGGTATCAATTTTAGCAAATATTTTGTTATAATTATGTTATGTGTTGAAGATATGTTCTCGCTTATCTCTTTATCGTAAATATGAATCTTAGGAACTACCGGATTTCTAATGATTCTGATTATGAAAAGATCATATGTGCACTTCCTGGAAATGAAAATCTTCTGTTTCTTGGTTACGTTTCGTTATGATGGAATTGTTTGACTATTTGGCAGATTGTAGCGGATTTTTATTGAAATTACAAAAAATGGTGCTTCTGATATAATGGCCGAACCCGGATGATGTGCAGAAGGATGTCAAGTTGAAATTATGTTTGAACTTGTTGAGGTGATGGCTTCGAGTTCGATTCAGTTAGAAATTAGGGTGTATGAAATAGATGTTTTTAGAGATACGGGAACTCCTTGGCGTAGCAAATGTAGGTTTAGTTGCAAGGAACCGGAACCCGTCGTCATCGTAGGGGTTTGGAATTTAATAGAAAAGATTGGTTTCATAAGTTGGTGTTTTGCCCTTCATTATATTCTTTGTAATGATCTCAGTCAGATGCCAAATGGGAAGAAAAAAAAAACATGTATAGTTCCTGCTGCCATTTTCTATTTCTCTAACTTTGCAAACTTCTGCTTGAAATATTCAATTTGCAGCCAAAAGTTATAAAATATTTGCTTTTATGGAACTTCAATTAGTGGTTATTTACCAGAAAAAGCCAATATCTTTTTCTCACTTTATTGGGTGACATTTTGGATCATCAAATAAGATTCTTGGTAAGTGATCTTATTCGGTAAGAGTTTAAGGGCTTGTTCATTAAGTTTCTAGGGGAAGCTTTATGTAAAAAACCAAGTCCTTTTAATTCCAAACCTACCATTCCTAATTAAAAAACGCACCATTTCTATCTATGAAAAAGCTCTCCCACCTCCCATTTTATGTAGACAACTTTATCCATACAAGACTGGTTGTTTGGTTTTTCCCTTGAGTCGTATAAATAAAACCGTCTGTGTAAATTAATGTCTACACAAAATGAGAGAATTTGTTTGGGAGGGTTTTTCATGGATGGAAAGAACATGTTCTTTAACTGAGGGGCAGATTTGGAAAAAAAAAAACTTAACTTTCTACATAAAGTAGAAGAATACCGAATAAGTAGTTAAAGTACCAAATAGTCGTATATTGCTGAACGAACAAGCTACGAGTCCCATTAAGCTGTTAACAAACAGGACCGACCAGACTGCCCCTAAGAGTCTGCATCACTTGATGAATAAATTCTTGGTTTTTGCCATGCTTGCCTGGTAAGAGTTTGATAAACGGCTCCTTAATATTTGCTTAAAGCATCCAAGAAAAAGATGTTTCAACACTCAATAATGGTGGAATTGAGATACAAAGTGTATATGGTTAGCAATTGGCTTCCTTTTTATTGGGCAGGCAGGTAATTAAGACTCAGAAGCATGTTACAAGAAGTTATGCAAAACTGTGATGGATGCAACCAACATTTTAGTTTTGGTTGGCAAACTTGATTCCCTTCTCGATAGACGACTTTAGTTCGGGCAAAAGGGCTTCCAATCCTTGTTTCTCATAGTCTGAAAGTGAGCCGAGCCCAAGCACTTCCTCGACGCCATTTTTCCCAAGTCTCACCTGCAGAGCACCACAAAGGCCGATATCATCACTTGAAAATATTAAAAGCGTTGGATGTGAAAATAGAAGAAGAAAACCAACAGTACCTTTGATGCAAAGAAAGGTAGTTCAGTTATGTTTGATTGCACAAAGGAACATTCTACAACATCAGGGACCCCATTAAGTCCTTTTAAGCAAGCATCAGCAAATATGGCTCCAGCATAACTGCATTAAATTATACCTCGGATTATTTCCTTTCTTTTAAGAAGCAAATATCGTCAACGGGGAACTGTAAAATTGGATTGGTATATATATATATATATATATATATATATATATATATATAGAGAGAGAGAGAGAGAGAGACGAAGGATCATGTGATAATAGGAATTAAGGTGAGAAGTGTAAGAAGGGATTTGGACCCTTAATCACTTTTAATTCCAAAACAACCCATGAATTGCACTTTAGAAGAGAATTGATCTAATGTATCTCGTTAGTGTTGATCTAGTGGTTCCCTCCAATTAGGATTGATCAAGGGTGAAGATTTTTCTTACCCTTCTCATCATAACTTTAATTCTCACCGGAACCCATCCCCCTCCTCTCTCTCTCTCTCTCTCTCTCTCTCTCTCTCTCTCTATATATATATATATATATATATATATATATATATATATATGCCAAAAACATGATCAAGAACATGTTTTCTTCAAACAAGGCTTAGGGGTTGTTTGGTTGGTTTTCCATTAGGTCCTGTATGGATAAAGCTGTCTGTGTGGATTAATAACATGTTTGTATAGATTGGGAAAGTATTTGTTAAGGTTTTTTCATAGATGGAATGAGTGTGTTTTCTAAGTGGATAGATAGGTTTGGAAAATCTTGGCTTTCTGCAAAAAGCTCCCCCTAAATAAGTTACTTTTATATCATTAAGCCACTACCAAACAGTCATATATAGCTGATAGAATAAGCTGCGAGTCCCATTAAGCTCCTAACAGACATGCCCTTACTCATAAACACAGAGGATTCTGTCAATAGCTAGAAACAAAATGTCCAAATCATTTACTTAGTTATAGAAAATCGTTACATGGCAATCTGGAAATTAAAATGATCAAGAAAGCAGCAGAAAAGCAGTTGATATAAAGATTCAGAAAATGTGTACACAAGTGAGACCAGTGTTCAAAAAGGAGGGTCATTGGCCTAAGACGCGTCTCTATCAGTACAATAAGATTCGTAGCATTTGTGTAAGGACTAAGGCGTGGCTCCGCATTTTTTTACAAGGTGCGACTTTTTTCAAATTTTTAATTTAATTTTTTTAAACATTTGTGTTTTCACTTCTAACGTTAGATTTTACACTTTTACAAACTTACCTAGATAATAACAAGCAACTGGATTCCACATGTGCCTGTTGGTTATAAATATCATAGATAATAATGTACGATAATAAGTTTCTCATTACTTACTAACGTAAGAAGCCACATGAAAATTGACCCAAGTCTATTTCCTTTTTTAGCTTAAAATCTATTGCACTTTAGTTAGTTTCACTAGTTTCTGAGTTGTGGTCCATATGTAAGAAGTCTGGTACCATTTCTAGTCTATAAGGCCGTCATTCACGGCCGAAAAAACAGTGAACTAAATTAATCAAGTGATTTATTCTCTTCAAAGATTCTCCTACTTGGCTATTACTATTTTTCTTCTAAGACATCCTTATTCATTGAGATATTATTAGACTTATTTTCTGCTCCTACCCGATATCCCAATTTGAGTTATGTACCATGCAATAACAGCGTGTTAGCTAGAATAAACAGGTTGAACAAACGGAATTGGAAATATCAGTTCAAACTTACGCCATAGAGAGTGTAGCGGAACCCTTTCCAGCCTTGGCCTCCACAACCTCCGTTCCACCATCTTGTGTTCGTTTTGTAAGAGCAGTTATCTCTTCAGCTGATAAATCATTTGCAGTTGGTGTGGCCTACATTTGGAAGCATGTGTCAGTACCCATAAACTCTAATGCATCTAAAATAGAACAATAAGCAAGTAATACCTGAGAAAACAATGGCAGAATGGTAATGCCGGCATGACCACCAACAACAGGTACATTAACGCCTGGAACAAGGGGATATAATTTAGACTTCAAGAAGAGGTTGCTTGTAGCTTTAACCAAGGTTTTAAAAGACGGAATCAGGCGTCAAGGCGTTTTCCCTCAATGAGGCAAGGCGGAAACAAATATACACCAAAATATGTATATATACTACATAAATATATATACAATATATACAATACCAAGTAACTAAGGTCGTTGATTCAGTGGTTCTTGACAGAGGAAAGAGTGAAACTGTAAGATAAGTTGAGATGGTGTGGAAATTTTGGTTGCTTGGAGGAAGAGGAAGAGTCAAACCACACTTATTGATCGACATTAGAAAGTACTAGTACTAGCTTTTTGGGTTTTAAATTAAAAGCGTACATTGGGGCCATCAGACTTTAACTTTTAGTTTTCTAAAATAAAAAATGACACTTATCTATTCTATATTATAGAGCATTTGACAAAAACTCTTAAAAACCATTTTTTGTGCATGAAGTACTGTTTATTGATACATATTACTTACAATTCAATATTACAATTAAAGCTTCATGTTTGAATTCGTGTAACTAACTGTAGATAAACATAATCAAATATAGGATAAATATCTCATTTTAAGTATAAAAAATCTAAAATATAATGATAAAAATCATTGAGTTCTAACAGAATTCTTAATTATTATCTTTATAAAAAAGTATATTATTAAACCACAAAATAAATTACTTCATTATTAAACTCGAAATTAAATTGTAATTAAAAATTTAATTAAAGAAATTACACGAAAAAAACGAGAACATTGATATAATTTTTTCAAATTTTTTATCTTCAAATTTATATTTTATTCAAACATAAAAACATTATCCTTTCTCAAAACCACATAAAACCGTATTGTATCAATAGACAAAGAATAAAATGAATGTATCTTAGGTGCGGTTTCAGGCCGCCTCGCCTCGAGGCATACGCCTCAAACGATTTTTAAAACCATGGCTTTAACTTGCGAAAATATCAGAAATACATAATCATACCAGCAACTGGAACCTTCGCTTTTCCGGCATAAAAAGTCTTTGCCCTGACAACATCAAGTGTGGTCACACCAAATAGCCTTTTCTCATCGTAGGTACCTGCTTTCTTGAAAACCTCAGAAGCAATGGGCACAGTGGAGTTAACCGGGTTGCTGATCATATTCACAAGTGCCTATTAGTCATAAATGAGCGGAAAAATTCATTAGATAACTAGCAACATAGGCATTAAAAATTGCTTCTCATAGCCTAAACCAGAGACGGACCTAGAAATTTTTTCAAGCAGTAGCACCATTTGACTATAAGAAACAAATATAGGGGTATTTTTCACAAAATCATTTTTGGTCTGTTGGTTAATTCATTGGTTTTCATATGTGAGGTTTTGTGTTGAAGTCTTTTATTGCAATTTTTCTCAGAAACATAATAAATCTGAAATTAAAAGTTAAAAACAAAGAAAATGACACTAACAGAATTTGAACTTGGGTCTGAGGTGGAAAAAAAGACTTGCAAACCAACTCTACGAAGGGAAACTTGTGTCTTCATTGTAGTTTCAAAATATATACTGTGCCATGCAACAAATTTATACGGTGGAACTTTTCACGACCCTATACTTTTTTACAGTACGACAGAGGAACGAAGTGGTGACCCCTGCCACCACATACTCACGTGAGGGCAGTACTTGGCAATCGCAGTGCATAGACCCTTAACAATACCGGCATTGATGTTGAAAAGATCATCACGAGTCATTCCCGGTTTCCTTGGTACACCGGCTGGAATGATGACAACATCAGCTCCTTCCAATGCCTTTCCAAGATTTTCTTCACCCATGTAACCGACCACCTATATATAATAAAAAGATCAATACATTTCCACACCAATAGATCAACCCTACCCATCATATTTCGGTAAGTTCTTGCTTCGGGTCACCTTGGATCTAACTTGGGATTGAAAAGTAATGCAATTTATCCTTGTAGTTTAATTAAGCACGATTCTTGATTGATATGATAAAAGAGATCTATGTTTGTTTCTCCCTTACTGCTATAAGGACATTGATCAAGTTTACTGTAGGTGATTTCTGTACCCTTATATATGCCACTTGTGATGACTCACTTAAGCTTGTTGTCGTGTCCAAGTTTATTGAAGAATTCGATTATGGAAGCTTGCTTTAGTAATTTTCCTTGGTAGACTTTGATCTCTTAATCTGTTAATCCCCGTTTCTAGATGTTTGAGAATTCAAAAGTTTGTGACTTGGAAATGTCATCATATTTTAGTAAGTTCCTGTTAATTTGTTAATCCCCGGTTCAGATATTGCCTAGGTTTCCAAATCACAAAATTTTGAATTCTCAAACATCTAGAAATGAGGATCAACAAATTAAGAGATCAAAGTCTACAAAGGAGAAAAACTAGAGAGTAAGTTTCCATAAATGAATTCTTCAGTGATGCTGGACAAAATAACAAGCTTAATTTAGTCGTGGCATATATAATGGTAAAGCAATCACCTACATAAACTTGATCAATGTCCTTATAGAAACATCCGAAACCACGAATGATCTCTTTTATCATATCAATTAAGAATCGCGCTTAATTAAACTACAAATATAAAAGAAGAATCAAAACAGATCGAAACAGAAGACGTTATTTGATAACGAAGGAACTATCATTAAACACCAAAAACCCTAGCGACAGATAATGATCGAAAACTGACCAGGAGAGATTGAAAATGAAAAGGGCAGGGATTTAGCTAAAGAGAACCTCAGATCTGGTGTTGATGTGGCTGACGTCAGCTGCAACACCAGGTGTGCCGGCGATATCGTAGAGAGAGAGGCTAGATACAAGAGGGTTTAACTTCATGAGGAGTGCAAGGGGTTGTCCAATACCTCCGGCTGCTCCCAAGACGGCGACCTTACGCGCCGGAGCAGACTCCGACGAGTAAGTCCGGCGAAGTAAAGAAGAAGATGAAGAATTCTTGAGCATGGATCTCAACATAGTAGCAGACCTCATTGTTCTAATCTCCTGCCTAATGTTTCCAGAGATAGAGAGAAGGTATGGAAATGGAGGAATTGCGAGAATCGGAGAAGAGAAATCAAAGACGGAGAGTTGGTTTTGTGGGGGTGGGGGTATTCGGATCGGGTCTTGGGTCGATATTTTCATGGTTCCTATTTTAAGTAAGTAAAGCATTTCTAATGTAAGTTAATTTATATATTAACTTATTTTTTTATTTGATTGTTTAATGTACATAAGTTAACTTATTGATAAGTTATTATGTTTGACAAACTAACTGGTAAGCTAGTCAGTGATTGATAAAATAAATATGGGGCTTTGTCTTTGGAGCCCCTTAATTCCGAAGAAGGTAAACATTTTCATTTGGCGTTTTCTTAAATAGCCTATTCCCGTAAGATTTAATCTATCTAAGAGAGGGATTCAGTTACAGTCTTTAGAGTGCATCCTGTGTGAAAAAGGTGTCGAAACAATGGATCACTGTTTCTTTTCTTGTTCGGTGGCAAGYATTCTTTGGAGGAAAATTTGGGCTTGGTGGGATCTTAAAGCTCCACGACTTTCATCGGTGGCTGATTTTAAAATGCTGATCAAACAAGTAGGATCTCTTCGCAAGGTTGGTATAATTTTTTTATCAGTDTGCGTTGTGGCTCTTTGGCATCTTTGGAAGTGGCGGAACGAAATTCTTCATGCTGAGGATGAGGTGAAAACCAAGAAAAAAGGTGAAGATCCATTCCCTTGTGTTCAAAATATCTCGAAGCTTTGGATGGGAAACATAAATCGTAAATTTCATCTTAATTGGGAAGTTTGGTCTTCCTCTCCCTATTTTATTTAGTCTCTTTGTTTTTGTCATCCCGTCTGTTTGGGATAGGTTTTTTTTTACTTTGGTTTTGTAAGGGGATGTCTTGGTTTCGTCTTTTTGCCCCTCGTATTTTTGGTAGCGTTGTATTTTCTTGTATCTAGCTTCTTGCTAGATTTGTTTTTGTTTTAATATAGTGGTTGGTTTGGTGAGGGTGATGGCCTTGCCGAAGCTCTCTTCTTTGTTCTTCCTTTTGCCTTTAAAAAAAAATAAATATGGGGCTGTTTGATAGTTGATGAATGGTTAGGTGCAGAATGATTAAGTGGTCAGAATGATTAAGAGACTTTTATGATATAATATAAAATGAAATATAATTGTTTGGTAATTGTTTAGAATGAAATTAGAGCGTTGAATGGTTAAGGGAGATCCAATATACAAAATCATTCAGAAGGTTTTAGAACCATTAAGAGACAAACTTTTTTTTACTAAACAATCTCAACGATTCAGATATTATCTCTTAATGGAACTATTAAAAGGTAAATAAACAACCCCTATGTTTGATAAAAACTAGTTGATAAGTTAGTTGAAACATGTAAAATGAAAAAAATGACATGTTTAAAAATTATTAAAAAATTAATATTTTATAATATATTTAAACTAATTCAATAATAATATAATATCTATACTATATTCTAAAGTATTTGATAAAAACTTTTAAAAATCATTTTTTTATGCATGAAGTATTATTTATTGATACATATTACTTAAAATTTAAGATTACAAGTAATTTTACTTAAGTACAACTTATTAAAGCTCCATTTTTAAATTTGTGTAATTAACTGYWGATAAACATAATTAAATACAAGATAAACATCCATTTTAAATATAGAAAATCTAAAACATAATTAAGATAAGCAGCATTAAGTTCTAACAGAATGTTTAATTATTATCTTTATAAAAAATAATATTATTAAACCAAAATTAATATATACTATATTCTAAAACATTTGACAAAAACTCTTAAAAATCATTTTTTATGTATGAAATACTGTTTATTAATGCATATTACTTACAATTTAAGATTATAAGTAATTTTGCATAAATACAACTTATTACCACTCATAGTAATTAAAATTTATTAATTAATTTTAATTATATAATATATATTAATAATGGATTATTAGTTATTTTTATATGTTATCAACTATAACAATTATAATAATTCTTATCGAATGTTTTTTCAACAATAATACCATCTTTTCTCTCTGATTTCACCGTAGTCTCCTGATTCTTTTCCGACTTTCTTAGAATTAGAAATCATTTACATCAAAAATGTTTTTTTAATTATATACAACAAATACAACAAATAAACTCATATACCCTCTTCACTTATGGTAAAGTTTGAACCCTGACCTCCTAGGCTATGCTGTCAAAATCGCGATATATCGCCGATATATCGGCGATATATCGGATATCGCTCGTAGGAAAAAAATCGGACATGAAATATCGGTCAAAATATCGGGAACGATATTATCGGCGATATTTAACGATATTTAGCGATATTTTAGTGATAAAATCGGTCCGATATTCCGATTTTTACAAGGGTTAAAATTTGGCACAAGCACAATAGTCAAAATGGGTGATAGAGAAGAGAGACCTGTCGCTGGCTCTGTCGTTGGCTAAGTTGCTGTCGCTGGGCAGTGGCTTGGCTATGTTGTATCGGTTACAAGAAAAACAGAGGAGATCGAGAAGAGAGACCGAGAGAGAAAAGAGAGAGACCGAGAGAGAAAAGAGAGACGACGTGAGAAGAAGTCGTCGTAGACAGTACTGTTGAGAAAGTCTTATTCAGACCTAATTTACAAAGCAGCCCAAAAAAATAAGGCCCATGGAATTAAAAAAAAAAGCCCAAATTTTAACCCTTCTAAAAATTTTATGTTAACTCTAATTAATGCATATTATATATATAATTCTAAGAAATATTATGTTAACCGCTATTTCCGATATATCACCGATATATCACCGATATAACCGATATATTGAATATCGGTCCTGACCGATATTTTGTATTTTGACCGATATAACAGCATAGCTCCTAGGAGGAGGTCAAAGGCTACGACACCGCTAGACCAAAAGCCTAAAATGTTGTATCTATAGGTTTCTACCAAAATGGGCTGTCATTTCCAACTAACTCCTAACCTCCTTTCAAACCAACCCGGTTAAGTTCCGTAACGATAAATACAAAATCCCGAAAAAACCATAAAACACTAATAACTTTACGATCATTAATTACTCACAAATTTCTTGTTTTACATCGATAATAACTGTGAAGCAATCTGAACAGCATCATAACTTAGATCGTCGGTTATACGATAACAGCAATCGTCAAGGTCCAAGACCACGACTTCTTCTCATGATCAAACTTGCGCTCTGATTAACTGCATAGTTAGATGCACCATGCCTTTAGAAATAGAAGAGACTCGATAACATAATTCTAATTACAAATTACAATGCAAAACACTCGACTTCAAGCTTTGATATCAGATTTCCGACAACGTCTAGTGGTAGACCAAAACGAATCACAGTGGTGGCTAAACCAATCCAACCCAGAAAACTCCACGAGAAGATGGGGTATGGGGTTAGGGTGTACATAAACCTTGTCTCCACCGCGAAGAGGTGTTTGCAAAAAACAGAACTTTAAAGAAACGAGCAGGCAGGCTACAGGTGAGAGTGTGTGTAAAGAAGGAACGATAACATTAGACCAATGGATTCAGGGTGCACCTTTAAAGCGAGCTTAGCCGACACAAAAAGAGAATAAACGAACCAACTTCAGTGATGCCACAAGCTATTTAGCAATCAACTCGGTCTTTTGCCTTTGATTATTACTTACCCAGTTGAGAACATCCGAACAAGCCTCGTGGCTGGTGAAAAGCCTGTGTGTGTTAAAGGTCAGTTTAGGTTGACAAACTAGATGGTAAAAATGACGGGTGTTAATACACTGCAAAATGCATACCCTCTTTGAGGTCGATAGATTTTTAGTTGAGCAATTTCTCGTCGATCTGACATATCTTTTTTCATTGAAAGTGATCGAGGGACTGCTAATTTCCCAGTTTGATCATGGTATGCGTTATATATGAACTCGAGCACCTCTTCCTGCAAGAAAGTATAACTTAGGGTCTGTTTGTTAGCAGCTTAATGAGCTTAATGGGACTCACAGCTTAATGATATAGAAAACGGCTTATTCCATAAGTTTTTTCCAAATCTGTCTTTCCCAATTAAAACATGCTCATTCCATCTATGAAAAACCCTCTCAAACAAAAACTTTCCCAATCTATACACACAAATTAATCTACACAAACAACTTTATCCGTACTCAACTTTATAGAAAACCAACCAAACATCCCCTTAGAGATTTAGGTCATGTTTGGCAAGAATAAGCTAACTTATTTTTTGAGCTTATTGAAAAAGTCCCGTTTGGAAGCTAGTTTTTAGAAAGAAAAAAGCTACTTCAAGTAGCATTTCAATAAGCTACTTCAAGTAGCATTTCAACAAGCTCCGGGGGCTTTTTTCACTTCTTTTCAATCGACTTTCAACATGTTCTTTTAGGTCATTTTACATTGTCCACTGCATCAGCTCGATGTCTAAAAAGCCTTTATCAGCTAGTTTTTACCAAACATGACTACAGCTTATCGGCTAGTTTGCCAAACATAGCTTAAAGAGACATGTTAGAAAAATTAACAGCTAAAAGTTTAAAAGACGAGAGGCATACAAGGGGTCTCGAAGCATCAACCCAGTGATAAATTGGCTCATTGCGGAACCATGTTAACTGTCGTTTTGCAAAATTCCTGCAAGACTAAATTGGAATCAGACAAAACTCTAAATAGTTAAAGTGAAGTAAATTTAACGTGTTGAACCGCTGTACTAAAGAAGGTGGAAGGTAAATAGATTAAATTGAAAGAACACCTTGATGCTTTCTGAAATTCAGATAGAAAAGCATAGAAGTCGCGTTCTGAACTTCTGCCCCCTTGTTCTTCACACTTTAAAAGGTATTCCATAGCCTGCAGTTCGATATTAAAAAGATTTAAGGCTGAGGTAGAGACTTCAACCTCGGAAACTAAATCATAGTTTATAAACTCATCAATGTCTCATAAGGGTAAAACCGTAATTTAAACAAAAAGGGCAAATACTTCATTTTAGTAACCTTGTGTAAGAGGTTAACTTTTAAACGAAGTAGAACTCCAAGATCTTTACATATCTACATTTCAAACTCGAATGTCTAAAGCAAGTGCACTTGTTATTTCGAATCTCGAGCCAGAAAACGTAGGGCTTGTTTGGCTTGACAGAATGTTTTTGAAGGATTTGGATTTTGTGGAAGGACTTGGAATCTTTGGTGTGCTTGGTTTGTAGAATTTGGGATGGAATCGAATTCCATTTTTTAACATAGTTTGTAGAAACAAATTATAAAAATAATTAAAGTAGCTTCTTATTAGTTGATTATTTTAAAACAAGTGTTTTTAACATATTTTAAAACATTATTACAAACAAATTCTATGAAATCCCGCGAAATACCAACTACCCTCGTTGGATTTCTAAATCCCATGTTTGTTGCTCGTGGCGAAGAATCGCTACCAACAACAGAAAGCAAACCCCCCTTCCGCCGCATCTTGTTCATCCAGAAACAAGTTATCAGTGCTCCTAAACACCGCGTGTAACCCCACAACCGCGACCATAATAATCAAGGATAACAACACATCATTCCCACATTAGTAAAAGCCAAGGCAAAGATCGTTAACAAACTCAGACCGATTAGCACATGTTTGTGGGATTTCAATTTTGGACTTCCCTTTAAACCAAATGCGGGATTGGAACAAAATCCAATTCCAAATTTTACCAAACCCGCAAACCAAACGGCCCTTTAAAGAAGCTGACCCCATATGACTCTCTGATTTGGGTTAAGTCTAATTAATTTGTTGCTTCTGATATTAAAACTAAAGCATTTTAAATCTTTATCCTTGGTGGTTGCTCTATTATTAGTTCATCAATTTATTATCTACATTTACATGCATTAACTATTAGATGTGCAACTATAACCAAATTATATTCTGGAGAAAACAAAAAGGAATAACCAAAAATAACAAACTAATAATAGAATGAACTAAAAAACATGCATAGCTCTATTACATGCAAAACTTGTACATAGGAAGGCAGGATGAAATAGAAAGCAATACACAGAATACCTGTCTGTAACCTATTGCTCGTGTTGCAGAATTTGAATTTGGCTGAAGACCCATATCGAGAAGCCATCTTGCCTCGGACAAAATGCCATCATTTCCTAATCATATAGCATGAGGACCAAATTATATAACATTAAAGCTACAAATATAGCTATAGCCAATGGTTTATATACCATAGAGAACCTTTGCACCAAGTAATGATTTAAGTTATGACATGATGCAAATATGTTGCTTGCTAATAATCATATGGCATGAGGACCTAGACGAAGGATCGTGTGAGAATAGGAGTTAAGGTGAGAAGTGTAAGCCCTTGATCACTTTTAATCCCAAAACAACCCATGAATTGCGCTTTAGAAGGGAATTGATCTAGTGAATCTCATTAGTGTTGATTTACGGGTTCTCTTCATTAGGATTGATCCAAGGGTGGAGAACCTTCTTACCCTTCTCACTATAATTTTCATTCTCACTGGAACCCAACCCTGAGGACCAAACTATATAAACATGAACATTCACCCAAAAGCTACGAATATAACTGTAGTATATGGTTTATACCATATAGAACCTTTGCACCAAGTAATAATTTAAGTTATGATATGGCGCAAATATGTTACTTGCTAATTGTACAAAGTACAACATTAATCAAACGTTGGTCACAGACAAAACATATCTTGATCGTTGGATGATATTCATGTTTCTTAATATACAAGAAGTGATGGTTTATGAGCGATCGGCATTTGAAACCATTATAGTTGCTAGACTCATAACAAAAACAACGAATGATCATTGTAAACCACAAGGGTTGTGGCGTATTGGTTGAGGTCCAAGGGGGATGTGGTGGAATACCCCATCTGCCCTGGGTTCAATTCCAGGCGTCCACAACAATTGTGGCCATTGAGTTTATCCGGCATGATTTCTTACAGTCACATTTTGCCGGGATTAGTATGGGCATAGCCCAGGACCAAAAAAAACAAATAATCATTGTAGTTGGCTTTAGCTTTCACAGAGACTGCTGTAGTTGCTGAAATTGGAGCAAAAGTGTTCAAGTTTTCCAAGTATATCATTCTTTCTGGGAATTTGAAACTACGATGGTTATCTGAAAGCAACAACCAAGTACAATGGTAACAAATGTTAATCACTCGATAGTTTACTATACACCTTAAGCGATAAGGTAAACAAAGAAAGGCAAGTGTTTTCAAGTGGGTATGGGACATTGAACCAAAGCTAATTTTATGTTCTACAAAAAGTATATTTTGGTGCAAGTATATACTTACAGATTAACTGGCCGAGTAAAATCAGATATTCTGTCATGCCTGCCATGTATTATGCAATTACCACCAGTAATACTAACACATATAAATATTAATTGATGGGCAGTCTTTCAAGAGAAGAAAGACATCAGGATCAATAAAAAATGATACGGTAAGCAGATAGAAGGCAAATTTACAGAGATAAGTCATACACAGTTCATTAATAAGCAAATAAACATTAAAAGGTAACACTTACTACTGATAAGATGCAATTATTCAATTATGACTTGTCGAACCAGATAAGAACCAAAGTCCAAATGATATACCAATGCTCACCTGAAATCATATCTTCACACCTGAAGTCAATTGACCTATAGAGATCCAATCTTGATGTTGAAAGAAAAAAGCAAATAAAATCATAATCCAAATCCTTCTGCTTTTCAGCCAGAATCCCTTCAGTAGAAATGTCAATGTCAAGGTCCTTTGTATGTGAATCAATCTGTTCTTTGAAAGTTTCATATGGTACTGGAAAAGCTGAAGGAGGTAACCCAGTAGACTGCAATATCAGTGGTGAGCCGTCAATATAATGTTCAAAAATTGTTCAAAGAGTATTTTGCATCCCAACAAACCAACTGTTTTACGTCATAGAAACTTCTTTTCTTGCTCCCTACATTTAAATTGTCAAACATTTAGCTAAATAAAATTTGTGGGATTTGACATAACCTCCATTAAGTAGATCATGCCAGATACGCATATCATATTGTAACACCCCAAAAATTTAAAAATTATTATATTCGGTGTAATTGGTGATAGTGGATTATAAAGCAATCTTTTGGGTTTGGGATTTGTGAGATGTGTAAGTATGTATAAATTTTTACAGGTTATAAAACAGGCATGTGTCCACTTCACGAATAGGTCATGCCGAAATCTCAGTAGAAATGCTATCCCGAAAGAAGGGTGTTATAATATGATACACCTTTAATTTATTTATTTACATCATGTGTATTGATACAAATAACATCATTATGCATGCGGTAAAATGAGAGAAGGCTTGTTGTAGATACATGAAGAAAATACAACTGACCTTGACGATTTCAAGCTTGCGACGTAAACGATACCAATCATTGGCAGGTAATGATTGAGCACTTGGATCCCCTGCTTTGGTGACCCACTCCACAGCAGCGTCCCAGTCATAGTTTCTCTCAAAATTGGCAAGCTCGGATTCCACTTCCAAACTAATTTCTGGAGAGGCCTTTGGAACATCTGGTTTCCCATATATGAACCTTATACATGATTAAGGGTCTGTTTGTTAGCAGCTTAATGAGCTTAATAGCCCTCATAGCTTATTTGGGCAGTTATAAATGACTGCTTGGTAGTGACTTAATGATATAGGAAGTGGCTTATTCAGTACGCTTTTAAGAGGGAGCTTTATGCAGAAAGCCAAGTTTTTTCCAAATCTGCCCCTCCCAATTAAAAAATATGTTCCTTCCATCTATGAAAAAACTCTTCCAAACAAAAAACCTTTCCAATCTATACACAGCTTTATCCATAAATGACTCAATGGAAAACCAATCAAACAGGCCTTAAAAGAAGCCTTTTTCATGGACTACAAAAGCCAGTATCCATAGAATTAAAAGGCTGAAGCTTCAAGTAATAGATAGTAGTCAGGATTCTGGATAGTATCTCGTTTCTCATCCCTCTTAAATAATGATTTTTTTGTTAGTAATGAATTTGATATGTGTTCCTCAAGAATCGAGGTTCCTCTCCAGCTCATTCCATGTATCTTGTCGGAAATCAGAAGATATCATTTGGTTGGAACTTTCTATTAAAATGTTAAATGCAACAAAGTTAAGTAGATGAAATATGTGCTATAATATGGGGCTAAAGGGTTCTCTACACTTGGCATCTACATGAACCAAATGCTGACTAACTTCAGAACAGTTTAGCATGAACTTTAATAACAAAAATTGGCAAGTCTATTCCATATCAATAGAACATAAGAATGTACCATCTTAAGTATAAACCAGTCCCTCCAGTAACTATTGGAGCACTGCCTCTATTAAGAATATCTTTTGTAGCTTGCCTCCCATCTTCATAGAAGTTCCCAGCAGAATAATCTGGTTGGAAGAGCTTGTTAGCTTGTGGGCTAAAACAATGATCCACGACATATGCCAAAGGCTACATACCATCAGCAGGGTGCAATATGTCAATTAAATGATGTGGCACTTCCTGCAAAAAAGTCGGCCACACGTTACACACAACATCAGTCTAACAATAAAATTCAATGATGCAAAGTAAGGGCTTGTTTTTTAGCAGCTTAATGGACTCACAACTTATTTAGTCAGCTATATATGATTGTTTGGTAGTGGTTTAGTGATATAGAAAGTAGCTTATTCTATAAGCTTCTAGGGGGAGCTTTATGCAGAAAGACAAGATTTTTCCAAACCTAAACCCTCCCAATTAAAAAACACGCCTCCTTCCATCTACGAAAGAACCCTCCAAACAAAAAACTTCTCGATCTATACAAATAGATTAATCCACAAAGACAACTTTATCCATACGGGACTTGATAAAAAACCAACCAAACAGCCCCTAACTGGAATGCATCTCAACTCAAAGTACCTGTCTTTCACTCATAGAAGGCTTTGCAGATCCAACATCAAGACCTTGATAAACCTGTCATGATACAGAAAAATCAGGCAAATTATAACCCTAATCAACATCATAAGAGAATACAGATTAACCAATCTAGTGTAGTTATGATATCCTCATGCTCAAGTTGAGGATAAATGATCATCCTTCCCCCCACCCCAAAACCTAAGGGAAATTAACAAAAGTAGCCATTTTGACCGACCAAATTCACCCCTTAGCCATTCCTCTCCCAGTGTTTCAAGAAAATCAATACCTGCGGAAGTGCCCAAGATACATCTTGCGGAGGGGACATATTTCTAAAAAAACTCAAGTGCTTGAGGAGGGGCATATTAGTTGTGAGGGGTGAAAAACTCGAGTTTCAAACTTGCAGATATGCCATTCCTCTAGTCTCCGTTTTCATAAAAAAAACCTTGCGAGGTGCTACACATGGCCACTAGAAGAGCTTCTTGGTGCATCCTTACTATGCTCAAAACAAGCCATATGCGGACGGTTTGTAATGTGGCCCCACTTTTGAAGACAACCCGCCTCAAGTTGCAGCGCAGCACTTGCGAAGGTAGTGACTTTTGGGTGAATGAGGGAGAGAAATGGCTAGGAGATGAATTGATATGTGGAAAATGGCTATTTCTGTCGATTTCCCCAAAACCTAATGCAAATTTAGACTCACACAACACCTACTCACGATTTAACTTCAAACCATGTCATCCACGATCCAGTATAAGTTCAATGTAATTCACCGTTGATTCAGTGAATACAACTTGAACCCCAATCTAATTCTGAAATCACTTGGCAACTTGAGAATTGAGACAACAATTTTTCACCATTTTTTTCTCATCATTTACTCAATTTTCAATATATAAAATCATTACCGATTTAGAAGGATCTATATACTGATATGCGCAAGAGGAAGTATTCAACTGCGTAGACAGCTAAAGGATGAACTCGAAATTGTCCTACTGGATAAGATAGAGCTAATTCTAAGCATACCTGGACAGAGTCTGCACTAATGATTTCGCCATTAAGCTTTTTACAGAGCTCTAATGCGAGCCTACTTTTTCCGGCGCCGGTTGGCCCAGATATAACAATGACTTTCTCCTTCTTCGAGTTTGCGGAGGCAGAGCAGCGGAAGCTACTAAACAGCCGTCTCCGGCAGCAGTGGCGACGGTGTACGAGGAAGGAGAGAGTAGAAGGAGGGAAGAGAAATAACTCCGGCGGTGCATACGATAGCCGGAGGTAACTCATGCTAAACCTTCCGATGACGATATTCATTAGCCAATGCCTGTTCGTCTCGTCGTCGTGGTCATAGTATTAAACTACATTTTTGGTTATTTGTTACCTTCAAATTATGGATTAAACTTTTGGAGAAGTAAAAAAAATTGAAAATAAATGAAAATAAAAATAAAAATATAATAAAAAAACTGTTTGATTTTTTATAATATAATCAACTTATTACCTTTAGAAGTCCAAAATTTTATTCCTAATTAAATGATGGGAATGAAAATTCATTCCGATTTTCATTCTTCGTTCTCATTTTCATTTTTAATTTCTTTTTTGTACATTTTCAATAAGTTTAGGGGCGTTTGGTTCAATCTAGAAATGAAATGAGAATGAAAATGGGATAAATTTTCATTTCTCCCGGTTTAACCTGGAATCAAAGTTTGGGCTTCTAGGAGAATGAGCCAATTATATTATGCTAGAAAGGTGTTCATGCAATGCAGCAAGATACATATTTATTTTAATGTTTCGTTTCATTTTTTATCTTTATTGATATAATACTGTTTATATGGTTTTAAGAAAAATAATAATGTTTTTACTTTTGAATAAAAATAAATTTGAAAAATATATCGATGTTAATATCAAATTAACTATTTAAAAGTTCTCGTTTTTTTGTATAATTTCTTTAATTCAATTTTTATTATAATTTAATTTATGTCAGATAGTGAAGTAATTTATTTTTGACTTAACAATAAAAAATTTATAAAGATAATGATTATCCTAATTATATTTTACATTTTTTTATATTTAAAATGAGATGTTTATCTGCAGTTAGTTATATGAATTCAAGAATGAAACTTGAATAAGTTGTAGTTACGCATGATTTACTTGTAATCTTAAATTTTAATTAATATGCAATAATACACCGTACTTTAAGCATAAAGAATGGTTTTAAGAGTTTTGTCAAATGCTTTATAATATTGTATATATAAAACCAAACAGTTTCTTTTATTTTTCATTCTCATTTTATTACTATATAATACCTCTAATTGGATAAAAACATCTTCAACAACTTCTTTTAAAAAAAATGAATTTTTATTCTTTAAAATGTCCAACAGTTTTGCTATCTTGTTTTTTTTAAAATAGAAAATCATGGACAAAACTCTGAATACAAGTAATCCTCTAAAACTTGATGTTGGGAGAGAAAAATGATTATTTTATTCAATTTCACCAATGAAATTCAGATATTACTTTTTTATAAGAAGTTTTCATAAAAATGTATTGAAATGATAAATTAGAGAATATTATAATAAAATATAATTTATATTAAAACCACTAAAATAGAAAATATATTGAGGTATAATGTAATTCTTTTTTAATTAATTTATGTTTAGAAAAATTATAGAAAAAAATTTCGATATGCTACAACACTTCTAATCCACCTTAAAAATGTGCACCCACTCCGAAAAATTCATGAATCCGCTACTGATCGATGATGATAGTGTACGACTACACAACTTTTTTCAATCGGGCTTATAGGCTTGGACCGGGGCTAGAACCGGACGTTGGTCCTTACAAGTTAGATCGGCAATCATGGGTTTCTATGCAACTTACGAGCATCAACTAAGACCATGAACGATATGGAGTCATCGCAGGTGAACCTCCAAGACCACAATGGTTTTGAAAAAGTCTGGATTTGAACCCGTGAAAGATGAGATTTCCACTACATCACCTGAGTCTTTTTAACAGCACAGAAAGCAGGGGGTTAGACTAGAATTTGTGTACTTTTTACTCATAAATTCGAAGATCCAAGTTTTTGCTCAGAAAATTCCCAGATGAAACCATCAAAACTAATAAGAATTCCGTATTCGTATGCAAAGAAGAAGCATCCCAACGATAATTACTAACACTAAACGACACTTATCTCACCTTTACCTGCAGAAATACGAAGCCTTTATAATCTGTTTGCTTTGGATCATAATTTAGAGGGCAAAATTATCTACAAGATCTCCCATTCAGAGTCGCATAAATCTCGAGCTGGGGATTTTGGTGTAGCGCCCATGTTGGATGCTTCTGTTGGTTCGCTGAATTCTTTCTCGATATCTCCATACCAAATTACCAGCTGCTTATACTCCTTTGTCAACCTCTTTCTCGACATGAAAGCATCTTGTATCATTTTCTGGCAGAAACAATAACAACACGTAAACTTTACATTCGAAAAGAGTTCATTTGACCATCATTAGACCATGACCTTCTGACCAATTTAAGAATGCCTCTTCCTCACACAATAACGCCTCAAAAAATTTCATATATATATATATATATATATATATAGAAAGAGAGATCGCACCTTGTAAGACTTGCTTCTTTTTGATCCAAACGAAAAAGCTAGTAGGTTTTTGTCCTCAGCACTACCGCAGCTTCCAGCTACCTGCTTTTTATCAGATAAATCAATGGCCTGCATGTTAAGGTCTTCAACGTCGTCAACCATGGAGCCTTCTGCTTCTCCTGTCAAAGTTTCCTCGATCAGCAATTACACTAAAATGCTCGAGTCATCACAACATTGGAAATTAAAGAACGGTACACAGAGAAAATAAATAATTTACCAACATGACATGCAAAGAATTAGAGCCAAGCCGTTCAACATAACCACTTGATCTCACCTCAATGAATTACCAATGCAAAACTACAAGATGTTATAATAATAATAGGTGCACTACAAAATTACATATATTTCACGAAATATGAAAAATTATATACATTCAATTTTCTGTATAGTCACAGTTCAATATTCAGATGATCAAGGAGAAAACAACAGCATGTAACATTCACAAGTAAAGCTGCTAAACGATAGCATGTACCACTTGGGGTTTTCTGCCCCTCAAGCTAGCAGAGTCGACCGATACTATTTTGTAAGGAGAACAAGATAGAAAACTGGAGTCAATTTGTGGACATTTTGACAGAATTAATTATAATTGATTGAATCATTTATAGATCTAGCAATGATGGAAATTTGATTTATGAATCTTTGACTGAAATCTGTAGAAAGCTGGAATAAAAATTTGTACCTATATCACACTGGAATTTTTAAGACGTGCAAGTGGGAAGTCCCGGCCCCAAATTGTTCAAGAATAGTGTCGTTGAGTTCGACCTTTTGCCTTAGGATTAGTCAGGTCTATTCTCGATGGGGGCAGGGAAGTGAGGCGAAATGCATAACATTTATAACGCTCTGGGTCCTACGAACAATTTCTTCGTGAAATCTCGTCTAATAACTAATAATAAGTTAAGTAATGGAATTTGATAAAACAGACCTAGAAACAGAATTCTCCCAGTTAGGCTTTACTACATGAACATTGAATACCAGAAAACTGTATGGATGTTATATACACTAACAAGCATATACATACATACATATATATATATATATATAAATCTATATGAGGGAGGTTCGGGGGAAAAACCCCCAAAAAATAAAAAACCGAGAAACACCCTGGTATCCGTTCATCTGTACAATATGCACATGGGCATATAAGTAATTGAAGTTGTTTCTTGGTTTCTATGCATGTGTACATGTTATGCGCATGTGTATACCAAACAAATTGCTTACAAATTACTTGTATGCACATCTGCATACTGTCTAGATGAATGGTTACCAAGGTGTTCCTTAGTTTTTCATTTTTTTGCAGTTTTTATTGACATTATGAATTATGCCTCAATATAATTGCAGCAGCAAAATAAGATTTTAGTAAAGGATTTTGAATATGACCAAAAAGGCTCCCAAAAACGAAAGAAGAAAGAAAACAAAGTGAATACTGAAGTAAATTTCCTTTTAATTTTGTGGGAAAGTAGCATACCAATTTTGGAGCAAAACACAGAAGGTTCAAATGGAGCAAGATTGCATCGGTCATGTTCGCTTGAAGAATCATACAATTTTTCAGGTAAAAGATCACCGGCAAAGATATGACAGTCCTTCTCCTCTTTATTCTCATCCCACATAATTGAACTTTTGAAGTCAGATGAAGTATTCGAATCACTTTCAAATTCATCAATGGAGCTGTTCAGAAGTGTCATCTTTTCTTGGGAGCAACTGATTCCCAAACCACTAACTAAAGTTTCCATAGAAACCTTCTCAGACTTTTCTTCAACAGAGGGAAACAAAATCTTATCTGCTGAACTATTTACATCCTCGGATGGGCGTGGGCATGGCGGGGATGGCCCACCATTGATCTTTTCGTCAATGCCCAAATTAAGATCGAAAATATTTTCAATACCCCAATCTGCATCTTCAAATACTGAAGCATCAATCTTTGAACTCATGTTACAAAGAATCCCCTCTTCCTCAAAAGATTTGTTATCAAGATGATCCTCTGAAGATTGCCGTGTGATCTTGACAGAATGATCATCATCACACTTTTCATCACTGCATCTAATTCTTATAATTGCTTCAGATGAATCCTTATGATCTTTAGAAGAACTTAAATCTGTACATAGGGATCGGTCCACCACAAAATCTTCTTGACTACTTGTAGAAGAGTTTAGATGAACTTGAATGGTCTTAGCTGAAGTCTTATTAATATTATTATCACCTTCTTGCTGAAAAAATGAGTTTGCATCTGCTTCACCAATGGGATATCCACTAATTTCACCACTAATTTGCACTGAATGGCAAAGGCCAGTAGATGATGGTTTGTGGCATTTTTCAGTAGGAACCAAAGCAGCGTTATCTGATTTATTTGTGTTACTATCAACAGTATTTTCTTTAATGCCTACAACTGTACTTGTGTAGGTCTCAACCAAATCAATCCGTTTTGAAGGTATCAATTGTGCCACATGCTGTACAGGATCTGCCAACGGAGGAAGAATGTCTTGCACAACACCAGAATAGAATTTCTTCACACTCTCACCAACAGTTTGCATGTGGCTTTCAACATATTTAACCTTGTCCTGTAAAAGGCATAGAAATTAAAAGACAATCTTGCAGATTTAACTATAATTGAAATCACGAGGAAAGTTCCAATGAGAACCATAAACATTTTGAGATCCTGGAACCAACTATTTTATGTATTATTCATGATATCATGCCTATTCATCATGAATATAAAGCATGAATGTTTGGTTCACATGTTTTCAAAATATTTACAGTTTTCATTTGAACCTACACGTTGAAGTCATCTGAGTTTCTTTATGTATGGTATCCAACTGATAATGCATTAAATAGAAGCATACCTGGTGTACAAATTCATCAACCTCCTGGCACACAGCCTCAAACCTCTGATACATATTCCCAACCCAATTTTGAGTGTTGTATCTCTTATCCATTGTGAATGTTTACAACTATATGGAATGGAAATCAAGAAAGCTTCTGCTTCCCAATATGGTAATTTGTGGCAATCAATAACTACACTCAGAAAAGTTCTCTGCTGCAAAAGAACAAAACCATATGATCCAAGAATGTTATTCTGTAGCAACAAAAACCACATCAAAGAAACGGTATTTCAAAGCAAAACCTTTAGACCTAAATCAAAAACCATATTCCTCATGCTAATCAAATAGCATCTCTTTTTCTAATCAAATTTCATATACGATAGTTCATGAGCCTCTAAAAATCCATAAATACGCATATCATCGTCTCAATAATTCTTTTTCTTTAGTTTTACTTTTACACTATGAACAGAAAGCTCGTGGAGTATAAGCGATTATCATCTAATCTCTCCAGAAAAACTAGTTACCAATTCGATCACTCACTTTTCACGAATGTTTCAAAAGCAATCACATGCCGATAAGAACAAAACAGAGGCTTATTAATCATCATCATACGAGAAACACAAAAAGCAACTTCACAACAGTAATCAGAAAAAATCGCCTAAATTCGGTTGTACTGTTATAGGGAAGAAGTAAACAAAGTGTTGACGGAAAGTTAAGAAACCCTACCGGAAAACAGAGAAGAAGAAGGAGAAGGAGAAACAGTAACCAGTAAAATGAAGCCGCCGGTGGTGATCGCGGCGGTAAAGAAGCTCTTGGTTGTTAGGCCTCCGCGGCAACTGGGTTTGAGACGACTTAATGATGATGCATATATATATATATATATATCAATTCCCACCATGGCACATAATATCATTATCCTATTTTAGTTTCAAATTTCCTTGCAGAAAATATTGGAGTAAATTATAAATTTGGTCCCCGTGGTTTGTTAAAAATGACATTTTTAGTCCCATCATGGTTTGTGAAAACGTCGGGATTTGACCCCTTCATCTAAAAAGATTCTGTTAAATGAAAGGCATTTTCGTCTTTTTAACGATTTCTTTTGTCTTTTACCCAATCAAAAACCATAAAGGCCAGTCACGAACTTGATTTTAATTGGGTAAGAAGCAAAAAAATCGATAAAAGGATGAAAATACCCTATATTTAACGAAATATTTTAACAATCGTGAGAGGGAAGAATCAGGATGGTTTTTACAAACCATGATGGTTATCTTTTAATTTCAAAACTATAAGGTTAAAAATGTTATTTTACCCCAAATCACAGGGACCAAATTTGTAGTTTACTCAAAAAAGTAGAATTAATTATCTTTTTCATCCTTATAGTTTGTTAAAAATGCGGCTTCGTCCATGTGGTTTCAAAATTGTAATTTTCCGTTCTTGTGGGTTTACGGTTCATTCGTGAGGCTAACTCATACCTTTAAGTATGGTGGACTAAAAAGATGATGAATTGTAGAACCATAGAGACGAAAACAAGAATGAATTCTAATTGACCATAAATTAAATGAAATTACATGTTTAGTCCTCGTGGTTTACATGAAATCATATATTGAGTCACTAAAATGCATTTAGTTATGAATTTGAGTATAACGGTTTATATTTTATCATGGATTTGGTTCTTAATGTTAGCTTCGTTAAAAAAAAACAGTTAAATCAAAGGCATTTTGGTCATTTTACGTATTTTTCTCGTTTTCTATTAAATAATATATACACACACATACACATGCACATGCAAGAATTCTTCATCTATTTAGAGATAAAAAGAGGTTGTCGATTGGAAAACGGCTGCAAGTGAGGTTACCGGAGTGGATATAGGAACGAGGGACATGTAACAATACTTAGTCAATGCCTTAAAAATTGATTTTTTTTTTACGTAATTTGTAAAAAGACGAAAATGCTCATCACTTAACATACTTTTAAGAGAGTTTGCTCATGATATAATACAAACCATATGGCTGAAACTTGTATTTATTGCGTTTTAGGAACCCAATCCATAATTTCATGTAAAACCGCAATGGCTAAACATGTAATTTATTTTGAAAAAGCTGTGTAAAAACTACAAATTAATGACAAAAAGATACAGAATTTGCACATACATACATAGTTGTATGTATGTATGTGAGGATTTATGGGTGTTATGTATCATGCTAATAAAAAGCAACATCTTAGGTTTTTAATCTGACATATAAATATATAATTATGCACACTGATTTTTCTGTTATATTTATTATCGAGTTAACAATAAATAATCTAATGTTTCGAATATCATCTACAACAGATAATCTATAATTTCTCTCTAATAAAATTTGACAGATTCTCTATTTTAGAGATTTAAACATTAATTATATTATTACAATGTTTTATAAATTATAATCTCAATACATGAAAAAGCTAACTTCCCCTTTTAAAGTAACTAAAAACTTGCATAAATCTTTGCTTAATTATGCACCATATATAGGACATACATACAAGGTGAGTATCAATAATAATTAATTAAAAGAATATCTTAATATGTATCAAGATAATATAATTAAGAAATTAAATATTTTTGATGAGAATGATAGAAACATTAAAAAGAATGTTAACATAAATTAAAATAAAATAATGTACGTTATGGTCAGGGACGGTACACAAGTTTTCCAATCGTAGGGGTCGGACCTGATATATTATATATTTTTCAAAAATACAATATCTAAAGTTAAAATGTGGGGAGGAAGGATGGATTAACAGGTCTGTAATTTCATTAATGTTATAAGAGTACTCGCGCAATGCAGCGAGATACATCGTGATATTAATATTTCATTTTATTCTTTATCTCAGTCGATGTTATAATATGGCTTTATGTGATTTTGAGAAAGCGATGATGTTTTTATTTTTGAATAAAATATATGTTTGAAGATATCATAAAAATTTGACAAAAATATATCGATATTAGTATCAAATTAACTATTTGAAATTCCTCATTTTTTGTGTAATTTTTTAATTCAATTTTTTTATAATTTAATTTATGTACAATAACGAAGTAATTTATATTTAGTTTAATAATACAATTTTTTATAAAGATAATAATTATTTATTTTGTTGGAACTCGATAATTATTCTAATTATATTTTAAATTTTTTAGATTTTAAAATGAGATGTTCATCCTCTATTTGATTATGTTTATCCGTAGTTATTTATACGAATTCAAACATCGAGCTTTAATAAGTTGTACTTATGCATAATTACTTGTAATCTTGAATTTTAAACAATATGCATCAATATACAGTACTTTATGCACAACAAAAATATATCGATATTCGTATCAAATTAACTATTTAAATTCATAATTTTTTGTGTATTTTTTAATTAAATTTTTTATTATAATTTAATTTATGTACAATAACCAAGTAATTTATATTTGTTTTAATAATATAATTTTCTTATAAAAATAATGATTAATTATTTTGTTAGAACTCAATAATTATCCTAATTATATTTTAGATTTTTTATATTTTAAAATAAGATGTTTATCCTCTATTTGGTTATATTTATCCACAACTAGTTATACGAATTCAAAAATTGAGCTTTGATAAGTTGTACTTTTGCATAATTTACTTGTAATTTTGGATTTTAAGTATACATTGGTTTTATGTGGTTTTGAGAAAGTGGTAATATTTTTAATTTTTAATAGAATATAAATTTAAAAATATCATAAAATTTTGAAAAAAAATATCGATATCAGTATTAAATTAATCTTTTTAAAAGTTCTTGTGTTTTGATGTAATTTCCTTAATTAAATTATGTTAGTTATCGATGATTATCATAATTATATTTTAGATTTTTTATATTTAAAATGAGATATTTATCCAATATTTGATTATGTTTATCTACAGTTAGTTAGACGAATTCAAGTATGGAGCTTTAATAAGTTGTACTTATGCATAATTTACTTGTAATCTTAAATTTTAAGTAATATGCATCAATAAACAATATTTCGTGCATACAAAATTGTTTTTAAGAGTTTTTGTCAAATGTTTTAATAATAAAACATTTTATAAAGATAATAATTAAGTATTTTGTTAGGACTAAACGATTATCACAATTATATTTTAGATTTTTTATATTTAAAATAAGATGTTTATCTTGTATTTGATTATGTTTATCTGCAATTAGTTACACGAATTCAGATATAGAGCTTTAATAAGTTGTACTTACGCACAATCTACTTGTAACCTTGAGTTTTAAGTAATATGCATTAATAAACAGTACTTTACGCATAAAAAATAGTTTTTTAAGAGTTTTTGTCAAATGCTTTATAATATAGTATAGATTATTTTTTTTATAATTTAATTTAAGTTAATAATAAAATAATTTATTTTTGGTTTAATAATATAACATTTTATAAAKATAATAATTAAGTATTMTGTTARAACTCAATGATTATCCTAATTATATTTTAGATTTTTTATATTTAAAATGAGATGTTTATCATGTATTTAAGAGTGTATTTGATTGTGTTTATCTGCAGTTAGTTACACGAATTCAGATATGAAATAAAATCGGACAGGGATGAACGGGTTTAACAGTTTTTAAGAGTTTTTAAAAAATTTAAGAGTTTTTAAAATTTTTAAGAGTTTTAGTCAAATGCTTTATAAGATAGTATAGGTATGTTTGTGTGCACGCACGGACTTAATGAGTCAAAAAGCCCAGGGGCCATGGCCCCTAAAGAAGGCCTATACGGCCTTCTGCCACTGTTTATGGTTGTATTTGATAAAGTAACTTATAAGTTAATTGATGATAATATGTAACTCTCAATTAAAACATAATAATGGAATTTTATATGATTTTTCTTTCAAGAACCATTTTTAAAATAAATAATGTATCATATAATATAATAAATATTAAACTTTTTTTTCTACAATATATAAAGGTTATCTAAATTTGTCCAAGTATCCAACTTTGATGCAAATCTAATAATGTTTATTATTATTAAGAAATATATAAATTTATTAATGATAAGAAGAATTACAGATATAGTTAAATATATTAAGAAGCCAGCTTAGAGAATTAACAGATATGACAGACGAAGTGTAAAACTGTGATTGTCCTGCTAACGTATTGACAATATCGTTTCATAATAGCTTAAAATTCTGTATTATCGTCTTACCTTTTTTATACTGTTGCAATGACCATCCAAAAATCGAACTCGAAGATCCCTTGATATTGCCCATAGATTGATTTTCGTTATATAATAAAATCTGTATAACGAGTAATACACAAAAGGGTCGAATAGGGTCGGTCCATCGGGTCTCGATCGGTTATATTTTTTAAACTAAGGGCATCTTTTATATTTTTAATAAAAATTTATTTTTATAGATCTTCTTCCATGCAAAAATCTTTTCAAAAGGTTTTTTTTTATCAATTATATTATAATCTACTCTCATCTATTTAAAATATTTTATAAAAACCCCTCGTTTAATTTATCAGTTTAAAATCCGCCTCATATATTTTATAAATACTAGAAGGGTACTCGTACAATACAATGAAATAAATATTCATTTTAATGTTTTGTTTTATTTTTTGTCTCTGTTGATATATAACATGATTTAAGTGGTTTTGATCAAGATAATGTTTTTACTTTTGAATAAAAATAAATTTGAAGATATCATAAAATTTTTTAAAAATATATCGATATTAATATCAAATTAACTATTTAAAATTTCTCATTTTTTTGTACAATTTCTGTAATTCAATTTAGGTATAATAACGAAGTAATTTATTTTTGGTTTAACATATATTTTTTATAAAGATAATGATTCTGTTAGAACTCAATAATTATCCTAATTCTATTTTAATTTTTTTATATTTAAAACGAGATGTTTATCTTGTATTTGATTATGTTTATCCGCGGTTAGTTATACAAATTAAAAAATAAAGCTTTAATAAGTAATACTTATGCACAATTTACTTATAATTTTAAATTTTAAGTAATATGCATTAATAAACAGTACTTCATGCATATTTAATTATTTTTAAAAGTTTTTACCAATTTTATAATATAGTATAGATAGATTTTACTATAGTCAAGGAATTAAATTAATTAATCAAAATTGTATTAAAATTTATAATGAAAATTATATTGAAAAAAGGGATAAAATGAAAATTTAAAGGAGTAAAATAAAAATGGTTTACTATCTTGATTTTAATTTACCATTTTGCCCTTTCATCCAAAAGAAGAAAGGTTTGAAAGATAGCAACCAAACAGTTGCACCAAAGGTCAACCAGCAGTTCACCTAGTAAAACCACACACACACATACACACTCACTGTGTGTGCATCATCTCCACAACTGACCAAAATTTCCATCCTACCCCCACCAAATTGCACTTATTTCAAAAGGGCAAAATAGTCAATTGACACTTTGCATGGAGAAGCACACAACATAAGGTGGTTGTGTTAGCTCATCTCCTCTTTCTTCATCTCTTTGAATCTATATCCAGATAACCCTTCTTTCCACCATCCTCTCTTTCAATCATACACAAATGGAGCTGCCGGTCAGGTCGCCGGTGACAGGAGATGGCCGGAAAACTTCATACAAGATAGAAACCAAGAATCTTGCATACAAAAGTTCCAACTTTTCCGGCGAATGGAAGTGGGGTTGTCTTCAGAAACACTTCAAGAAATCTCCAAAGTTTATCTTGAATGATGTGAGTTGTGAAGCTCGTCCCGGCGATCTCACCGCCGTCGCTGGTCCAAGTGGTGCCGGAAAGACAACCCTGCTAGAGATTCTTGCCGGAAATATCACTTCCGGCCAGGTTTCCGGTCATGTATTGATCAACAATCATCCTATTAATACCAAACGTTTCCGGCGATTAGCCGGTTATGTGACTCAAGATGATGCTTTGTTTCCATCGTTAACGGTTGAAGAAACACTGATGTATAGTGCTTTTCTCAGGCTACGATGTGGTCGAAAAGAAGCGGTTGATCGAGTGAAGATTCTGATAAACGAGCTCGGTTTGGAACGTGTATCGAGCTCGAGGATCGGGGAGGGGTCAAACCATGGGATTTCAGGTGGGGAACGAAGGCGGGTTTCCATCGGAGTTGAGTTGGTTCATGATCCTGCGGTGATTCTAATCGATGAACCGACTTCAGGGCTCGACTCAGGTTCAGCTTTCGGTGTCGTATCGCTCCTCAAATCAATGGCGGCCAATCGAGGTAAGACGATCATGTTGACGATACACCAACCTGGATTCCGAATCCTCGAGCTTTTCGATCGACTTGTTTTGCTCTCGAATGGATTTGTTCTCCATAACGGATCGTTAAAATCGCTCGAACATAGACTCAAGGTCTCCGGCCACTGTATCCCACCTCGTGTCAATGTTCTTGAATTCGCCATCGATGTCACCACCACCTTGATCATCCCAACCCCGAAAACCGCAATCGAAGCACTCGAGAATCACGAAAAACCCGAAACGCAACGCGAATTCCCATACACGAATTCCCATTTCGAAGAAGTAAGGATCCTAAGCAAACGATTCTTCAAGAACATATTCCGAACCAAACAACTATTCCTAACAAGAATCATCCAAGCCATCCTTTCGGGCCTAATCCTCGGAACCATCTTCGTAAACATGTCAACAAACAAAGGGAAACTCGCACTACAAGCTCGATTAGGGTTCTTCGCATTCACCCTCACTTTCCTCCTATCTTCATCCACCGAAGGCCTCCCGATCTTCTTACAAGAACGACGAATCTTGATGCGAGAAACATCAAGAGGAGCGTATCGAGTCTCTTCATACGTAATCTCGAACACCCTCATCTTCCTTCCGTTTCTTCTCATGATCGGGATTCTTTACACGATCCCGGTCTACTGGCTCGTCGGATTACGACCCGAAATCGAGCGGTTTTTCTACTTTGGACTGGTGGTATGGATGGTAATCTTGATGTCAAACTCATTCACAGCTTGTTTCAGTGCATTGGTGCCTAATTTCATCATGGGGACGTCCGTCATATCTGGATTGATGGGTTGTTTCTTTCTATTTTCTGGGTATTTTATAGCAAAAGATAGCATACCAAAATACTGGATTTTTATGCATTATATGAGTTTATTTAAGTACCCGTTTGAGTGTTTTATGATCAATGAGTATGGAGGTGAAGAAGGGAGGAAGATGTGCGTGGAAATGGACGGTGGAGATTGCAGGATGTATGGAGATGGGTTCTTGGAGCAGCAGGATATCAAAGAGACACAGAAATGGAGTAATTTGGGGGTCATGTTAGGGTTTATTATTGGGTATAGACTTTTGTGTTTTTTTATTTTGTGGTTTAGATGTCATAAAACCAGGAATTAATTATTTTTATTTTGAGTATTTATTTGACATAAAATGGAAATATACATGAAAAATGAGAATTATTTATTATTTTTCTATTGATTTTTTTCACTGTCTCATTTTTGGTGTGATATGAGACCGAGACAAGGTGGGATCGTAGATAAAAAAGGTTTTTTCCTGTTCCACCAAAATAGATGGGATAAGAATAAGGCAGAAACTAAAATGTTACTTATTAACCTTTATTTGATGTATAATCTTAATATGATATTTGTTTTAGTGGTCATCGCCGCTAGTCGCGGCCACCACCGTCATCGATAACCACTGTTGGCCGACGGTGTCCACTACAACAACCTTCTCCACAACCCCCACCACCACCATCCACCGCTACCTCCATAACCATCACCACCACCACTACCACCGTCGGCCACCACCATCGGTTACCACTACTACTATCCACTATCTTCATGTCCTCCACAACCACCACCACCACTCACCATCTTCACGTCCTCTACAGCCACCATCGTCCACCAATCACCAATGTCTCTACTTCCACAACCATTGTTGCAATAATCTTCACTGTGTCTTTGCCAATTGATAAGAATTTTCTAAACCGAATAAAACATAATTTATCCTTTGTACGAATCGGGTTTTTTCAAACTATCATCAATTTATATCAAAATTTTCATTCAAATTTGATACTATTATATATGTATGTACTTGTGTATATGAGAATTGTGTAAAAATGTTTATAAATTGAATTATTAAATCATTTACTTTATTTGTTAGTTATAACTATATGTATGATCTATAAAATCATTAAATAACTGTTGGGGGCAACTTGTCTTGTTCTGGCCGGGGATTCCCCGCAAAACCGGAGACCGAGGATAGGGCGGGGATATCTAAAAGTAAAAAACCGGGGATAAGAACAGGGACGGGGACGGGGACGGGTGACATTAAAATGGGGACTGGGCCATTTTGACTTCTGAGTTAAGGCACCTTTTCGCAGTTACTAAATCTAGTTCGCCTCTCGTAATGTAATATTTCCAACGTACGTAATCCAGAAAGTACGAGAAACAGAAAGAAACAAACAACGAGTAAGTTCGCATACTTGGTGTTCATTATGTGTACAAAACTCTCGACACATTCGATCGTGATCACAAAAGATCACAACATTTATTACTAAGATTCAGTCTACCACGAACCATGGAACTAGACTATACATACCAAGGCGTAAAACTAGGCTCTCTTGGCAACAGAAACGCATAAAACAGCGAGGGAAAAGAAACAAGAAGGATTCAGGGACTTACATGACGAGCATCGTTTTAGCAAGCTCTAATGCTTTCTCGCGACCCAAAAGCTTCTCCACGATGGCCAATGAAAATTCCAATGAAGTTCCAGGCCCTCTGCTGGTGATAAGTTTACCATCTATCACCACTCTGCTTTCAGCTTCACTCGGGTCTGATAGTTTGTTACACATTGCTGGGAAAGCTGTCGCCTTCTTTCCCTGATTATATAGGTTAAGGGTCTGTTTGTTAGCAGCGTAACGAGCTGAATGAGACTCACAGCTTATTCGGTCAGCTATATATGACCGTTCAGTAGTGGCTTAATGATATAGAAAATGGCTTTTCAGTAAGCTTATAAGAGGGGCTTTATGCAGAAAGCCTCAAACATGCCTCTCCCAATTAAAAAACATGCACCTTTCATCCATTAAAAGCCCTTCCAAACAAAAATTTTTCCCAATCTATACAGACAAATTAATCCACACAAACATCTTTATTCATACATGACTTAATGGAAAACCAACCAAACAGCCCATAAGTAATGTGTCGATCTAAACCAAACTAATAAGTTACAGCAGTCACTAGTGACATTTAACAGCATCACAATATTGGTAAATACACACACACATAAACATATACGGCCAATTCATTTGAGAACAGTAAATATTTTGAGAACAGAACCAACTATTCATGAATTAATATGATAAAATATCATGATTGCTGTTCATGATAAGATAATGAAAATGCATGATATTCATGATGAATAATATCCATGAATATTTTAGATATATTCATCATAAATAATTCATTAATAGTTGGTTCTTTCAACCAAAACCAACCAGTTCGGCTTTTAAATGAAATTCCATTTGCAGCTATCATCTTTGGGGTACGAACGCAATGGTATGAAAATATGGTAGAAAGTTGTAAAGATGAATACCTTGAGTAATCCATGGGGCTCCAGCACTAGAGCCGGGGATGCACATATTGCTCCATAGTATCTGTCAGACTCGCTCTGCTTCTTCAGCAAATTTACAAGTGTTTCGGAGCTCGCGAACGCTTGGGCACCACCAAGTCCACCCTAAGTAGGTTGAAGATGTTAGCTGAACATTAGAGGTCAGCAAAACAGCTTATGGACAAAGTGAAAATAAACATACTGGCAACACGATTAGGTCATATGAAAGTTTAGCAGCCTCATCAAGGAGCATGTCTGCAACTAGCTTTACTTTACGAGAAGCCACAGTTTCAAGTTTGTCTCCGACTGACGCAACCACAACTTCAGCTTTTGCACGTCGAAGAACGTCAATAATCATAACAGCTTCCATCTCCTCTGAGCCATCCGCAATGGGTACTAGAATCTAAAGGTGGGTGGAAGCAGATGTATTAAAAACAATTTCAAGGAACCAGCTGATACAAGATTAATGTCGATATCAGATCATATTCAATCTGGGTGATGGTTGTTTAATGTTTACCAAGTGTTTTGTAGCAAGTGCTTAGCAATAAAAATGATTTGGGTAAGCACTGTCTGACTGAGTCAGTGACATATTGGCGGCTGACTTGGTGAGCACCATGGTTTTTTATTGAGTCGGAAAGCATCAACTCTTGCCGGGTAAGAAGCTCTTACCCAGTAAGAGACAATGCACTAAGTAAACAGCCTTAAATCTTTCCATGCGTTTTAGACTAAGAGAAGCTTAAAGTAACAGACCCTAATGGGAATTAACCAAATCATTCCAGAGTGCAATCTCACCTTAGGTTCAGAACTAGATGTCCACTGCAGCTTATTCAGTTCGGCTACAATGAATTGATCGGTATGCTTGGAAGGCATCAACTGGATATGACAGAGTTATTTAGAATATCTTTTAAGAAAAGTACACACTTATGCAATATGCACTAGTAAAGTAACATGCATCGGCATAATAACAACAAGAATAAATTAGGTCTAACCGATTTTTGAAAATAAATTATCATATGATGCACTATAAACAAACTCAAACATGAAAAGCTAGAACGAACCAGCGGTCCAGAAACTTCGTCAGCTTTCTCTTTCCCGAACAGCTGCTCTACCAGTGCAACAGAATACTCCATGGCAGTTCCTGGGCCTCGACTAGTAACAGCTTTTCCATCCTGCTGGACTCGTGACTCAACTGTGGTTGCAGAGGATGCTAGCTGCTCCATGAAGGATGGATAACAAGTTGCCTAACAAAAGAAAGTTCATAGGTAACCACATTGATATAGCTTGTCAACACGGGAACACTCCACAAACAAGGATTATAAGAAACCACAGTGAGCGACTTACTTTTAATCCTTTCAGTAGGCCCCATGACCCAAGGGCAACAGCAGGAGCTGCACATATTGCAGCATACAGCCGACCTTCTGATGCTTGCTTTTTCACTATATTCTCCAGCGTCTTATTGTCTTTAAGAGTGCTTGCACCTGGCATTCCTCCCTGTAGAGAAAATTAAAAAATGCTGAAAAGTCGCCACAAACTTATATAATGAACTATAAAAAGTAACTGATATTTGCAGAAAACATGATGGACAAGTCTTGAAGACCAGGAGGAACAAGTTAGCGAGGAATAAGTTAGCAATCCACCAAATAAAGAAGACGAATGGTGGAAATTGAAATAGGACACAATCTACTAGCTCGTTATATGTCAACAACAACACAGTCATCCAAACATATGGTTATAGTGTAACAGCAAATGCAATGGCAAAGAAAGCATAAACTGCAACTTCAGATTATTTCGCCAATCAAACGCTATACATTGATCAGTTGTACAAGACACAGAAATCCACATATTATAAGTTCATCAAGTGCTATCCATCAATTCTTTAACAAACACCTCTTCTGTGATATGATTATAATTTTTAGATGGAAAAACAGTGGATGCCCTTTAGCTTATCATGTGCGGTCTGTTAATGGCAAAAGAGTACTAAGACTTTATAATACATAGGCACCAGTTTCAGTGTAGAGTTTTTAATACACCAGATAGAAAGGATATTCATACCAAGAAGAGGTTGTAGTGAGAGGTAAAAGTTGGCCAAGATTGATAACAGTACGCAATGAGAGATTTTTGCAAGGGTGTACATATAAAGGACTGCATGTATTTATGTTATTCATTCCCCACAGCCCTAGAGTTCACCATTTTATGATTGTTTTAGGGTTCGCCATATCATAACTTTTTTTGGTTTCATTTTTAACTTCTCCAAAACTAACTGACATAAGTTGTTTTGTTGGGAATCCAAAAGAGTTACCCTAGATTGAAACAAACCAGCATCACAGCAAACTGCAAAAAGAAATGGTTGTTCGTCAAGGTACCTACCGCCTACAGGATACCATATCTTTAAGCATCTTGAAAACACATTTTTGTTGCTGAATTCTTGTAAAGTAACAAGTACCAATGAAACTACATATACAAATAATTCAAGTACCTACAACAACGCTCATTCTAAATGAAAGAAAAATTAGAGAGAAGTTGCACAAAGACAGAATCATATCAAGGACATGCCATTGTGAAGCTATTCAGCAATTATAACTTCATGAATCCTCTTTTATTCTTTCAATCCACATTAAAACCCCTTGAAGTATCAACTAGATGAGAAAGAACACTACTGGACAACCCACTCCTCTTCCCTTTCAAGTGCTCAACCTAGGCTTTCCAATTGCAACTAACCATTGTTCTTCCCACAATGCCAAATAAGCATCCTAGTTAGCAACAATGATGTTTGAAATGAATCACTCCATTTATTTCTCAGAAAAATGAAAGAAAAGAAAATTAGCTAATTCCCTTAAAATATTAACAACTGATAACCATGTTGAATTTTATAACAACTCCTGCACATAGTTATTTATGGTATTAAATTTGTAACAGATTTTGCATTCAAAGGCACTGTGTCGGATTCTGAGTTCAAAATTTGAGGCGTAGCTATTTTAGTAACGGAGTGGAGAGAAAATAAGAGCATACTGGCAGGGAAATAAGATCAAAGACTGTATCAACACAGTCAGTAATCAGGGCATCAGCAACGATTTTAACACCATGGCAAGCATCGACCCGGAGCTGGTTTTCAACGGAAGCGACGGTAACATCGGCGCCAGCCCTACGGAGCACATCAACAGTAATCACAGCCTCCATCGGCTCCGTTCCGTTAGCAATTGGAACAAGTACCTATAATTCAATCAAAATCAGTTCTATCCAATTCCAAAGTTCCAAAAAGTAACCAATTCGACATTGATTTCCGATTTCTTTACCTTGCGTACGGCGGACGCCATTACTGAGAATGAAATCCGGTTGTGGCGACGTGAGGTGGCAGAAGAGAGGGCGGGAAACGGCGGAAGGCGGCGAGCGAGAGTTGTGAAAGGAGAGAGAGGAGTGAGGTGGCTCAATGCCATTTTTACTTGCTGGTTGTGTATCTCTAGAAACCGCCTACAGTTTCGAGCTCGGGGTTCTGCTTTCTCGACCCGGTCCAGTAATGTTTCCGGTCTGTAGCAGGGGTGAGCAGCGGAATCGGGTACCCGTTTGCGGAACCGAACCGCCTTGGAACCGCCGGTTTCGGAACCTGAACCGATATGAGTTGTTCCGGTTCCGGTTCCTAAAATACGGAACCGATTGAGAATGGTTCCGGTTCCGGTTCCGGTTCTCAATTTTTCGGAACCGTTACCCGCCGGGTACCCGTCAGAACAGGTTCCGGGACCGGGTACCCGGAACCGGCGGCCGGCGGGTACCCTGAACCGGAACCGGCGGATACCCGGTGTTTTTCAATAAAAAATAATTAATTTTTTTTAATACCAAATGTATATTATGTTACATCTTCAAAGGACGTGGACATCTTCATTCTTCATCTACTTTCTAGTTCTACTAAACTACACTTCATAGTATGTAATCGTTAAGTTTTGAACATTTACAATTATAGTATGTAATCGTTAAACTTTGAACATTTTTTATTAGTCTATTATGGTTTATAATCGTTAAACAATATTTGTAACCATTATTCCGTATAATTTGTATTCTTGTTTATTTAATTTAGTGTTTTGACAATGTTTTATTTTTTATTTCTAAATAACAAAATTTTAATATTTTAGGAAGCGGGTACCCGGAACCGGAACCGGTTCCTGGCGGTTCCGGTTCCAAAAATTCAAGAACCGCTCTAACCGGTTCTAGTTCCAATATCTCAAGAACCGCCGGTTCCGGTTCCGGTTCCTGTCAAAAAGGGCGGGTACTCATTTATGCTCACCTCTAATCTGAAGTTCCAAGTGTGGACATCCTACTATGGCAAGAGTGTGGGGATGAGCGAGTTTTCTAATCCATGGCCTCGGGCTCCGCTTTCTATGAACGGTCCCTAGCTTTGGCCTCCAACAGATATGAAGATTAATATTTCGTCTTCGGTTTATTTTCTGATCGAACCCCGATTCTTGTCTTTGATCAAGACCTAATTTTATATAATAAGGTATATTATATAAAATATATTAATAAAATTATATACCGTGTACGGGACGGGGCTGGGATACGCTACCTGCTCCCGCCCTAACCCCGGTTTGAGTCCACCGGGATCCCCGAGACTCGTTTTAGTGGAGAATCCCCGTCCCAGTTCAGGTCGGGTGAGTCGGATTTCCCACTGGATCAGAGCAAATCACAATTCCTACGCTATTATGGTAATTTGCAAATTAGCCAGCTACGGATCATATTTTAGTCATTTATTGCAAAAACATAAAAAAGAAACATAGCGGATCTGAAATTAAAAATTAAAAACTAAGAAAATGACACTAACATGATTTGAACTCGAATTTATGGTAGAAGAATTAGAGCATTTCCGACAGCTTAGAAAATCATTTTTTTTTGTTCCCTGTAATGTTCCAACAGCTTTTATATCATATTATCTAAAATAGAGAATCATGGAGAAAACTTATCGTATAAGAGAAATCTCTAAAACTCTAAAAAGAGGAATAAGAAATGCGTGTTTTTATTCATTCGATCTGTAAGGGTTGAATTGAATTCATTTTATATAAAGTTTTATTTAAAGTGTATTAGGATCATAAAATTATAAAATATTTAAATAATAAAATTGATGGTGAAATCTCTAATGTTGGAGTTGAATGTAACTTATTTTAGAGATTTTGACTTATGTTTCTCTATTTTAGAGAAATTATAGAGAATCTGTTGGAAAAATTACAAACCAACTCTACGAAGGGGAAATTGCGTCTTTGTTATAGTTTCAAACTATATATGATGACACACAACAAATTGATATTGTGACACTTTTTACGACCTTATAATTTTTTAAATTATTACAAATAAACAAAACAGTGACACGTACCACCATATTAAGCATTGTTTGATAAAAATAAGCTAGCTTATTTTCTGGGTATACGTTTGGATGCACATAAGTCAGCTTATTGAAGCGTTACTAGAAGTAGCATTTTATGAGCTTGTTGTCATTTTTTCTAATTATAACCCTCATTAATCTTAGTTATTATTTATTACTATTAATTATAAATAAATATTAATTAATATAAATTAAAAATTAATTATTAATCAATTTTAATTATAAATCATACATTAATATTATTTATTAATTACTTAATTACAATAATTATTAATCATATCAATTATTTTTATATTATTGTTTTCTTAATTATTAGAGTAAATTACGTTTTTTGTCCCTATGGTTTATTACAAATTTTGGATTTCGTTATTGTGGTTTTGAAATTGAGCTTTTAGCCCTTATGATTTGTAATTCATTTCTATTTTTATCCCTAAGGTTAACCACTGCTTTTTAAGTATGATGGATTAAAACATAAATGATTTTAAACCGCATGGACAAAAAAAGCAATGAAGAAGTGACAAAGATCACATATATCATATGCAAATATAACCGTAAGGTTAAAAGTCCCCAAACAAGGGCACAACATCGTTGAGAAGTGTGATGCAATCACACATGGTGGATGTGTGGTTGAGATCGTGACTCCCAAAAAAAAATTGGGGAAGCTGCTTGGTTCCATAGATACTCATCTAAAGTAAAAGAAGAGCAAGCACAACCATTTATCATCAATACATAAACCTCTCATGAAATTGTATCTGATTGAATCCTACGAGATGTGTTATTGAAATTAGTCAGTCTATTGATGCTATCATTCAAATACGTTTATAAAAAACTTTGATATAAAATAATAACAATTCAATCTCATTGATGGAAACTGTTAAAAAAAATCATTTTCCACAGATCAAATTTTAGAGAATTCTCTAAATTTGGAGTTTTCTCTATTTACTGAACATTATAGAAAAACTTTTGAAGCAAAATAGAGAACAAAAAATTAATTTTCTCTATTTTAGAGAATCTGTTGAAGATGCTTTAAGATTCTAATCATGTCCCATAAACCAGCTTAGGTAGCTTAAATTTCTATAAAAAGTACAATTTAATAAAATATAAGGATACGTAACAGAACATTAAGATCTAAACTTTTTGCATGTCCTTAATATAGGTTCGTCCCTAGAAGTATTAAAAACCAAAACTATAACCACAAAGGTGGTGTTTGATCGGTTTGAGTTTGGGCTCTTAAGGTCAAAAGTGTCTAGAGGTCCCAAATTCAAATCCAAACAGAAATAAAAATTCCCTTGGCCACGGATGTTCAAATGTCGTGACTCCGGGATATCCGCAAAGCAGGTGGTCATCATGAGATTAGTCGGCTTGCATAACGGGTTGGATATTCAGGTTAATCGGAGAAAAAAAAACTAAAACTACTAGGGAAATTGCTTAAAATAGTCATTTCAACCTTGTACATTTACTTATTAGTCATTTCTTTCTTAAAACTTAAAAAGTGTCACTACCTTCATAAATAGCGTAAAAAAAGCTTATAAATATGATCCATAAGCACAGGGACAGAATCTATAAAAGTCCAGATACTTACCTTTAACTGATTTAAAATTTTGATTTATGTACTTGCGAACCGTGTTCAGATTTTTTTTATTTATATTTTGACCCTTCTGTAAATTAAGAAATTGCTACTTACAGAGGTAAGGATATTTTAGAAATTTTAGAAGAGAAATAGCTAAAAGGTAAATTTGTTAAGGGACTAGGAGTTGTTTGTTTACCTCTTAATAGTTCCACTAAGAGGCAACATCTGAATCATCAAGAGGTGAATATTGTTTGGCAACAAAAAATCTGTCTTTTAATGGATATTCCTTAACCATTAAGAGCCCTTATTTTTTTGTACAAATTATCAAACAATTATATTTTATTTTGTACTATATCATAAAAGTCTCTTAATCATTCTAACCACTTAATTATTTTGCACCAAACCATTCAATAATTACCAAACAACCCCTAAAATTTCCCAAACTAATATGGAAAAGAGACACGTACACAAAAGTGTCGATGTGTGCATGGAACCCAAATTCGCATTTCTTTTTCAACCTTTTTACCGTTGAAAATATGATGATGATACGACAATTCGCACATTCAAGAATGCAACTACCAAAATCAAGTGAATGGTTCCACTTCCACCCATCTATAAATACAACTTGGGTTTTCATAAAATCTTGAAAATTTTAGTTCTTGGTGAGAAAAGAATGTCGAAATACTCCATGATTTGTTCACTAAATCCCTTTTTATATTTCAGTTGTAAATTTATAAAGAAAACCCACATAAAATGGGATTCTGAAAACGGTGGTTGACTGAAAGACGAGACAGGGCATCATGATGGTTGCCATCTGTTGAGCCATGGAGCATTGTTCGGTCTACTCGAAGCCCAAGCCTTCCGCCACTTCTTCTGCTCATACACAACACTCTTCACAAGTACGTGCTATCATAAATTCATTGGTAATTTGATAATTTCCCTGCTAAAATTATCGTTTTCTCTAATCGATCCCGAAGATTCCCATAAATCTTCAAACCCTAGATTGAGGTTTTTAATCGGAAATGCAGTCTGGAGGTGGAGCAATGTTACTGGAAATTTTGGATTGATGAATGAGGTGGAGTTCTGTGTTCTGATTTAGGTGAAGGTAATTGTAATTCTGTTTCTGAGTTGTGTGATTATTTGGAGAATGATTATTGTTATGCTCTTTTTGTTCATTTGCTGGATTTGGGAAATCAGCAGAGGTGGAGCTCGATTCTTTTGGGGGTTTTTGTTTGGATTATTATTAATCGAATTTCTTGATGAATTAATGGATCAAATGCTACTTATTGACAGGCATAAATCACATCCTGTTTGTGTAATCAATTTGGCCAATTTAGGAGTTCATGTAAGCTTTAGAGTGGCATATTCCATCTTTGTATGACGAGTTTGATATGTTAATTTGATTGTAATCTTTGTGTTCTCGTGTGGTAATGCACTTGTTTCTGATTACTGTAATGTTGCATATGTGGATATGATGGGGGCTATTTAGTATTTAGCCAATGACCTTCTCAAAAATTGAATTTAATAATCTAAACTGTTTTGAACTAGGGGCAGGTCATGCTCCTAATTGAAAACTCATGTAATATCATTTATCCAAATGACCCGAATGATCAGTGGGGGACCTAGATTTTTGCTGAGTGGGTTCCACCTTTAAGGTGGATCAAAGGCCTGCAAAGTCGCCTGATGTGTTTTTAGCCAAATTCCACCATTTCGAGGGATTTTTCTTTAAGTTTGTTGGTTGATTTTGAGGGATTGTTTAAGTGATTTGGTTGATTTTAAGAGACTTTTTCGATTTTTTCCTTGATGTTCCTTGTATCTTTTAATATCCTGGAGCACCCCTTAAAGTTTAGCGGGTGCACATTACATAACCAAAAAATTTTACTTTGGAAAAATCGGTTGAGCGGGTGCGCAGGACCCCACTTGGATCCTCATAGGTCCGCCCCTACAAATGATGGTTAACTATGTTATCTATCACATTGATGTCATGGACAAATAGATCTGTTATGTGAAAATTCCTAATCTCTTGAATTGATATAGTTGGATTGGACTCTTGAAAGGTTTGCAAATGTGGAAGGATCAATTGAGACAATCAGGAAAAAGAATCCAGGTTTCACTTAGGAGAATTGGTCATGAGATTTGGAGATCTTGATTCCCCACTCGGGTATGAACTACATTCACATTTTCTTGGTTGTGCTTGATGGTTGGGTTCTATATCTTTCAAGAGGCGCATACTCTTACTGGGTAAGAGGTGCTTACCGGTCAGAGATGCTGCTATTTACCAAGCCCTTCTTGCCGGTCCATGATGTTGACCCGAGTAAGCTAAAGAGGGACTCTTATGGGTTGTTTGGTTGGTTTTAGGTCGTGTATGGATAAAACTATCTATGTGGATTAATCTGTGTGTATAGATTGTGAAGGCTTTTGTTTGGGAAGGTTTTTTCATAGATGGAATGAGCGTGCTTTTTAATTGGGATGAGCAGGTTTGGAAAAACTTGACTTTCTGCATAAAGCTCCCTCCTAGAAATTTACTGAATAAGTCATTTTCATATCATTAAGCCACTACCAAACAGTCATGTATAGCTGACCAAATAAGCTGAGTCTCATTAAGCTCATTAAGCTGCTAACAAACAACCTCTTACCCGGTCAGTGATTAGTGTCGACTACCTACCCAATTTGTGTTGCTAAATGACCTCTTAGTGTTTTCTTTTCCAATCGATGTTCATGTGAAAGAAATTATCCCCGATAACAGGAGCTTGTGGGCAATCTGCTATCATTCTTCTTAGGAATCGGGAGCAGTGACATTTTTGTTGCTTAGCTGTCAAATTTCAGCTTGCTTTTGAATAAATTCGTGAACGTTTTGCCATATTTAGAAATCAATTCCAGTTGTTTAAAAAAATTAAACTAAGAGTGGATTCTGTTTAATAACATATCTTCTGTTACTGCAGATGTTATGATGTTCATTGGTTGGATTCCCAACAAGTTTCTCCTTTTGATGCATATATATACATATACTGGTGGATATTGTTACATTTGCTGAAAATAGGGGATCGTGAAGTTCTTTCAGTGAGGAGGTAGTTTTATTATCAGATATCGGAGGTGAAAGAACTTGAAATGAAGGGGAATTGCAACAAGTCCTTAAAGATGTTGTTAAGTCGAGGAATTGAGGATTTACATGATGACCATTTTGAAGGTTCTCTAGATGAGGACACCATTTTTAGAGATGTGTTCTTTGGGCATGAAGAAAGTGGTAGAAATACTAAAAGATGTCTTGTAACCGCAGCAATACATTTCGAAAATGACGATAACAAGCCCAAGGATGCCTCATTTCTGTCAAACAGTGAGCATTCAGTTATGACAATTCAGGAAGACTTTCAGAACAAAGAGGGTAGGCTCTCCGAAGAGTTCATTAGGAATGACCCTGGTGTTGAAGTCAAGCGAAGGAAGGTATCGTCGGTTCTAGAACATTCTACAACTAAATCTTATTTAGAAAAGGTAGTTAATTCTGTAACTCCACCAAAAGAAGTCAATTCTTGTTTGTGCCATCCGGCTTCTATTGTAACATGTCGTTTGGTTGAATCATCAAGCCAAGGTGTTAAGCCCAGTTGCTATTTGCTTAAAGGAAATCTTGGAGATAGGGATGCCATTAAGTGTAGATTATGTTGCTCTGAATCAACTTATCTGAATGGAAACGATGCAAGAAAGGATTACGCTTCACCCGTTTCACAGGAGAGTCAATCTAGCCCGGAAACCATTCAGTGTTTCAAGAAGCGAGGGAAAGATTCTTCCTTTCTGGAACTTGATGAAGATGAGAACTTTTTCCCCCCTAAAGATTCCACCATGGATCCTAAATCACTTGAGGAAGACGAGAACTTAGTGGTGCTCATCGACAAGAGTCTACATTACCTGAAAGAAGGGAAACGAGTGAAAGCAGAAAGAAGTGTGGCGGATGGTTCGTATCTGAAACATGATACCCTTTCGCCTTTAGCAGATGTAATTGCGACTGGAAACCAGATTCCAGAAAGACTCGGGGAAGAGAGTAGTAGCCTGGTTCCAATTTTTGGGATGGATTCTGTTCTAAAAGAGAATTCACACAAGAAATCAGAAAGGATATATGATATCAAGCTGACCAAATCAAATATAACAATGAATAGCATTGAAGCTAACTTAGATAATCATGAAAGTTGCAGAAAAAAGATGCTTTGCTCTTTTGAGGAGCAAAATAAGAAATCGAAGTCAAAATTCAAGAAATCAGACCGTCATTCTAAAAGTCCTAAGATATCGGTTAAATGTGAAAAGGATCATAAAAAGGATAGAGAAGGGAATAGCCACATTGGGGATGATGATGACCTTTTACTTTCATCCATATCGAAAAATCATTCTGCTACCAAATCATCAGGTGTAAAACGGAAATCCCGTGTTAGAAATGTTCTAAAGAAGTACAAAAACAGAAAAAGTAGTTGCAGGTTGCTTCCCCGGAGCCTTGCCAAGGGTGGACAGCATCATGTGGAAGAGAATCGGTCTTCCCTTGGTGTAAGAACAGTATTATCATGGTTGATAGATTTTGGGGTTATTCATCTGAAAGAAGTGATGCAATACAGGAATCCAAGGGATAATGTGGTGGTGAAGGATGGTTTAGTTACCCGAGATGGTATTCTGTGTCGGTGCTGTGACAAAGTGCTTTCCGTCTCTAAGTTTAAGAGTCATGCTGGTTTCAGCCTCAAATGCCCATGTTTGAATCTATTTATGGAATCCGGAAAATCCTTCAGCTTGTGCCAATTGGAAGGTTGGTCAACTGAGTATACAGTCAGGGAAGGTGCCATAAAAACTGCAAAAGTTGAAGAAGTTGACCAAAATGATGATAGTTGTGGCCTGTGTGGCGATGGGGGTGAGTTGATATGCTGTGATAACTGCCCATCGACCTTTCATCAAGCATGCTTATGTATGCAGGTCCGTCTTGCTTTTCTTGTAGCTGTTTGTTCAGTTGGCTTTCATAACTTTATTGAACATCTTGCTTAAAATTCTCTGCGCATCTTCATTTTCTTGGAAATTTCAAAGGTTCTATAATCTTCTTGCATCTTGTAGTTTTGTCTAGAATCATCTAACATACTATTGATTCTTGCAGAGAGTTAAAAGTATATTGTAGAATATATTCTTGTATCTAGGAAGTTTCTAGACTCTCCGTAAATTGGCAAGCCTCTTATTTGTAAACCATCCAAGAAACATTCTTATAAAACAAAGGGAGCACTCATCACCACCTGTTAATATGTATATTCACTAATGAATAGCAATGCAGTCAAAATGAATATATCTACATTGTGGTTTACGAGCAGTGTTAATCGTGTGCATGACTGCATCAATGTTATTTTTCTTATCGAACCAAAACAAGATTTTATTCTCAAAAAGATCCAAAGATGCTTTGATGGGTAATGATGAAGGTTTTGGTGGAAGATGAAGATGATAAATGTTCTCGATTGCTATATCTTGAATCAAATCAATGATCTATGGAAAGTTGAAGGGCTGTTCTTAGCTAGAATATATAAGTGTATTCTTGTTCCTTTCATTGTCATCTTTTCTATGCTTTTGTTTCTCCAGGAGCTTCCAGAGGGCGACTGGTATTGTTCTAGATGCTCTTGCTGGAGTTGTGGGAATGTGGTCTGTAATATCGAAAACCCAATCTCGGGTGTTCTGAAATGTTTGCAGTGCAAACATAAATGTAATTTTCTGCACTCAACCACTAAAGATTGTTCTATTTCTTGTGGATTGGCTTCACTTTTGAACTGCAAATTTGGTTGCCATTTTTCTGATTTTTTTCCGGGAAATTGATTGAAATAGCTAATCCCATCAACCAAATTCACTTTTTAGCCACTTCTCGGAGCCTCTTCCCAAAATAGTCGGTCTTTATGCATTTACGTAATGACTGATTTCTGGAAGAAGAAAAAAATCCTTGTGCTTATGCTTGAGGATTCTTTACACAAAAATCTGAATCTTTACACACAAAATATCTTTTCTTTCTTGTTTAATCTGAAAATCAAGTTTACGCAAATGTGTAAGACATTAGCGTAAATGCCGACTGAAATGGGAATTCTATTGAAACAGTGAAGTTTGTTGAGGAGATTGGCTTTTTTGGCCAATATCCCTTCTTTTCCCTTCTACTTGGCATAACTTTATGGCAAATTGTCCAAAATAGCCAATTAGGCCTCCCCTCTTCACTTTATAGCCACCTTTCCAACATTATGACCAATATAGCCGGAGATTACGCAACTTGCATAACCCACTTTTTCCAACAAAATAATCAGAAATAATTAAACGTTATGCAAATTGCGTATGTGGTACTTGCGTAAGGTCTAGGTGGCATGTCTATGTTGGTTACACTCCGACATAATGTCTAGTTTTCTGAATATGATATTGGAAAGAGTGGATTATGCAAGTTGAGTAAGTGCTACTTGCCTAATCTCCGACCATTTTGGTCAATTTGTTGAAAATGTGGCTATGAAGTTAAGAGGGGAGGCTTGATTGCCTATTTTGGACAATTTCCCTAACTGTATTTCATCAGCAAAGAACGTGGTATGTTGTCACTTACTTCGGATTGAAGCTTATTTGGGTATGGGGTTAGATCCATTTTGAACCTCTGGACATTCTATAATCGGCCGTTATCTTTATGTTGTTTTCCAACACTTTTCTGAATGTGAACATTTTGTACTTTTTGTTCTTTGTCATAATGAAGCCATATGTATTTGTTAACAGACCACAAGGAATGTATCAAGGAGACGAGAATTGAAAGTGGATCGGTACCTTCCACCTGGTTCTGTGACGAAAGCTGTAGGGAGGTAGGATAAAAGGTCCTTTCGTTACAGGTTTGAAAATGCCATTGTTTAACAGAAAAATGTCTAGAAATCTGTTAGAAGGTCGTGGATTTAGAAAGCACCTGTCAAGAGGTCATTTAGCTAAATAACGGGTTCTTCACTTAACTAGCCTTTTGTTAAAAAAATTACAAAAATGCATGTGGGCCCCACAAATCTGATAAAGCTACCTCGATTAGATAAAAAGATGCCGGTTGATGGGACTACGTACGGTGGCAGCTTTTTGTTTAATTCAGATAGCTTTATCAGATTTGTGGGGCCCACATATATTTTTGTGAGCCCTTTCCCATTTTGTGAAATCTTTGGAGAAAGGGGTGGCCTTTTTCGGGAAAAAAATGTATTTTAGGGTATTTTTGTAGTTTTTTTTTTACAAAAAGCTAGTTGAGTTTAAGAACCCCGGTACATAACTGTTTGATTCCAGCTTGAATATGATCTTTGAATCAAAAGACTATTTACAAGAAATACTCGGATATTCTCAACAGTCTTCAGTATCCATCTTTTACAGATTCACTTGGGGCTTGATTCCCGAGTTGGGCTTATGAATCCAATCTCCGATGGTTTCTCATGGATGGTCTTGAGGTGCACTCATGGAGACCAAACGGTCCTTTCTGATCAGCATTTCGTTGCTTTGAAAGTAGAATGCAATCTGAAACTAGCGGTTGCCCTTGCGATCATGGAGGAGAGCTTTCTTCCCATGATGGACCCGAGAACGGGCATTGATATGATACCCCATGTGCTATACAATCAACGGTTAGTTTTTTGAATTTTTCCTTTCGACTCGTTTCTTTATCTGCTTGTGTAAGAATATGTGGAACGCCGGTCAGATTACTCTATGAAAGACCCTTCTAAGGTTTCAATATATATCGAGGAGAAATGATCATATTCTAGTTGATGTGGGACTCTAACGGCTCGCATACATTTTACACCACTTTTTTGCTATTTATTTTTGCAGATCGGAATTTGCACGCCTTGACTATGAGGGATTCTATACGGTGGTCTTGGAGAAAGATGACATGTTACTCTCTGTAGCATCCATAAGGTACCTCTTGATTCACCATTGTAAAAGACTTTAATAACCATTCATTTGTCCGGTATGCACATGGGCATAATTGAAAATGTTTCCTGGTTTCTAAAAATGCACATGTGCATACCAGAAAAATGAATGGTTATTAGGGTGTTTTTCAGTTTTTTTCATTTTTTTGTGCTTTTCCCCTGAACCCAACCCATCATAAAGAAAATCTTAAAAAAGTGAATGATTTATAGTTTCTTGCAATTATTTGGTAAATAGAATTATGAGGATATGATATTGTTTACATTCCGGTTTTAGGATTCATGGGATGGGCGTTGCAGAGATGCCCCTCATTGCAACATCCAGCAAATATCGGCGCCATGGAATGTGTAGGCGTCTTATGAACTCTATTGAAGAGGTATGCACCCCTTCCATTCGATATCGGTGTGAGTAGTAATGGGATTGTTTTTTGACGGTACATGAGACAGGACCGGACAAGACGGTACAAAAACTTGTCCCACGTTTGGTTCAACATTTGATTGGGACAAGACAAGACTGTATTTTTTTGTCCCACCAAAATATGTGGAACAAAAATCAGGTAATGGGACTAGATTGGAAAATTATTGAACTACCCTTGACAAATTAAAACCCTAAAACATTATGACAATTCTTTTACCTGCCTACCTCACTCTTGTCCGTCCAATCCTATCCAGTCTCATCTACGTACCAAGCACACTTAGGGCATTGTTGTTAGCAGCTTTATGAGACACAACTTATTTAGTCAGCTATATATGATTGTTTGGAGTGGCTTAATGATATAGAAAGTGGTTTATTCAATAAGCTTCTAGGGGAAGCTTGATGCAGAAAGCCAAGATTTTCCAAACTATCCCTCCCCACTTAGAAAGCACACTCATTCCGTCTATGGAAAAACTCTCCCAAACAAAAACCTTTGCTATCTATACAGACAGATTAATCCACAAAGACCACTTAATGGAAAACCAACCAACCAACCAACCCCTGAGACAAAATAACATCCAGCTTTTGAGTTTCGCCCCGCTTTATAAAGCAACTCTTGCGGTTAGTTTGTTTGTTGCATGAATTTGTATTTGACTCGATGTTTGACCTGTGCGTTTAGCTGCTGAAGTCGTTGAAGGTGTCGAAGCTGGTCCTTTCAGCCATTCCAAGTTTGGTTAAGACATGGATGGAGGGTTTTGGGTTCACGCATTTGGAAGCCGAAGAGAAGAAGAGGTTGAGGAAAACCAACTTGATGGTGTTCCCAGGAACAGTCTGGCTTAAGAAGGCCATATACAAGCCAATGGAAGCCATTAATCTTGAACAAGATGTGATCAACTGCAAGGAGTTGTTGCAAAAAGATAATGATGATGACAATGGTGGGTTGTCACACTCAAGATTTGAAGGAAGGAGGTCTTTTGAAATGGTTTGTGGTGTAAAATGATGATATCTTAGAAAAAGGGGGAAAAAACCAGCAGTGAAGTTGTATATATTTAATAATTAAGAAATGGAAAAGTTTTGCAGTTTGAACAAGAATCAATGGTAGGCAATAGCATGCAGGATTTTGCTAGTCATACTCATGGTTACATGTACATCAATTGTATATATATTAAAGTGTGTGTATATATAGAGAGAGGGGTTCAAGAAGAAAACTACCTAAAAATGAAAACTTGAGGGAATGCTCAGATAACCATTCATACGTATGATATACACATATGCATACAAATAATCAAAGATGTTTTCAGGTTTTTATGGACTTGTTCTTGTTATGCATATGTGCATACTGGAAAAATTACTTACAAATTATTTTGCACATGTATATACCGTCAAAATGAATGATTATTCTATATATAAACCCCATAAAAATAAAAAAAGAAACTTGAGGAATATTTTTCATTTGAACAATATGCAAATGTGCATACAAGTAATTGAAATTGTTTTTTGGTTTATATGTACATTTACTTACCATTCATATGAATGATTATCAGGTTGTTACTTAGTTTTTCATTTTTCTACGGTGATCCCTGAACCTGATTATACATATAGACTCGAGATCGGGTAGAAACTCTTCTTTTTGTAAGAACTATAAGACCACCTTGATACGCCTTTGGATGAGATCGTGTTTTGGATCCGACTGTTTGGATGGATGCAGTGGCATTTTGTTAATAAAGTTGATTTTCGATGACATGATCTGGGCTGAACATCGAGGTTAACGTATAACTTATGTTAACCCCTGTGAAATAATTAACATACGTGAAACTATTAACATACATGAAATATGCAACATTAAAATATATTTACAATATAAGAAGTTGTTTGTTTACCTCTTAATAGTTCTATTAAAAGACCACCTCTTATTCTTTAAAAGGTTAATTATGTTTGGCAAAAAAAATCTGTCTCTTAATGATTCTAAAACCCTCTGAATAATTTTATATCATGAATCTCTCTTAACCGTTAAGAGCCCATTGTACACAATTACCAAACAATTATATTTCATTTTGCACTATATCATAATAGCCTCTTAATTATTCTGACCACTTAATCATTCTATACCAAACCATTTAGTAATTGCTAAACAGCCCCTGAACATTCATTAATATATGTTTTAACATACCTAACAATCTTTAACATATATTGACATAGAAACCTTAACATATAAGAAGACATGTCAACGGATGGTGTTGATGTGGTGAATGAAATGACAAAATTGTCCCTCCATTTACGATTGAATGCACACCGGCACACAGACCCTCATGATTCGTGGTTTCTACGGATTTTGAAGTTCCTACCATAACCCAACTCTCTTTCTATGCAATTTAACATGATTATTTCCTTAAAGAGCGCACTAAAATTAACAAATTTACCATATAGAAATAATTACAATACTTGTTATATGGGAACAAAAAACCCACAAACAGCATACCATCAAAAGACTATACATCGTGGGATTATATTTCGTGTTCGATACACGACACACTTAATCTTCATCACCTGGCGAGAATAACCTGGAAACATAGTCGTGGCCTTGTTGTACGTTCTCAGATTCGGTAGGTGGAAGAACTCTCTTTCTCATAAGGCTTTCTATCATGGCTGGCAATTTTCGTTTTCTACCACCCCTTGGCCTCGATTGAAATTGCTCATCAGCTTCGACGAAATCTCCCTGAAAACGGAACATATAAAATGAATCTCAAATTGGTTGGAATGGATGAATGATTGGATCGAATTAGAGAGGATTCGAACAACAATCTCTACCAGTGTGTAAACATGGAGCCCAGATTTCTCGTGTTTATCTCTCACATGCTTGAAAGAGAACCTCATTTCACACCCGGGAATGCTGCACACAAATGGCTTTTGTTGAAAGTGGGCAGATTTTACGTGCTGTCGGAGATTTGAACCCTGCGTTTTTTACAAAAAATAAACTGAGATTTGTTTTGTTTAAAGAGATATAGTACTTACAGAGATAGTATTAGGTTATTGGATAAAATCAATATTGCAGGCGGGACTGGACAAAAACCGATGAGAATGAGGTAGGCAAGTGAAAGAATTGTGGAAAGCTTTTGCAGTTTTAATGATATGGGCAGTTTAGTAATTTACCAATCATGTCCATCAGCCAGATTTAGTTCTACCTATCTTGGTTGGCCAAAAAATGCATTTTTGGCATTTTTGTCAGACTCGAGTCCATTCGTTTTGGTCTAATGTCACGCCAAACATGGGCCAACAAGTTTTTGTAATGTCGGATCTCAAGTACCAAACACACCCCTAATGTCAAATCAGTATCAACTAGGACACAAATAAAGCATTGGGTCAAACTTTCTTCGGTGTCAAGGTAGTCGCTGTCAATAGAACTTAAGATCAAATTTTAATGGGGTGATATATATATATAGAGGAATCAAAAGGGCATAAGATTCTTACAGTTGAAAATGTTAGATCGCATCCATCAAAACTGCATTTGATCCTCTGATCGGAAACCACTTCTTCATGTGTCCTAAGGTGACGCTTTATATTCTTCCTCAGTTGCTTGCTCCCACAAATCTCACAGTTAATGTGCTGATGGCAAGACTGGAGGTGAGCTTTTAAACACTGTTCGTTAGTAAAATACTTCATACAGCCTGGTTCTGCACAAAATGCCTCGATGGTTTCCAATCGAACTGCAATAGTAAACAGATACTTTGATAAAATGAATCATAAATTAACAATGACCAAGAAAAAATCAATTAGATTGGCAAACTATAGCCACTCACTAACCATGTGAATCTTCATGCTTTCGTAATTTTGATGGATATTTGAAAACTTTTCCACAGCCAGGTTCCAAACAAGGATATTGCTTCGGATCTTTTACGTCATCAGAGATAGAGCCCGAGTCATCGTGTATTTCTTTCACATGTCTAGACATGTTACCTTGAATTGAAAATTTGCTATTGCAATTTTCGACAGGGCACACGAAAAGTTTACCCTGGTGCTGAAGAAGATGGCGCGTCAAGTGATCTTTCCTACGATAACTAGAGTTGCAGTCATCTACTGAACAAGTGAAAGGCCTCTGCAACAAGATAAAATACCTTACTGATAAGAATTTAATTCAAGTTATTCGCAAATATTTCAGTAACACACGGATTATAGAATCTTTGAACCTCGTATTTCAGCGCGTGATTGGGACTCACTTGATGGAGCTTCTCAGGAGGTCCCCCTACCTGATACTAATCCAATCAAGGTCTCGCATTTTGGAGTTCTCTGTGTGGGATCCAATGCCTCACGCAATTCTTTTCACATAATTTCAAACACCCAATATAACTTTATACCCTGCACAAGTGTGGATGCTATGAAAGATTAAAAACTTAAGAATCACATCAAAGAACATTAGAAAAACAGATAGATGAGACCGTTGGCCACCAACACTCTGAATGTTATATGTGGTTTCTGCATTTTGCTTTAGTTATGATTGCTTGAAAATGTATACATTGGCGTCAATCTAGCAAACTATATGTTAGGCAAACATTTACCACAAACAACACTGGGGTGTTCAGTTTAAGAATTGGAGACTATAAAAGATTACATTCAAATCAACAGCATAATTGTTAGGACGGTGATGGCCTTCCATGAGAAACAAATAGAGAACTTAGATAGAGTAGTGCTATAATCATATTTAAACCAAAAAAAGCCCATATATCCTACTCAAGAGTGCTATAATCAAATTTCAAGGTTGGAAAACCAAATAAAGCTCAGTTGAAGTGCTGAACAGATGTTGATTTAGCAAACCGAAATAAAAATTAGCAGCATGTCATGCAACAAGCATCTATAGACCAGATTTTGGAATGCTTATTAACCAAATAAATGTATTAACACCAATGCGCACAAACACAACAAAAAAACGTTTATTGAACCAGCAATTTCTTCATCAAAACTAGTATTGAATTAAGCATAGGATATCAATGTTTCAAAAATACCTCAAGTGAATGGCTTTGCATATGCTGCCTCAGGTAAGCAGGCTTCCGAAAAGAAGCCCCACATTCCTCGCAAACTATCATCTTCTTCCCTTTTTTCTCCACTTCTCCATCACCTTCTTTCTCCTTGATTTCGTCCTAAATTATCACAAACATATCAAAACTAAATCCAACAATTACCACTAGTAGCGTTCATGGTATCAATTAAACCAAAAACTAAACAACAAAATTCAAAAACTTCCTCCTGATTAACACAAAATTACATAACATACATTCACATACAACAATATCTATCAATAGAATCCGATCTGCCTTCGATAGAATCACTATCAATCAAATACCTAACCAATCTCATCCAAATCACTACAATTTTATACAGATCCGGTCTTCCAAACAAAAACGTACATGAAACATCAAGTTCATCAACAACGGATTACAATATTTCGTCAAAAGAACAACCAGTAGATAGATCGATAGATACAAACCTGGTGATGAGATTGGATGTGAGCACTGATAATAGTCTTTTTCGAACGAACAATACCACAGTACTCGCAAGTATAACGCCTTATGTCTCTGAAAATTGGGAAATCCCTCTGCGTTTCGATTCTTTCTTCTCCCATCTTCAGAGATTGTGGTGGAAAGTGTGTGTGTGGCAGCTTCCAACAAGCTGCGGAATATGACTACTGCTAGGGTTTATAATCTGTCTATTTGAGTGGGCCTGCTTTAAAGCCCATTTGTTGGCAATGATTTGAGCTGAATTTTGTCTTCTTTTTTCCTAAGAATCATTTCATTTTACGATTGTGATCTCGAAACCTTTTTTCACAAAGAAAAGGGCAGAAAAGTAGGCATGGGAATGGCCTCTGACCTCTTGGGGGAACCTGGTCCGCTCATCCCGATCAAGGACAAGGATTTCTCGTTAAATCGGAGATGGGACCGGGATCCCTGTTTGTCTCGCATCAAGGATGGGGTCGGGGACAGGTATCGCACTCTCCGTCTCGTGATGTACCTTCATCTATGTCTATACTATATTACAAAACATTTGACAAAAACTTTTAAAAACTTTTTTTTATGTATGAAGTGCTGTTTATAGATGCATATTACTTAAAATTCAATATTACAAGTAAATTGTATGTAAGTACAGCTTATTAAAGCTCCGTGTTCGAATTCGTGTAACTAACTGTGAATAAACATAATCAAATAGAGGATAAACATCTTATTTTAAAATATAAAAAAATCTAAAATATAATTAAGATAATTATCAAGTTCTAACAAAATACTTAATTATTATCTTTATAAAAAAAAGTATGTTATTAAATCAAATATAAATTACTTCATTATTGAGCTTAAATTAAATTATAATTAAATAATTACACAAAAAATAAAAATTTAAATAGTTAATTTGATACTAATATCGATATATTTTTATGATATCTTCAAATTTATATTTTATTCAAAAATCAAAACATTATCACATTTTCAAAATCACATAAAACCATATTATAACATCGACTGAGATAAAATAAAATAAAATAAAACAAAATATTAAAATCAAGATGTATCTCGCTGCATTGCGCGAGTATTATTCTAGTATATTAAATTTATATTTTTTATTTCAACTAGAACGGTAATTTCTATTTTATCATATTTCCTAATTAGTTTGAATCTAAAATTGTTATATTTTTAATGTTAGTATGTATTATTTTGGATGTCAAGTCTTGCTCGATACGTTTTGGATATGACTCGATTTGGTTTCGGATATTACTCGATATGTTATGGTACGTGTGACGTTAAGTTTTTTTTTTTTTGTTAAATTGAATTTCTTTTCTGTGATTTATTAAAATTTGTGACTTTCTTTTCTGTTGTTTCAAAATTATTGTTTTCGTTCATGTGGTTTGCATCTCATCGTTATTTCCATTCTGGTGGTTTGTATTTTGTTGTTATTTTCGTTCCTAACGGTTCTTTAAACCTATTTCACGAAGGAAAGAGGAAGAAAGTAAATAAACTCGTGTTCGTGAAACTTTTTCGAGAAATAAATGAAATGGAAACAAAAGAAAATTAATGATAAGTTTATTCTCAAAACTTTCCTTCCAATTTCCAAATGTGAGATGCAGAGACGGACTTATATTTTTTTTCCAAGTGATGACACCATTTGATTATAAGAAACAAAAATATAGATATTTGTCACAAAATAATTTTTGGTCTATTAATTAGTTCTTTACTTTTCATATGTGAGGTCATGCAAACCAAGGGGTTGTTTGTTTGCCTCTTAATAGTTTCATTAAGAGGCAGACTCTTAATCGTTAAGAAATGAATCTTGTTTGGTAAAAATATCTGTCTTTTAATGATTTAAAACCCTCTGAAAAGACAACAAACTGTAAACTAGAAATAAAAAACCGTAATTAAAAACACACAAACACAAAAATTGTAAATTTCAACAAGCCATGTGAACAAAAAAATTGTAGTTTACAAAATAATTGTATTCTTTCTAGCTATAAAGGTTGCCATGGAGATGCATAAGTGTTCCATCACTCCTTAGAGCATCTTCAACTAATGGTGTTTATGGGTTGGTTTGATTGAGATGAAGACGTTTGAACAACCCAACTCGATGCTAGCGGTTTAGAAAATCTTAATCCAACCCAACTCAAACAAAAGTGCAACCCAAACCGTACGGGTTGGTCAGGTTGATACTTTGGTACATTAAAATATTATTCTAACTTTGAATATGTTATTGTTTTACTCAAAAAAATTTATCATCAACTATTTGATACAACGTATCCATACTTCTTAAATCGTATCAATTTATATATATATATGTTCACGGTTACTTAACATATATATAAATGGGTTATATAGAAATGAAGAATATATTGAAAATAAGTGTATATGAAGAGGGTACGTGACAGTGTAATTGTCTAATGTATATATTAATAGAAACTCAACAATCATATTAAATCCAAGAAATACAAGTATATCAGGTTCATCGGGTTAGGTTGAGTTCAAATAATAGTAACCCAATTTCAACCTAATACCTACTGTTTGAAAATTTTACAACTCGATTAGACATCCGGTTGCTCCGGGTTGAGTTATTTCATGTTGGGTTGGTCGGGTTTTTGAGCACCCTTATCTCCAACATCCATGTTAAAATAGAGAAAACTAAAATTTTATCAACTTTTGTACTCTAACAGCTATACTATATTGCATGCTAAAATACATAAAAGAAGAGAGAAAGAGAGAAAAATCTTCAAATTTGGAGAAATATTTAAAACTCCATATTTAAAAGAGAAATAATATTTAATTCTCTCACCAATATGAGACATTAAAATTAAGTGTATTTGGTTCACAATGTGAAACACTTTTACGTGTATTTTTTGTTTCATAAACACGTCAAAAAGGTTCAAATTGTAAACTGAATACATGTAAAACAAATATATGTTAATCATTACATTAAATTCTTGTTACAAATAAAAAAAATCATATAAAATAGTACGCTTCTATCATTTTTCATCAATATATCAATTGTTTGGTTTATATGCTTTATATTAACAAGGAGGTTTGAGTTAGGACTATATATATATATATATCATGAAAATAGTACATTATTAAATGTGGTTGGGTTCACGTGAGACCATCATATTTTCATGAGACTATTTTTTTATACTTAAAACTTCACAGCAAAGCACTGTAAAGATAAAAAAAAAGTTGAACTTTCACAACAAAAACACTGTCAAGGTTATTTTCACAATGTTTTGCTATAAATTTTCAAGTATAAATGGTCTCATAAAAACATATTGGTCTCACGTAATTGCAAGTCTACTAAATGCACATTAAATAATGTTTCTAATCATATCCTTGATTCCTCTAAACCAAATAAAAAACTTACCATTTCTATATTTGATACATTTTGATGTTTCCATGACTTACAAAATTGGTTTACCCACCAAATCCTTTTGCAAACATATACAAAAATAGCCTCTTTTGGGGTCATAAAATTGGATAATTGTTGCAAGAAATCTCACCAAAATCTTGAACCATCTACTAAGATAAGACCAAAACCTTGAACCAACGAAACGATAAGGGTTTAGCAGAAAACCGAACTACATGTCACCTGTACATATAACACAATACCTACCATATATACTAATACATTCACAATGAATGAACCAACAACACCCGTTACATAAACTCCGCGCCCATGGAAGAAAACAAAACTCGAGAGAAGAGAACAAGATAACGAGTTTATTGTTGAGCTCCTCATCAACTAGCTGCGTTCTCGGCCATTGTCTTCTTTCTTGATTCCATCACCAAAAAGAGTAGATGATTTCATGGGCTCGCTACTTCGTTTAATCAAGTTAGCACTAGCACCTTCGTTTGTTGGAGATCTTATACCAATGGTGCTTGTACCCGGAGAATTTTCTCCCGAGGTCCTTGGTTTATTTAAAGCGTCGCAATGCGGGCAAAAGTATGTAATGTATGGAAAATCCTCTTTACTTACAAGACCTGTAAATGGGGATTTCTCTTATTAACATGTGTAATTACATCTTAATCTTTGGGTGGGGTTAAGGTAAGATCGGTGTATATCCTACCTCTTTTGGGATTTAGTGCTTGTTTGTTAGCAACTTAATGGGACTCGCAACTTATTCAAATCAGCTATACATACTTGCTTGGTAGTGGCTTAATGATATATAAAATGCTTATTCAGTAAGCTTCTAAAGGGGAGCTTTATACAGAAAGCCAACTTTTATCCAAACATATTCTTCCCAATTAAAAAAACATGCTCATTTCATCTATGAAAAAACCTTCTCAAACAAAAAAAATTCAATCTATACAGACTGATTAATCCACATAGACAACTTAATTCATACAACACTTAGGGACTGTTTGTTAGCAGCTTAATGAGCTTAATAGGACTCGCAGCTTATTCGGTCAACTATACATGACTGTTTGGTAGTGATTGAATGATATAGAAAGTGTTTTATTCAGTAAGCCTCTTGGGGGAGCTTCATGCAAAAAGCCAAGTTTTTTCGAAATCTGCCCCTCCCAATTATAAAGCAAGGCTCCTTCCATCTATAAAAAAACGCTCCCAACAAAACCATCCCAATCTATAGAGACAAATTAATCCACACACACAGCTTTATCCATACAAAACTTAACAGAAAACCAACAAAACAACCCCTTACTGAAAAACCAACCAAAAAGCCCCTTACCAGGTATATTTGATTTGATTCTAGTAGTGACAAATTTTGCAATTATTTTTTTAATACCCATTGTTTATATATTAATTTTGCTTATTAAATTTTATGGTAGAAGCAAATAGACCCAACCAAACCAAACGATCTAGTATATTCCCCTCGGACGTAAGGTCTTTGGGGGTAAGATGTAGACATCTGTGACATCTACCCTTTAGGAACATCCAATTAAATTGGAATGATAGAGAGAAGATTAGCATGTAGACCGTAAGGACGAAATATACTTACCATTATGCATATGGCAATGACCACATATAAGCGCATACGATTGTGAGGGGTCCGCTCCCACAAGCAATGCAGCAACTCGAGCAAACCAACCCCCATCTTGAGACACGGGAGTTATAGTGTCGTGATGCTCGACAACAAGCTGTTTTTTGGGAGGAACCTCGGATACCACCTCATTTTCCACACCATACTGAACCATTTCCTTATCAAACTGTGGCATGAAATTGCCTCCCTTGGATGCAGATTCGGATGTAAATCTTTTCCGCAAACCACTAGGTTTCACAGGCTCAAAATCATTACTCTTTCCGGAATCTTCAGTATAAAACTGGAACCCCTCTTCTAGGAACACTTTTAGGCCTGAATCTGCACACAATTTGGATGCAAGTACAGATGCAGCAGCCGCCTTGGCTGCTGGATCGGAGTCGTATTTCTGCAAAAAGAAAAACTTTGGAATAAGCGCAAAGTTCGTATTGACGTTAAACAACAACAATAATGATAAGTGAAAAAGATTGATATGTATGCAGGACAGCAGGAGACAGATGAGAACATCTCCAAAAGTTATGCCATATTTTCTTTAAATTAGAGTAATAAAAGTCAATATTTGTAAGAAAAATTACATTCAACTCCAACATCCACTCTATTTTAGCAATTTTAACATCAACTATAATATTAAAATATTCAATACATTTAATAAATATTATTTATCTCTCCTAAACATTTATTTTCAATACCTCTAATCGGTAGGAAGCATTAAAATAATAATTTCTCACTCTATTTAGAGATTTCTCTAAATTAAAGAAAATATACAATCCCTCTCTCCTCTTTTCTCTATTTTCCATACAAGATGCCATAGCTGTCGGAGCAATTTTTTTTTTTTGCTAAAATCCATCTTTTCTCCATTTCAGCATAGTTGTTGTAGATGCTTTGACAGAACGAGCGCGGAAGATATAAAGCATGATGGTGGAGTGAGGAGAATGGGGAGGCCAAAGATAATGTACGAGGAGTAGTTGTGGTGGATTTAACAGTCTTAGACATTTCCAATGACATGACCTCTGATGGGAACGCTTAAAAAAACGTGACTAGGGTAGCAGACTACATGAGAGCGGACTTATAGCTAACATGGATGAGAGGGGAGTTTGGAAAAAATATGCGGTAGATAAAGATTTGTTTTAGTTTTTTTTATTACTTTTCATGTCTTACTTATGTTAGTCATGGTATTTCTTGCCTTCAGTGTATATGCTCAATCTTTGCACAAGTTGAGCATCTTCACGAAAATAGCCGTTTTACCCGTTCGTGTGTAGGTAAGGTATGTGTGCATCTCACCCTCCTCATACCTCACTTTCGGATGTGATATATTAGGTATGTTTCGTTTGAGTGTATATTACTTTTTTTTCCTTCTATCCTTAATACTTTTACTTTTAATGATCTGTTTTTATTTGATTGTTGTATCTCATGTCCCGCTTGTGTGTCTACACTCCATTTTTGTTCATTGTATATGTTGCATGCTTGCACACACACTCATGTACTACTGTATGTGACAACCCAGATCAACTGCATCAGATATTGTCCGTTTTGTCCACACCTAGACTCACTGTTTATTAAAACATCTCTTATAGAGGAGGTATCAAGCCCCTTTAAGGCAACCTTCCATTCCCCAACCAATGTGGGATCTTACTGTCCACCCCCTTAGGAGCCTGGCGTCCTCGCTAGCACACCAGTCCAGTTCCCTGGACACCTGTTACCATTTGTAACAACTCAGACCAACCGTATCAGATATTGTCCGCTTTGTCCACACGTGAACTCACGATTTTAAAACGCGTCTGATAGAAGAGGTATCAAGCCCCTTATAAGGCAATCTTTGTTCCCCTCCCCAACCAATATGGCAGGAACGGACCTAGCTTTGTGGTTGCGGTGGCACGTGCCACCGCTTCATTTCATGAAAGGTACAACCGTATCGATTTGTTGTGTGCCACCAGATATATTTTGAAACTACACTAAGAACACAAGTTTTCCTTGGTAGAATTGGTTTGCAAGGCTTTTCTTTCACCCCAGACCCAAGTTTGAATCCCGTTAGTGTCATTTTCTTAGTTTTTAACTTTTAATTTCATTTTTCATGTTTTTGAATTTTTTTGCAACAAAAAACTTGAACATAAGACCTCATATATGAAAAGCAATGAACGAACCAACAAACCAATTATGATGTTGTGAAAAATATCTCGATATTTGTTTCTTATAATCAAACGGTGCCACAGTTTGAAAAAAATTCTTGGTTCGTCCCTGCAATGTGGGATCTTACAGTGTACCTGAATGAGTTGCTGAGTGGTATAGTAATTGGTTCGCTCTTTAAGTTCTTCAATTTTCGCTTGCCTTTCAGCACGAAGACTCTCTAACGTTTTCTGATCCCTGTTATCGCCTATAAGAGAAAAAACAAGAAGATTCATTGAGAATGGTTATGTGCCACCATGACATAAACTTCAAGACATATTTTTAAATGGCTTTCAGACATATGATTAAAAATTATCGTAATTTTGATATCTGGTACAAGTTTTGAGACATACAGAGTTTTGTGAAGCTAAAAAGTGCCCAATATAAAGCCGATGATAAACATGGCAAAAGAAATATGGGTAGCACTTGTATTGCCCTCATTTGCCATTCCAAATCCTCAGATCTTGTAATTATAGCATAAACCACTACTATGACCTGTAACCAAACGAAATTAACTCAGATTCAATTATTTATATCGAAGCAAGGTCCAGTCCTTTTGAAGACCCTGTCACACCTAAATGAGATAACAAAGATAACAAAGATACATATATACAGATTACAAATGTGATTATAAGGCGTATTACTTATTTACTTGTGTCTTCCGATAGAAATTAGAGTCACTGAGGTGGACTAAAGTCTTTACGTTCGGTTATGAAAGATCAGGGCGGTCCGGACGCACGCCCAGGGCCCACAAGAAAGAGGGGCCCAAATTTTTTAGTATCTAATAGTAGTTCAAAGAAACAGTATATAAATTAGACACAAATTCTTTTAGTATTTAATAGGACCCAAAAAAGAATCTAGTATTATATTAAGGGTCCAAACATGTAAAATTAATTTCATTGGTAAAGAAACTATAAAAATTTTAATTGGTTGTTTATTTTATAGTACTGTTATTGTTTTTATAAGTTATTTTTATCTAGTACCAAAGTCTAAAACTATTTGTCTAGAAAAGTTTGATATATTATCCATCATTCATCTTCTACCGACTCTTTTGATTATTCTATCTGCATGAATTCTATTTTTGTATTAGAATATAATAGATTTCTTGTTACTAACTAAAAAGACTTCTACCTTTTGAAAAAAGTTATCAATCATATGAGACGGTCCAACTTATATATATATATATATATATATATATATATATATATATATAGGGGAGCGATCAAATGCAAACCACTCAATTTGTACAAACCGTGCAAACCGCATTCAACCAATCATAATTTTTCATTTTGTTCATTTTTTTGTAATTATGAGAGGTTGATTAATCATTTTTATTGTGGAGGGT